CAGGAAAAAAAAATCGATGTGGTGGGCCCTAAGCACAGTTCCCAAGGGGGAACCTGCTCGATACCATGAGAAGATTTGAACAAGAATGGATGAACTATGAAATGAAGTGAGTACAAATATGAAACCCTAATTGGTTGTACCCCCTATGGGATACCCCACTATAGCCTACACAACAGCATAAGCTATAATGTTCTGACACGGGGCTCTGCCGCTGGAGGTACTTCTGCTGACGTCACTGGAGCTGGGAGTGGTGCTGGTCCCGGAGGTGCTCGTACTGGAGGTACTGGAGCTGCTGGGGCTGGAGGTGCTGAGCCTGAGGGTGCTACTGCTGGAGACACTGGGTCTGGGGGTGCTGCTGCTGGAGACGCGTAGGCTGGAGACCCTGGGACTGGAGGTGCCGGTTCTGGGGGTGCTGCTGTTGGTGGAGCTGGTCCTGGAGGAGCTGGCGCTGAGGGTTCTGGAGCTGCTGGGGGAACTGGAGCTGCGGGTGCAGGTGTCAATGCACAGCCGCGCCTGTTCTTCGCTCCACCGTCTCCGTCGTCTCAGCCACCGCCTGACTCTGTGCTTCGCCAGGTTCTTAGTCTCCCTTCGTCTACTGGTCTTCCGTTACAGCCTGGCTCACCGCTGCCTGCTCCTTCTCCTTACACTGAGCAGACAGGGGGTCTTACTGAGCGTCGTGAGCCTGCGTCGCGTCCTGTCTCGCCTGTCCGTTCTGGTTGGTCTGGTCGTCGTGTTCCTCATCCGCGTCAGCCGGACCTCGTAGTCCGTCGTCCTTCCTCTCCTTCGCAGCGTGTTCCTCTGCCGTCTCCTCCTGTGTCTTCTCTGCCTGTCGTTGCGGACCCTGAGTCTGACCGGTTTCGTACTGAGCACCCTACTGTCACGCGTCTGCTAGCCACTGTTGTCACTGACCCGTCGTTTGAGTCTGCTGCTGCGTCTGCCTTAGTCGCTGAGCTTGTTGATTTTGCTGCTGCCTGTCGTCTAGACTACGCCGCTAGTCTTGTTGCTGAGTCTGAGTCTGTCTGTCCTCCGGGGGGTGAGTGTGCTCTTGGCACGGACGTCCTTGAGGACAGGCAGGAGGACCTTGAGTGTCTTGCAGCCGATGCGCCTCATCTCGTGTCCTTGGTGCTTGCCCCTGAGGGAGACCCGGATGCTCCAGACATCCCGACCCCGCGCTCTTACTCTGAGGCGATAGCGGGTGAGTACTCCTCTCAGTGGCAGACAGCCATGGACGCAAAGATGGCATCCTGGAAGTCCACAGGCACTTACGTCGACGAGGTTCCCCCACCTGGGGCGAACATCGTCAGTGGCATGTGGATTTTCAGGGTGAAGCGGCCGCCGGGTTCTCCGCCTGTCTTCAAGGCGCGTTACGTTGCACGAGGTTTCAGTCAGCGAGAGGGAGTAGACTTCTTCCAGACCTTCTCCCCCACCCCGAAGATGACCACTCTTCGGGTGCTGCTGCACGTTGCCGCTCAGCGTGACTACGAGCTTCACTCTCTTGACTTTAGCACAGCCTTCTTACAGGGCAGCCTGCACGAGGAGATCTGGCTGCGCCGCCCACCTGGCTTCACTGGGTCGTTCCCTCCTGGTACCCAGTGGAGACTCCGGCGGCCGGTCTACGGTCTCCGCCAGGCACCACGTGAGTGGCACGACACACTGAGGACGACACTTGCGGCTCTTGGGTTTGCTCCGTCGACTGCTGACCCGTCGCTGTTTCTGCGCACCGACACTTCGCTGCCGCCATTCTACATCCTCGTGTACGTTGACGACTTCGTCTTTGCCACTGCTCACACTGAGGCTCTCGCCCTGGTGAAGTCGGAGCTGCAGAAGAGACACACGTGCACAGACCTGGTTGAGCTGCGCAGTTACCTTGGCTTGCAGATCACCCGGGACAGAGCACGCTGCACCATCACACTGACTCCGTCACACATGGTGCAGCAGGTCCTTCAGCGCTTCGGCTTCACCTGGTCCTCGGCACAGGCCACTCCTCTGGCTACAGGTCACTCGCTCTCAGCTCAACCTTCGGACGAGTCCGTAGAGCCGAGTGGTCCTTACCCAGAGCTAGTGGGCTGCCTCATGTACCTGATGACCTGCACTCGTCCTGACCTTGCGTACCCTCTTGGCCTTCTGGATCGCTACGTGGCTCTTGGTCGGCACCGAAAGGTGCACATGGATGCTGCTAAGAGGGTACTGCGCTACTTGTGCAGTACATCGGGCATGGGGCTCGTGCTTGGAGGACGAGGCAACGTTGTCCTCACTGGGCACTCGGACGCTTCTTGGGTTGACGACCAGGCTACGCAGCGGTCGTCACAGGGTTACACCTTCAGCCTTGGCTCTGGTTCGGTTTCTTGGCGTTCTACACGCTCGTCTTCAGTTCTCAGCTCCAGTTGTGAGGCTGAGATCTACGCCACAGCCATGGCTGCACAGGAGTTACGCTGGCTCACCTACCTGCTGACAGACTTGGGAGAGCGGCCTCGTTCTCCTCCAGTGCTGTACGTCGACAACAAGGCCACCATTGCCTTGTGTCAGGAGCACAGACTGGAGCACAGAACGAAGCACATCGCTCTGCGTTACTTCCTGGCTCGAGAGTTGCAGCAGCATGGTCAGCTTCGTCTTGCTCACGTGGCCACTCGGGCCAACACTGCTGATATATTCACCAAGGCGCTTCCGTCTGGTGATCATCAGCGTTTCTGCACTCTGTTAGGCCTTGTGCCCACGTTTCCTCACTTGCTGTAGACTTTGCTTGTACTGTGATCTATATATATATACCTGCATGCTTGCTCTGCTAGGTAGAGATCACTGTGCTGTTGTTTTTGCATATATACTTCTGCTTGTGAACTGGCCTTGTGGCCCTTTGCTTGTGCTCAGTGTGTGTGGTGATGTTGTGATCCACCCTGAGCTTGCTTTGCTTCTCTTGACTGGTCTTGTGACCCCTTGCTCTCCCCCACTTTGCCTATGGGGGTGTGTCAAAGTATATGCATGTTACATATGTGTAGGCTGTAGTGGGGTAGCCAATATGGGGTACAGCCCCTTTTAGGGTTTCATACTTGTACCCAACTCTTTCATAGTTCATCCATTCCTGCTGCTAGATTCTAACACATTTCGGAGTAGAAAAAACACGGCAGTAGCTGCAGCGGTATTACTACTGGCCCGAAATGCTGACCGACGTGCAACGACACGTGGCATCGTATCCCACCTGCCAATTCATGAAGTCATCACGGAAACGGCCGACAAGGCAGTTGCAACCGATACCACCCCCAGAGCGTGCTTGGCAACAGGTGACGATGGACTTTGTCACGGGGTTACCGGCTGGAGCAAGTGGGAACGACGCGATCCTGGTCGTCGTCGATCGGCTGACGAAAATGGCACATTTCGCAGCCTAAAAAAATCAATCACAGCCGAAGAAACATCCCGCCTCTTCATCTCCACCGTCCTTCGACTGCACGAGATACCAGCATCAATTATCAGCGACAGCGACTCGAAATTCACCAGCAACTTCTGGCGGGACCTGTGGCAGCAGTTCGGCATGCGACTACAATTCAGTTCTTCGTACCACCCCGAAACAGACGGACAGACAGAACGGACAAACCAAACCATGGAGCAGTTGATTCGAGCCACGTGCGATGACCCGACCACCTCGGAACAGCAACTGCCACTCATCGAGTTCGCGTACAACAACTCGCCATCCGCCACGACCCAACAGTCACCGTTTTACCTGAACTATGGACAAGACCCCACAGTACCCATGACTTTGAATCCCGACAACCTGGTGCCACGCGCGCAACAGTTCGCAGAGATTTTACAAGCAGCACGAACCCGAGCAGCAGACGCAATAAAAGAATCAAACATCATCGCTAAGCGTAATGCCGATCGCCACCGCCGACCCGTCACTTACCAGCCCGACGACCTCGTACTACTCGACACCCAAAACCTCCGCCTGCCCATCACCCCAAAACTCCGCCCCCGATATTGCGGGCCATTTCGCATCAGCCACATGATCACACCCGTCACTGCCCACCTCCTCCTCCCTGCTGACTGGTACGTCAGCCCGTCATTCCACGTCAGCCTTCTTCGCCCATACGTGCCATCCACCAGCCAACTGCCTCACAACCGCCCCGCCAGCATGACACGACCGCCGACAGAGCCAATCATCACGCCCGAAAAAATACTGAGCCACCGAGTACGTGACCCACGGGGAGCCCGCAGGATCGAATTCCTGATCTGTTGGAAAGACCGCACGCCCACCGAGGACAATTGGGTTCCCCTGGATAGAATTGAGAATCACCCTGCCCTCACTGAGTATCTGCGCAGCCGAAACTTTCGAGATGTACACGCGCTCTCGTAAGGAGGGCCTCCTTGGGGAGGGGGGTAGTGTAAGGAAAATTCCTTTTCCTTACTTCGCGCCCCTGCTTACCGCGTACAAGACCATTCCCGCCATCGGCACCCAACAGCGAAACGTTACCCGCTCACGACACTCGCCTCGACTACGACTCCCGCCACCATTCACGATGCGACCCAACCTCACGGTTCGGTTGGTAACCCGCGCTCCGGACCTCCGCCTCGACATTTCCCAACCTCGGCGCTAGGCCTGTAGCGCACCCCATTTTCTCGCGTTACCGTTACCACTCTATTTCGCTATATATTCTTCGCTCATGCCTTCGCGCATTGTACTGTTTTGCTTTGATAGTGCAATTCTCGCTCGCTCGCTCAATTGCACTCGTAATAGTAGTAATGAACCAACGTGTCTTTCACAGCACTATAAACATAAACATCCCTACTGTGACTTATAATGTATGCCAACACCAGATGCCCATTCCTACATTGCAAGTACCGGTAACTGGGAAGGAACTGGAACACAAATCTACCATCGTAATCGATACAAAAAAAAGTCAAAGTGCAGGTGCTGTTTGGGACAAAATGGCTTATCCCCCTTATGAACCCACACAACATGCCCTCCATCCCCACCTCCTCCCTCCGAGACTCCTCATCTATCCGTCACTCAACTACACTCCCTCATTCTCCTTGTTCACCGCATCGATCACTTCCGGCCCAGTCACCGCCGCAAGACGCTGCAGCTTCACAGGCTTGGTGGGGCTGGCAACTCGGAAAGCAGCAGAAAGATGAGCAATCCTGTTGTTCACATTCCCCCTCCCACCTGTCGCCTCCACCCCCGCCCCATTCCCTCCTGCCCGGGACCTCAGTGCAGATCGCCCCGCACCCACCCCGTCCTCCGCACCAGCCTCGTTCGCAGCCCGCGGAAACACCACCCCACCCCCAGCAGCCCTGTTGCTCAACCCCATGGAACGACTCCCCTCCCCTCTCGCTGTAATCCCCTCCCCAATCTCCTTTGCAGCAAGCAGCTTCTTACTCAGATCCTTCTCTCCTTCCAGCCTCTGAATCTCCTTCCTCAGCTCCTTCTCTCCCTGCTTCCGCCTCTCCACCTCCTTCTCTAACTGACTCACCCGGCTCGCACTCACCTTCAGCTCCTGCTCGATTTTCTCCGCCGCAACTGCCGCACCTGCCTGCGCCTCCTCCGCTCGCCTTTCATACTCCGCAACCTTCTCCCTCAGCTGCTCAACTTCAGCTTCCAGCTGCAGCACCATCTCTCCCTTTTCACCCTCCAGCAAAGTTCTTGCTGCCCCGACCTCCTCCAACTCTGCCTCAAGCCTCTTCAGCTGCCCGTTAGCGTCTGCCAGCTTCGCTTCTGCTTCCCGACGCCCCTTGTCCGCCTCATCAGCGGCCCGCTTCAGCCCTGCAGCCTCCTCCATCAGAACCCTCACCTCTGCCTCAACCCCCTGCCTCGCCTGCACTGCAGCCTTCACCTCCTCCCTCGCAGCTTCCAGCTCCCCTTCCGCGTTCTTGCACTGCCGCTTCAGCAGCGCGTCTTTCCCCTCCCTCTTCTTCAACTCCCCTTCCACCTTCTTCAGCTTCCCTTCCAGCCGCTGAGCCAGAGCAGCCTTCTCTGCAGCCACCTTCTTTGCCGTTTCCTCTCTTCCCTTCATCTCCCCTATCAGCCCCTGCAGCCTCCTCACCTCCTCATCCAATCCCTGCCCTCCACCTGCGACGCCACTGCTCACTGCCTCCTCATCCCCACTCCCTGGCTCCACCTCCCCAGCGCCGACTCCCATCCCCTCACCAGCAGCAACGTCCGTCTCCATGCGCTCCGAATGCCCTCTCTTACCCATCTCCGCAACCATCACCTCCAGCCTTTCAATCTCCTCACTCTTCTGCTGCACAGCTGCCACCAGCCGCTGCCTTTCAGCATCTCCTTCCAACAACCTCTCCTCCATTCCACCCTTCTCCTCACCAGCAGCCCGCACCTGCTTCTCCAGCTCCACCACCTTCTCAAGCAGCCTGTCTCTCTCGCTCACCATTGCAGCAACTTCAGCTTTTATTCCAGCAACCTTTTCTCCGATCTCCTTCTCCACCACATCCCCCGTACCCTGCACAACGGCCCGCTCCTGCTGCTCCAAGATCACCACCTTCTGCAGCAAACCATCGCGCTCGCTTGTCACAGCAGACAAATCAACTCTCACCGCAGCAGCAGCCCTCCTCTCATGCATAACCGCCGCTTCAGCAGCAGCAAGCTCCTTCTGCAGCACCGCTAGCTTTTGAGTTGACTCAAAAGTCACGGCAGCAGCAGCCCTCCTCTCATGCATAACCGCCTCTTCAGCAGCAGCAAGCTCCTTCTCCAGAACCGCTAGCTTCACCTTCGCCTTTCCTGCCTCCTCCTCCGCCTCTCCCTTCTTCTTCTCAGCCTCGCCCAGCTGCTTATTCAGCCGAGATACCTCCTCCTGAAGCCCCTCCATCACCCCAGAAGCAGCCCCAGCAGCAGCAACAGCAACATCAGCAGCAGCTGCTGCCGCCTGCTTCTTCTCAGCCTCGCCCAGCTGCTTCTGGAGCTGAGAAACCTCTGCATCGAAGCCCTCCATTATCTCGCCCATCACCTCCTGCTCAAAGCGAGACCTCAAAGCTGCAATCTCCGCTTCTGCAAGCTCCTCTTCCGCAGACTCCGCTTCTGCAACCTCAGCTCCCGTCATGCCCTTCTCGCCCTGACCTGCCTCCAGGAGTTCCTCCTTCTCACCATCCAGCACTCCTGCGCCAGTCTTCTCCTCCTGCTCCACCAGGTCGAAATTCAGTGCCTTGGGTGCCTCCTCCTCATCCTCTTCCTCCTCAACAGCACCTGCCATGACTACATTGAAACCACCTTCTGTTGCAAACGGAGCAGGCGTAGCAGCAGCAGCTGCACCAGCAGCAGTAGCAGGAGCAGCAACACCACGAGCAGCGGCTGAAGCAGGAGAAGCAGCAGCACGAGGAGCAGCAGGAGACTTGAACTCAAACACACCCACCACGTCACCTCCCTCCACTCCTCCACCCTCACTGCCATTCTTCTCACCCTTCTCCACCACCCCCTCCCTACCCTCAGCAGCCATAGCAGCCACCCGGCTCCTAAACCTCCTCGCATACAGCCCGCTCTGCCCAGGATTCGGCGCCAAGATCAGCCCAGGCGTCCCACTTCCCTCCTGTTCAGGCTTCGACAGCACTGTTCCAACTACGGCCGCCGATCCAGAAACCAACCGCACAGGGCTCTCCCCACGCTGCTCCTCCCCGCCCTCTCCCCCGCTCCCTTCCGGCCTCCGCCGCTTCCTCTCCCGCCCGAGCTCCTCCCTCAGTGCCGCCAGCTCGCACTCCATGCGCTTGATCTGCCGCGCGCGCCGCCAGCGCTTGCCATTGGACTCCTCCAGCATGCGCCTGAGCGCGTCCAGGTCCTTCTCGCGCTCCTCCAGTGTGGCGGACGCGCACAGCAGCTGGTGCTGCAGCTGGGACACCTCCGCCTTGCGCGATTCGGTGCCCTGCAAGCCAGGGGTTGGGAGGGTTGGGATGCGCATATACGTGGAAGAGAGTTGATTAAGAAAGGGGCTTCGAGAGGGTGCATCTCAGCAGCCAGGGTTGAGATGTTCAGAGTGCTCCCTAAGGAACAAATGCTTTCACAGGAAAGAAGTTCTTGAGACGGATAAAAAATGGATCCCACATCCTTTTCTTTGAGATTCAGAAGAGTGGGGCTCACCTCCTTGGCGCGCTTCAGCTCCTCGCCCATCCGCTCAATGGTCCACTCAGACGCCGACAGCTGTTCCTCCTTGTCCGCCAGCTCAGCAAGCTGCACATCACAGCAAGAGTCACACAGAAACATCAGGAACAGTGATGACGTGGTGGCAAGAGGACCGTCCTCTCACACACCAACAGCATCCAGAACTTCCTGACAGAATTCCAAAAGGAGCGTGTGAAACATGGACAAGGAGTCGGGAGAGAGAGGATAAGGAGTCGGGAGAGAGAGGATAAGGAGTCGGGAGAGAAAGAGAGAAGCACGGGGGCGGAGAGAGGGAGTGAGCCTCACCTGTTCATCTGCGTCTTGCAGCTTGGCCTCCAGCTCCTTCATCCGCTCCTCCATCTGCGCCACCTGCTGTGCGCGCACCCCCTCCTGCTCCAGCCTCGCCAGCAGCGCCCTCACCTCCTCCACCAGCGCATCCCCCACGCGCCCACTCTCCACCCCTCGCTGTACCGCCGCCATCAGCCCCTGCCGCTGCTCTTCGTTCCGCCGCCTCATCTCCCACTCCAGCTCCTTCACCTGCTTTTCCAATGCCTCCACATCCAGCTGCTTCCGCCGCGCCTCCTCCTCCATCCTCCCCTCCCGCGCTTCCATCTCCGCTACTTTACCCTCCATCCCCGCGACGATCGACCCCATCTCCCCCTTCACCTCGTCAACCTCGCTCCGCCTCCACGCCTTCTCCCTCTCCGCCTCCTCCCGCCCGCTCTCCATCTCCCGCCTCAGCTGCACCACCACATCCTCGTGGTCTCGCATCATCGCCTCTCTCTCCTTCTCCATCTCTGCAACCTTCTCTTCAACCCTCTCGCGCGCAGCCTTCTCAGCCTGGAGCTCCCGCTGCGCAGCTCCAGCGGCGAGCACCGCCGCTGCCAGCTCCCCGCCCAGCCGGTCCGCCTCCTCCCTCGCGCGCCTCTCCTCCGCGCGCGCGTTTTCCAGCGCCGCCCGCGCCTCCTCCAGCTGTTCCGCCAGCAGCTCCGCCTCTTCCCTTCGGCGCTCCTGCTCCGCCGACAGGTCCCGCTTCAACCCCGCGACTCTCTCCTTAAGCACTCCAATCTCCTCCTCGTATTTCCCCACCAGCCGCTGCTCGCTCTCCTCCAACTCTCCCACCTTCAATTCCGCCTCCTCCCGCCCCGCCCTCTCCTCCTCCGCCGTCCTCCCCACCTTCTCCGCGTCCGCCTCCGCGTTGCGCATCTGTCCCCGCAGTCCTTCCGCCTCCTGCGTTATCTCCGCCAGCCGCTCCTCCGCGCGGTCCACAGCCGCTTCCTTCTCAGCGACTGCCGCTCGAACCTCGCTCAGCTCCGCCTCCATGCGACCCTTGTCGTGCGACAGCTGCGAAACGTCGCACAGCAGCTTGTCAACCCTCGCCTGCATCGTCTGGCGCTCATCCCCAGCCGCATCCACCTCACCAGCCAGCTTATCCACCTGCGCCTGCAGCTCCGCCATCTTCCCCCGCATCTCCTCCCTCTCCCGCGCCACCCCACGCTCCATGCGCATAACCTCCGCCTCCGCCTCGTCCTTCCCGGCCTTCTCCCTCTCCGCATCCGCCGTCGCAGCAGCAAGCGACTCTCGTACCTCCTCCACCACACGCTCCAGCGCAGCAATCTTCCCCCTCCCCTCCTCCACCTCCGCGGACGCCTCCGCCTTCTCCCTCACAGCATCCTCCGCCCTCGCCCTCTCCTCCTCGACTTCCCTCCTCAGCCCGTCAACCTCCTTCTCAGCAGCACTCAGCTTTACCAGCAGCCCAGCGCCCTCCCTCGCCTCCCGTTCCACGCGCCCTTCGACATCCTCCACCACCTCGCGCAGGATCCCCATCTCTTGCGCCAGTCTCTCGCACTCCGCCGTCACCCTCTCGAGCTCAGTCTCCGCCTTCTCCTTCGCCGCCTCCATCGCCCAGAGGTCGCTCTCTGCCTTCTTCCCGGCCGCCTCAGCTGCTGTCGCTCGCTCCAGAAGCCCCGCAATCTCGCCCTCCTCACCAGCGACCACCCCTTGCAGCTGCACCACGCGCTCTTCCGCCACCCGGCACCTACCCTCCAGCCTCGCGCGCGCACTCTCCGCCGCGCTGCTCTCCGCCAACCGCCGTTCCGCCTCCTTCGCCGCCGCGGCCTCCGCCTCTTCCGCCCTCCGCACCAACTCTGCCACCTCCCGCGCGCGCACCTCCACCTCCCGCCGCAGCACCTCGATCTCCGCGCCCGTCTTCCGCGCCTCCTCCTTGGTCGCCTCGTATGACTGGCGCAGCTGCGAGCGCGCCTCCTCCGCCTGCGCCTCCATGCGCCGCTCCGCATCCTCCAAAACCGCACGCACGACACCCAGCTCGTTCCCCATCGTCTCCCTTTCCTTCTCCACCCCTCTCAGCTCCTCCTCAAGCCGTCCCACCTTCAGCACAGCCTCACGGCCCAGCTTCAACACCCGTCTGCACTCCTCCTCACCGAGCTCCACCTTCCCGATCAGCTCCGCCTTCTCTCTCTCCAACCTCTCAACAGCCTTCAGCAGTCCCCCGACCCTCTCCTCGTACTCCGCGCATCTCCTCTCCGCGGAACCAACCGCAGCCGCCACCACCGCGTGCCTCCGCTCCATCTCCGCGCGCACAGCCTCTTCCGCCTCTCCGCACTTCACCTTCACATCCGCAAGCGCAGCAGCAGCCGCACCCAGCTCCCTCTGCATCCCCTCCATCTCCACCGCCTTCTGCCTCGCCGCTTCCTTAGCCGCCTCCTGCAATCGCCCCGCCTCGCGCTTCATCTCCGCAAGTTCCGCCTCCAGGCGCGCAATCCTCCCCGCCAGCTCCCCCTTCTCCGCGTCCCTCCCCCTCACCGCCGCCTGCAGCTCCTCCGCCAGCTGCTCCTTCTCCCGCTGCATCCCCTTCATCTTCTCCTCCAGCACACACACCACGCGTCTCCCCTCATCCTCCGCCATCTTCACCTTCCCTTCCGCCTCCACCGCCCGCTTCTCCGCGCTCTCCTTCCCCATGCGCGCCATCTCCGCCTGCAGCTCCAGGTCCGCGCGCTTCTCCGTCATCGCCTTGAACTCCGCCTCCAGCCGCTGGGAGTCCCCCAGGCGCTGCTCCGCCAGGGAGACCCGGGCTTTAAGGTCCTCGTTCTCTTTTCGCACTGCTGCCGTCAGTTTCTCCGCGCTGCCGGATCCTTCCGCCAGTTGGTCCATCTGTTTCTCCAGCTTTTCCCGCTCCCGACGCTGCTCTTGGAGTTTCACAGTCAGATGAGCCGCCTGAGGCATCACGAAACGGAGAAGGAGAGGAAAGAGAATGTTGTTAACGGAAACGCGAGTAACGGAGAACAAGGAAACTAGTAGTGCAAAACGAAACGCGTACAACAGAGAAACGAGGTTGAATGTTGTAGCGCAAACAAACGCGAGAAAGAAAGCTCTTTCACCCCACAAAGCATCACACCAACACACACCGCAACCGAAGCCAGCCTTCTTCAATTCACCTGCTCCTTGAGGCGAGTAGCGTTGGTCTCAGAAGCAACGAGCTTTTCCGCGAAGTCGCGTTTCTTGAACTCCGCTTCCTCCAGCGCCCTCTTCGCCTCCTCCAGCTCCACCTTCATGCCCCCCTTCGCCTCCTTCTCCGCGCGCTTCAGCCGCTCGATTTCTGCGGGGCCCACCCACGACCAGGCCCAACACAAGACACGCATTAGCACGGCTAAAGGGAAAGGAGCGCGAAAGCGTCGAATCTGCTGGTCTCGACGTTGGCTGGAACTCCGGACAAGGTGAACAGATCATAGTGCCTGCCGGCAGAGAATGTCTGGCATTACGGAATGACAGAAAGCGGTTAAGAACGAAGAATAGTAGACCCCGAGAGGCAGGTATGCTGGAGCGAGGGTATCCTGGACTCACCAGTGTGCGCATCCTTCAGCTTCTTGGATAACTCCTCGTTTATTTTAACCTTCGCTTCGTCCTGCTCCTTCAGAGCCCCCAGCTGCGATTCCAGAGCTTCAATTCTGAAAGTTAAAACGACGCAGAAAAACAAGCACAGTTAACCAACAACAGATGAGGTACCAAAGCATTTCAAAATTGCTTAAAAATCCCAAAGCAGCGTTCCTCGCTCTTCTCGACTGAGTCTTTAATGAGAAACAAAAACGTAGAGTAGCTAGATGCCTGAGCTTCGGAGCAAGATGCCTGAGATTGAAGTACGTACCGGTCTTCCAACTGGATTCGGACCGTCGCCGCTTCTCGCTGCTTGTCAACGTTCCTCTTCAGCTCCTCAAGGTAACGAACGTGCTCACCCTCCTTTCCCTGCACACGCGACAGCCAAACCAAAGCAGCATGAGAAATAATATTTCCTGTGATAAACATCAGTGAGTGCTCATTGTCCCGCTCCTAAACTCACATCATCCAATCCAAAACACTGCAAGCGAGCAAAGAGCAAGTGCAGGTCAGTGCTGCGAAAACGACTAATACGCCAGGAGCAAATCAGAGAATTCCCTTCACGCGTTACCCTGATATTAATACCTTTTTGGCGTTAGCCAACGCTTCGTTGGCTTCCTCGCTTGCCGTTTTCAACAGCCGTTGCATCTCCTGAAGCTCGTCCTGAAGGCCCTTCACCTCCGCATTGCGACGCTGGAGCTGCGTCATCAGGTCCATCTTCTCCCGCTCGGACACATGAAGCTCCTGAGGTAGTCAAAGAACAACGATTTTGCGATTTATTGCGAAGTAGACAATATACAAGTTCTAATAAAGAAGGCAGAATGAATTTGCGGACGTGCAGATAACAGTTTTATTGGCGTTGGCTTCGAAACAGACCAGCTCTTACGGGAGTTAGATACCTGCGATCGCTGTGAAGACTCGTCCTTCATGGTCTTTATCGCGTCGGCAAAGTTAGTCATTTCCTGAAGGAAAAAAAACACACACACACGAACCGCTGATGTTGAAAGGTGCTCATTGGAGACGCATCGACGATTCTTCAAAGACGTGACGTATGCACTTACCTCGCGGACAGCATCTTGATCTGACTTGAGATCCTCAACTTCCTGAAATATGCGAAGTACGGAAAAAGCAGCGAATGGCAACAAGTTAAGCATTAAGAATGACACTTCATGAAAGAGCTCAAGACGCGACTAATTTGCACGAATGCGTAAGAGTGGAAACTCTCGAACGCTGACCTTAGATTTCTTAAAACATTGCTGCTCCAGGTTCAGGATTTTATCTTCTTTCGCTTTAATATCCGCTTCAAGTGACTGGATAATCTGATCCGGATGCCTTTCTCGCTTCGGCTCCGGGGTCTTCGAAGCCGGCACGCCGAACATCCAGGCCGACATCTTGGCGAGGTTCTATTTCAGAAACAGGTCCCTCAAGATATCAAGCAGCATTAACTTCTAAAGCCTAGCCTGTGTCTGCATGCTCAAAATAGCTTCGCAGTCCAACGTGTAGACAATACGGGTCAGGCTATGGCTGCTCCGATACGTCGTACCTGGAACTATTGATGGAAACCTTGAGTAATCCGTATGAAACTAGAGATCTTAACAGAAGAGTCTAGTCTGGAACGTAGACGACTATACCTGAATGCAGAAGCCTGATTTTCAGAATTCTTCTGTCCAGCCTGAATGTATCCTCAAGGTTGATTGAAAACTCCAGCCAGAAATCCGTTCAGGCTAATTCCAGGTTGGGTTGTTCTGGAGTTTGTTGGTTTGCTTCCCTGACCAGCTCTGTTGAACGTATGGTGCCGATGTGCACTGAAATTGTCGAGCTCTGCACATCTGACGGTTCATGACGAGACGCCATCCCTGAAGTTTTGAAACCCCGCGGGAATGCCGAGTCCGAAGAATGGCAGGCTACGGTTTGAAGTACTCTGACAGCAGGATTTTGGCGGGAAACAGGGGGGAACCGACGCCTGGAGCTTTTTGAATTATTCTAAATGAGCAACACATTGGAACACCTACATGAACAATGCTGAAGGATACTGCTATTATAAAAGGCATTGGATGAAAGCCAAGACCATTGCAACACAATGTTCCTAGGCTGCTATTTAGGCGCTCATGTAAGTGACAATTTACGTAGACCCATCACACATGAGGTTATTTGTTTAGCTCACATAATTTCTCACTCACCATGAAACAACATGAACGCATATGCACGAAGACATGCTATTACGGTATATCTTGCTTATTCCTGTAAACGAAACTCTCGACAGCCGTTCAGGACACACCTGAGGATCCTACTTGTAAAAATAATGTGTAGCGTTGTTTCACATAAGAATGTGCCCTGGACTGAGGACACAGCAACTACGAACTTAGCTGAAGTGCCCCTTCAGCCAGTAATGTGACCATGGCTTGTGCTGCTCCATGCCCACGATTGTGCACAGATGGAATGATAACTTCCAGGTTAACAGCCTTCACACACTCCTCTAACTAGCCTGCTCCTTCAGCCAGTAATGTGACCATGGCTTGTGCTGCTCCATGCCCACGATTGTGCACAGATGGAATGATAATTTCTGGGTTAACAGCCTTCACACACTCCTGAAGCTCGTAAAAACTGCTGTGCTCACTGTAGGGTACTTCATATCTGCCCAAACAGAAAGGGTGTACAGTACAGATGCTTACAGAATCGTGACCGTGGCACACCAGATAATTATGAAAATCACCGCTTATTCGTCCTATATATCTTACCCATCGAACATGGCAATAAGCATAAATCAATGAAGTTTCACCTCACGATGGTGCCTCGCTGTGTTCGCCTGATGGGCCGAGCCTTCTTGCACTTGTCAAACGCCCACCCGGATGGTGAGAAGGCGATTATGGTGGAATAACGTTGCTGGGCAGAGAAAAGAAGAAGAAGAAGAAGAAAAAAACAGATTCAAGTGATCATGGTGAGATCAAATAGATGTAATTTACAGCATTCAACAGCACTGTTTTCTTTGAACGTATGCAAAAAAGGTAACTTACCCTATAAAAAGGGTGTATCATTCCGAACTTACCCTGTGGAACTTGGCAATGTGCTCAATCCTCTTGAAGCTGGAGATCGACCAGAGTGGCACAGCGTGCAGGTTTGTGGAAGCTTCCTCGCCATCCCCAGCCACCCACGCCATGTCATCATTTGACAAACCAAGGCATGCCAGCAGGCGTCTCTTCACTGCCCCCACATACACTTTCCGCTTTAAAGCTTTCGCAGCTTCCAGAAACACCTTCTCCTTGCCTGGGATGTGGAGTGGGATGGGGGGTGGGATGGGGGGTGGGATGGGGGGTGGGATTGGGGGTGGGATGGGGGTGGGATGGGAGGTGCATGCATATACGGCCATGTCATCATGTGAGAGCCCTAGGCATGCCAGCAGGCGTCTCTTCACCACCCCCACATACACCTTTTGCTTCAGAGCTTTGGCTGCTTCCAGGAACACCTTCTCCTTGCCTGGGATGTGGGGTGGGATGGGGGGTGGGATGCATGCATACACAGCCATGTCATCATGTGAGAGCCCTAGGCATGCCAGCAGGCGTCTCTTCACTGCCCCCACATAGACCTTTTTCTTGAGCGCCTTGGCTGCTTCCAGGAACACCTTCTCCTTGCCTGGGATGTGGGGTGGGGTGCATGCATGTACGGCCATGGGATGTGGGGTGGGGTGCATGCATGTACGGCCATGGGATGTGGGGTGGGGTGCATGCATGTACGGCCATGGGATGTGGGGTGGGGTGCATGCATGTACGGCCATGGGATGTGGGGTGGGGTGCATGCATGTACGGCCATGGGATGTGGGGTGGGGTGCATGCATGTACGGCCATGGGATGTGGGGTGGGGTGCATGCATGTACGGCCATGGGATGTGGGGTGGGGTGCATGCATGTACGGCCATGGGATGTGGGGTGGGGTGCATGTATGTACGGCCATGGGATGTGGGGTGGGGTGCATGCATGTACGGCCATGGGATGTGGGGTGGGGTGCATGCATGTACGGCCATGGGATGTGGGGTGGGGTGCATGCATGTACGGCCATGGGATGTGGGGTGGGGTGCATGCATGTACGGCCATGGGATGTGGGGTGGGGTGGGGTGGGACCATGGGATGCAAGCATATACAGCAATGTTATCATGAGAGAGGCCAAGGCAGCCCAGCAGGAAATTCTTCTCCTTGCCTGGGATGTGGGGTGGGGTGGGATGTGGGGTGGGGTGGGGTGCATATGTGGCCAATACACAGCAAGTCAATACAGGGGTGAGGAGTGGTAACTACTAGGGTTATAGTAAATACACTGGGAATATTCCACTGCTTAACACTAGGGTTAAGGCACGCTGCTGGTGAACATCTGTTGAGGCGCTCCAAACAGCTTAGAGCATACACAGACGCTAAGCTTAGAGCAGCTTAGCGCTCAGGACATAGCAGTGGCATGGAGGGACCCACCGATGGTGTATGTGCCGATGAGAAAGAGTGCATTGGTGTTGAATGCCTAGTGAGGCGCCCCATGCAGTGCACTAGAGAGCACAGAGAGAACACAGAGAGCACACTCACAAGGAGCAGCAGGAAACGCACCGATGGTGTATGTGCCGATGAGAAAGAGTGCGTTGGTGTTGAAGGCCTATTGAGGCGCCCCATGCAGTGCACTAGAGAGCACAGAGAGAACACAGAGAGCACACTCACAAGGAGCAGCAGGAAACGCACCGATGGTGTATGTGCCGATGAGAAAGAGTGCGTTGGTGTTGAAGGCCTATTGAGGCGCCCCATGCAGTGCACTAGAGAGCACAGAGAGAACACAGAGAGCACACTCACAAGTAGCAGCTGGAAACGCACCGATGGTGTATGTGCCGATGAGAAAGAGTGCATTGGTGTTGAATGCCTAGTGAGGCGCCCCATGCAGCGCACTAGAGAGCACAGAGAGAACACAGAGAGCACACTCACAAGTAGCAGCTGGAAACGCACCGATGGTGTATGTGCCGATGAGAAAGAGTGCATTGGTGTTGAATGCCTAGTGAGGCGCCCCATGCAGCGCACTAGAGAGCACAGAGAGAACACAGAGAGCACACTCACAAGTAGCAGCTGGAAACGCACCGATGGTGTATGTGCCGATGAGAAAGAGTGCATTGGTGTTGAATGCCTAGTGAGGCGCCCCATGCAGCGCACTAGAGAGCACAGAGAGAACACAGAGAGCACACTCACAAGGAGCAGCAGCAAACCCACCGATGGTATATGTGCCAATGAGAAAGAGTGCGCTGCTGTTGAAGGCCTCTGCTTGAATGGCTTCCACCACAAACTGCAGCGCTACCTCCTGAGGAGGGAACTCGTACTGGCGTGGTGGGGTTGAGGGGAGGAGGGAGGAGTCGAGGGGGGTGGAGTGGGATGGATGGAGGCATGGGATGGATCAGTCCACTCGCCTCTGCTTGAATGGCCTCCACCACAAACTGCAGCGCTACCTCCTGCGGAGGGAACTCGTACTGGCGTGGTGGGGTTGAGGGGAGTGGAGTGGAGTTGGGTGGAGTTGGAATGGTACGGAGGGAACTCGTACTGGCAAGGGTTAGATTGGTTCCATCTACTCGCCTCTGCTTGAACAGCCTCCACGACAAACTGCAGCGCCGCCTCCTGAGGAGGAAACGCGTACTGGCATTGGAGTGGGAATGGAGAGGGGGGTGTGGGATGAGGGGAGGAGAGAAAGCGCTTGCTATTCGACTCTCACCCTCTGCTTATATGGCGTCCACCACAAACTGCAGCGCCGCCTCTTGAGGAGGGAACTCGTACTGGTGCGGTGGGGTTGAGGGTAGTGGAGAGGGGTGGAGTAAGGTATGGAGGGGAAGGGTTAGATTGGGTTGATTTCCACGTTTTTGTTTGAATGGCGTCCACAGCAAACTGCAGTGCCGCTTCTTGAGGAGGGAACTCGTACTGGTGTGGGGTTGGGGAAAGGAGTCAGAGAGAAGAGCTGGGGTTGGGACGCCAGTAAGAAGCGCTTCTCATCTCATTGGGTAAGCAGTAGGATTAAGAGCGTTTGAGGCGCCTCAAAAGCCGCCAGTGAGAAGCTCTCCTCATCTCATTGGGTAAGAAGCAGGAGCAAGAGATTTTGAGGCGCCCCAAAAGACACCGGCAAGAAGCGCTTCTCATCTCATTGGGTACGAAGCAGGAGTAAGAGCTTCTTACTGGCACCGATTGCTTGCGTCTGTTTCGGTGTTTGTCGGGCAGGCAAGTAAATGTGAATAGCAGGCAGAAACGTATGTATGATCTAGGCAGGAGGTGAGCGTGTGAATGCGCGTGGCAGCGAGGCAAGGGAGAGTGGCATTGCATAAAAGGGAGGCTAGGGAGCAGGTTGCAGCATCCCCGTGCTTGCATGCACATTGCACATTGCAGCATCCCCTTGCATGCACACTGCACATACACTGCCACACGGCGAATGCTGAATGAATGAATCACCTTGGGGTGGCAGTAGGTGGTGTCGAGGATGAGTGTGTGAATGCGCGTGGCGGTGAGGCAGGGCAGAGCTGCCATGCCCCTTGCATGCAAGTCGCACACACACTTCGACACGGAGAATGCTGAATCACCTTGGGGTGGCAGTAGGTGGTGTCGAGGATGAGTGTGTGAATGCGCGTGGCGGTGAGGCAGGGCAGAGCTGCCATGCCCCTTGCATGCAAGTCGCACACACACTTCGACACGGAGAATGCTGAATCACCTTGGGGTGGCAGTAGGTGGTGTCGAGGATGAGTGTGTGAATGCGCGTGGCGGTGAGGCAGGGCAGAGCTGCCATGCCCCTTGCATGCAAGTCGCACGCACACTTCGACACGGAGAATGCTGAATCACCTTGGGGTGGCAGTAGGTGGTGTCGAGGATGAGTGTGTGAATGCGCGTGGCGGTGAGGCAGGGCAGAGCTGCCATGCCCCTTGCATGCAAGTCGCACGCACACTTCGACACGGAGAATGCTGAATCACCTTGGGGTGGCAGTAGGTGGTGTCGAGGATGAGTGTGTGAATGCGCGTGGCGGTGAGGCAGGGCAGAGCTGCCATGCCCCTTGCATGCAAGTCGCACACACACTTCGACACGGAGAATGCTGAATCACCTTGGGGTGGCAGTAGGTGGTGTCGAGGATGAGTGTGTGAATGCGCGTGGCGGTGAGGCAGGGCAGAGCTGCCATGCCCCTTGCATGCAAGTCGCACGCACACTTCGACACGGAGAATGCTGAATCACCTTGGGGTGGCAGTAGGTGGTGTCGAGGATGAGTGTGTGAATGCGCGTGGCGGTGAGGCAGGGCAGAGCTGCCATGCCCCTTGCATGCAAGTCGCACACACACTTCGACACGGAGAATGCTGAATCACCTTGGGGTGGCAGTAGGTGGTGTCGAGGATGAGTGTGTGAATGCGCGTGGCGGTGAGGCAGGGCAGAGCTGCCATGCCCCTTGCATGCAAGTCGCACACACACTTCGACACGGAGAATGCTGAATCACCTTGGGGTGGCAGTAGGTGGTGTCGAGGATGAGTGTGTGAATGCGCGTGGCGGTGAGGCAGGGCAGAGCTGCCATGCCCCTTGCATGCAAGTCGCACGCACACTTCGACACGGAGAATGCTGAATCACCTTGGGGTGGCAGTAGGTGGTGTCGAGGATGAGTGTGTGAATGCGCGTGGCGGTGAGGCAGGGCAGAGTTGCCATGCCCCTTGCATGCAAGTCGCACGCACACTTCGACACGGAGAATGCTGAATCACCTTGGGGTGGCAGTAGGTGGTGTCGAGGATGAGTGTGTGAATGCGCGTGGCGGTGAGGCAGGGCAGAGCTGCCATGCCCCTTGCATGCAAGTCGCACGCACGCTTCGACACGGAGAATGCTGAATCACCTTGGGGTGGCAGTAGGTGGTGTCGAGGATGAGTGTGTGAATGCGCGTGGCGGTGAGGCAGGGCAGAGCTGCCATGCCCCTTGCATGCAAGTCGCACGCACACTTCGACACGGAGAATGCTGAATCACCTTGGGGTGGCAGTAGGTGGTGTCGAGGATGAGTGTGTGAATGCGCGTGGCGGTGAGGCAGGGCAGAGCTGCCATGCCCCTTGCATGCAAGTCGCACACACACTTCGACACGGAGAATGCTGAATCACCTTGGGGTGGCAGTAGGTGGTGTCGAGGATGAGTGTGTGAATGCGCGTGGCGGTGAGGCAGGGCAGAGCTGCCATGCCCCTTGCATGCAAGTCGCACACACACTTCGACACGGAGAATGCTGAATCACCTTGGGGTGGCAGTAGGTGGTGTCGAGGATGAGTGTGTGAATGCGCGTGGCGGTGAGGCAGGGCAGAGCTGCCATGCCCCTTGCATGCAAGTCGCACACACACTTCGACACGGAGAATGCTGAATCACCTTGGGGTGGCAGTAGGTGGTGTCGAGGATGAGTGTGTGAATGCGCGTGGCGGTGAGGCAGGGCAGAGCTGCCATGCCCCTTGCATGCAAGTCGCACGCACACTTCGACACGGAGAATGCTGAATCACCTTGGGGTGGCAGTAGGTGGTGTCGAGGATGAGTGTGTGAATGCGCGTGGCGGTGAGGCAGGGCAGAGCTGCCATGCCCCTTGCATGCAAGTCGCACGCACACTTCGACACGGAGAATGCTGAATCACCTTGGGGTGGCAGTAGGTGGTGTCGAGGATGAGTGTGTGAATGCGCGTGGCGGTGAGGCAGGGCAGAGCTGCCATGCCCCTTGCATGCAAGTCGCACACACACTTCGACACGGAGAATGCTGAATCACCTTGGGGTGGCAGTAGGTGGTGTCGAGGATGAGTGTGTGAATGCGCGTGGCGGTGAGGCAGGGCAGAGCTGCCATGCCCCTTGCATGCAAGTCGCACGCACACTTCGACACGGAGAATGCTGAATCACCTTGGGGTGGCAGTAGGTGGTGTCGAGGATGAGTGTGTGAATGCGCGTGGCGGTGAGGCAGGGCAGAGCTGCCATGCCCCTTGCATGCAAGTCGCACGCACACTTCGACACGGAGAATGCTGAATCACCTTGGGGTGGCAGTAGGTGGTGTCGAGGATGAGTGTGTGAATGCGCGTGGCGGTGAGGCAGGGCAGAGCTGCCATGCCCCTTGCATGCAAGTCGCACGCACACTTCGACACGGAGAATGCTGAATCACCTTGGGGTGGCAGTAGGTGGTGTCGAGGATGAGTGTGTGAATGCGCGTGGCGGTGAGGCAGGGCAGAGCTGCCATGCCCCTTGCATGCAAGTCGCACGCACACTTCGACACGGAGAATGCTGAATCACCTTGGGGTGGCAGTAGGTGGTGTCGAGGATGAGTGTGTGAATGCGCGTGGCGGTGAGGCAGGGCAGAGCTGCCATGCCCCTTGCATGCAAGTCGCACACACACTTCGACACGGAGAATGCTGAATCACCTTGGGGTGGCAGTAGGTGGTGTCGAGGATGAGTGTGTGAATGCGCGTGGCGGTGAGGCAGGGCAGAGCTGCCATGCCCCTTGCATGCAAGTCGCACGCACACTTCGACACGGAGAATGCTGAATCACCTTGGGGTGGCAGTAGGTGGTGTCGAGGATGAGTGTGTGAATGCGCGTGGCGGTGAGGCAGGGCAGAGTTGCCATGCCCCTTGCATGCAAGTCGCACGCACACTTCGACACGGAGAATGCTGAATCACCTTGGGGTGGCAGTAGGTGGTGTCGAGGATGAGTGTGTGAATGCGCGTGGCGGTGAGGCAGGGCAGAGCTGCCATGCCCCTTGCATGCAAGTCGCACGCACACTTCGACACGGAGAATGCTGAATCACCTTGGGGTGGCAGTAGGTGGTGTCGAGGATGAGTGTGTGAATGCGCGTGGCGGTGAGGCAGGGCAGAGCTGCCATGCCCCTTGCATGCAAGTCGCACGCACACTTCGACACGGAGAATGCTGAATCACCTTGGGGTGGCAGTAGGTGGTGTCGAGGATAAGTGTGTGAATGCGCGTGGCGGTGAGGCAGGGCAGAGCTGCCATGCCCCTTGCATGCAAGTCGCACGCACACTTCGACACGGAGAATGCTGAATCACCTTGGGGTGGCAGTAGGTGGTGTGGAGGATGAGTGTGTGAATGCGCGTGGCGGTGAGGCAGGGCAGAGCTGCCATGCCCCTTGCATGCAAGTCGCACACACACTTCGACACGGAGAATGCTGAATCACCTTGGGGTGGCAGTAGGTGGTGTCGAGGATGAGTGTGTGAATGCGCGTGGCGGTGAGGCAGGGCAGAGCTGCCATGCCCCTTGCATGCAAGTCGCACACACACTTCGACACGGAGAATGCTGAATCACCTTGGGGTGGCAGTAGGTGGTGTCGAGGATGAGTGTGTGAATGCGCGTGGCGGTGAGGCAGGGCAGAGCTGCCATGCCCCTTGCATGCAAGTCGCACACACACTTCGACACGGAGAATGCTGAATCACCTTGGGGTGGCAGTAGGTGGTGTCGAGGATGAGTGTGTGAATGCGCGTGGCGGTGAGGCAGGGCAGAGCTGCCATGCCCCTTGCATGCAAGTCGCACGCACACTTCGACACGGAGAATGCTGAATCACCTTGGGGTGGCAGTAGGTGGTGTCGAGGATGAGTGTGTGAATGCGCGTGGCGGTGAGGCAGGGCAGAGCTGCCATGCCCCTTGCATGCAAGTCGCACGCACACTTCGACACGGAGAATGCTGAATCACCTTGGGGTGGCAGTAGGTGGTGTCGAGGATGAGTGTGTGAATGCGCGTGGCGGTGAGGCAGGGCAGAGCTGCCATGCCCCTTGCATGCAAGTCGCACACACACTTCGACACGGAGAATGCTGAATCACCTTGGGGTGGCAGTAGGTGGTGTCGAGGATGAGTGCGTGAATGCGCGTGGCGGTGAGGCAGGGCAGAGCTGCCATGCCCCTTGCATGCAAGTCGCACACACACTTCGACACGGAGAATGCTGAATCACCTTGGGGTGGCAGTAGGTGGTGTCGAGGATGAGTGTGTGAATGCGCGTGGCGGTGAGGCAGGGCAGAGCTGCCATGCCCCTTGCATGCAAGTCGCACGCACACTTCGACACGGAGAATGCTGAATCACCTTGGGGTGGCAGTAGGTGGTGTCGAGGATGAGTGTGTGAATGCGCGTGGCGGTGAGGCAGGGCAGAGCTGCCATGCCCCTTGCATGCAAGTCGCACGCACACTTCGACACGGAGAATGCTGAATCACCTTGGGGTGGCAGTAGGTGGTGTCGAGGATGAGTGTGTGAATGCGCGTGGCGGTGAGGCAGGGCAGAGCTGCCATGCCCCTTGCATGCAAGTCGCACACACACTTCGACACGGAGAATGCTGAATCACCTTGGGGTGGCAGTAGGTGGTGTCGAGGATGAGTGTGTGAATGCGCGTGGCGGTGAGGCAGGGCAGAGCTGCCATGCCCCTTGCATGCAAGTCGCACGCACACTTCGACACGGAGAATGCTGAATCACCTTGGGGTGGCAGTAGGTGGTGTCGAGGATGAGTGTGTGAATGCGCGTGGCGGTGAGGCAGGGCAGAGCTGCCATGCCCCTTGCATGCAAGTCGCACACACACTTCGACACGGAGAATGCTGAATCACCTTGGGGTGGCAGTAGGTGGTGTCGAGGATGAGTGTGTGAATGCGCGTGGCGGTGAGGCAGGGCAGAGCTGCCATGCCCCTTGCATGCAAGTCGCACGCACACTTCGACACGGAGAATGCTGAATCACCTTGGGGTGGCAGTAGGTGGTGTCGAGGATGAGTGTGTGAATGCGCGTGGCGGTGAGGCAGGGCAGAGTTGCCATGCCCCTTGCATGCAAGTCGCACGCACACTTCGACACGGAGAATGCTGAATCACCTTGGGGTGGCAGTAGGTGGTGTCGAGGATGAGTGTGTGAATGCGCGTGGCGGTGAGGCAGGGCAGAGCTGCCATGCCCCTTGCATGCAAGTCGCACGCACACTTCGACACGGAGAATGCTGAATCACCTTGGGGTGGCAGTAGGTGGTGTCGAGGATGAGTGTGTGAATGCGCGTGGCGGTGAGGCAGGGCAGAGCTGCCATGCCCCTTGCATGCAAGTCGCACGCACACTTCGACACGGAGAATGCTGAATCACCTTGGGGTGGCAGTAGGTGGTGTCGAGGATGAGTGTGTGAATGCGCGTGGCGGTGAGGCAGGGCAGAGCTGCCATGCCCCTTGCATGCAAGTCGCACGCACACTTCGACACGGAGAATGCTGAATCACCTTGGGGTGGCAGTAGGTGGTGTGGAGGATGAGTGTGTGAATGCGCGTGGCGGTGAGGCAGGGCAGAGCTGCCATGCCCCTTGCATGCAAGTCGCACACACACTTCGACACGGAGAATGCTGAATCACCTTGGGGTGGCAGTAGGTGGTGTCGAGGATGAGTGTGTGAATGCGCGTGGCGGTGAGGCAGGGCAGAGCTGCCATGCCCCTTGCATGCAAGTCGCACACACACTTCGACACGGAGAATGCTGAATCACCTTGGGGTGGCAGTAGGTGGTGTCGAGGATGAGTGTGTGAATGCGCGTGGCGGTGAGGCAGGGCAGAGCTGCCATGCCCCTTGCATGCAAGTCGCACACACACTTCGACACGGAGAATGCTGAATCACCTTGGGGTGGCAGTAGGTGGTGTCGAGGATGAGTGTGTGAATGCGCGTGGCGGTGAGGCAGGGCAGAGCTGCCATGCCCCTTGCATGCAAGTCGCACGCACACTTCGACACGGAGAATGCTGAATCACCTTGGGGTGGCAGTAGGTGGTGTCGAGGATGAGTGTGTGAATGCGCGTGGCGGTGAGGCAGGGCAGAGCTGCCATGCCCCTTGCATGCAAGTCGCACGCACACTTCGACACGGAGAATGCTGAATCACCTTGGGGTGGCAGTAGGTGGTGTGGAGGATGAGTGTGTGAATGCGCGTGGCGGTGAGGCAGGGCAGAGCTGCCATGCCCCTTGCATGCAAGTCGCACACACACTTCGACACGGAGAATGCTGAATCACCTTGGGGTGGCAGTAGGTGGTGTCGAGGATGAGTGTGTGAATGCGCGTGGCGGTGAGGCAGGGCAGAGCTGCCATGCCCCTTGCATGCAAGTCGCACACACACTTCGACACGGAGAATGCTGAATCACCTTGGGGTGGCAGTAGGTGGTGTCGAGGATGAGTGTGTGAATGCGCGTGGCGGTGAGGCAGGGCAGAGCTGCCATGCCCCTTGCATGCAAGTCGCACACACACTTCGACACGGAGAATGCTGAATCACCTTGGGGTGGCAGTAGGTGGTGTCGAGGATGAGTGTGTGAATGCGCGTGGCGGTGAGGCAGGGCAGAGCTGCCATGCCCCTTGCATGCAAGTCGCACGCACACTTCGACACGGAGAATGCTGAATCACCTTGGGGTGGCAGTAGGTGGTGTCGAGGATGAGTGTGTGAATGCGCGTGGCGGTGAGGCAGGGCAGAGCTGCCATGCCCCTTGCATGCAAGTCGCACGCACACTTCGACACGGAGAATGCTGAATCACCTTGGGGTGGCAGTAGGTGGTGTCGAGGATGAGTGTGTGAATGCGCGTGGCGGTGAGGCAGGGCAGAGCTGCCATGCCCCTTGCATGCAAGTCGCACACACACTTCGACACGGAGAATGCTGAATCACCTTGGGGTGGCAGTAGGTGGTGTCGAGGATGAGTGCGTGAATGCGCGTGGCGGTGAGGCAGGGCAGAGCTGCCATGCCCCTTGCATGCAAGTCGCACACACACTTCGACACGGAGAATGCTGAATCACCTTGGGGTGGCAGTAGGTGGTGTCGAGGATGAGTGTGTGAATGCGCGTGGCGGTGAGGCAGGGCAGAGCTGCCATGCCCCTTGCATGCAAGTCGCACACACACTTCGACACGGAGAATGCTGAATCACCTTGGGGTGGCAGTAGGTGGTGTCGAGGATGAGTGTGTGAATGCGCGTGGCGGTGAGGCAGGGCAGAGCTGCCATGCCCCTTGCATGCAAGTCGCACACACACTTCGACACGGAGAATGCTGAATCACCTTGGGGTGGCAGTAGGTGGTGTCGAGGATGAGTGTGTGAATGCGCGTGGCGGTGAGGCAGGGCAGAGCTGCCATGCCCCTTGCATGCAAGTCGCACGCACACTTCGACACGGAGAATGCTGAATCACCTTGGGGTGGCAGTAGGTGGTGTCGAGGATGAGTGTGTGAATGCGCGTGGCGGTGAGGCAGGGCAGAGTTGCCATGCCCCTTGCATGCAAGTCGCACGCACACTTCGACACGGAGAATGCTGAATCACCTTGGGGTGGCAGTAGGTGGTGTCGAGGATGAGTGTGTGAATGCGCGTGGCGGTGAGGCAGGGCAGAGCTGCCATGCCCCTTGCATGCAAGTCGCACGCACGCTTCGACACGGAGAATGCTGAATCACCTTGGGGTGGCAGTAGGTGGTGTCGAGGATGAGTGTGTGAATGCGCGTGGCGGTGAGGCAGGGCAGAGCTGCCATGCCCCTTGCATGCAAGTCGCACGCACACTTCGACACGGAGAATGCTGAATCACCTTGGGGTGGCAGTAGGTGGTGTCGAGGATGAGTGTGTGAATGCGCGTGGCGGTGAGGCAGGGCAGAGCTGCCATGCCCCTTGCATGCAAGTCGCACACACACTTCGACACGGAGAATGCTGAATCACCTTGGGGTGGCAGTAGGTGGTGTCGAGGATGAGTGTGTGAATGCGCGTGGCGGTGAGGCAGGGCAGAGCTGCCATGCCCCTTGCATGCAAGTCGCACACACACTTCGACACGGAGAATGCTGAATCACCTTGGGGTGGCAGTAGGTGGTGTCGAGGATGAGTGTGTGAATGCGCGTGGCGGTGAGGCAGGGCAGAGCTGCCATGCCCCTTGCATGCAAGTCGCACACACACTTCGACACGGAGAATGCTGAATCACCTTGGGGTGGCAGTAGGTGGTGTCGAGGATGAGTGTGTGAATGCGCGTGGCGGTGAGGCAGGGCAGAGCTGCCATGCCCCTTGCATGCAAGTCGCACGCACACTTCGACACGGAGAATGCTGAATCACCTTGGGGTGGCAGTAGGTGGTGTCGAGGATGAGTGTGTGAATGCGCGTGGCGGTGAGGCAGGGCAGAGCTGCCATGCCCCTTGCATGCAAGTCGCACGCACACTTCGACACGGAGAATGCTGAATCACCTTGGGGTGGCAGTAGGTGGTGTCGAGGATGAGTGTGTGAATGCGCGTGGCGGTGAGGCAGGGCAGAGCTGCCATGCCCCTTGCATGCAAGTCGCACGCACACTTCGACACGGAGAATGCTGAATCACCTTGGGGTGGCAGTAGGTGGTGTCGAGGATGAGTGTGTGAATGCGCGTGGCGGTGAGGCAGGGCAGAGCTGCCATGCCCCTTGCATGCAAGTCGCACGCACACTTCGACACGGAGAATGCTGAATCACCTTGGGGTGGCAGTAGGTGGTGTCGAGGATGAGTGTGTGAATGCGCGTGGCGGTGAGGCAGGGCAGAGCTGCCATGCCCCTTGCATGCAAGTCGCACACACACTTCGACACGGAGAATGCTGAATCACCTTGGGGTGGCAGTAGGTGGTGTCGAGGATGAGTGTGTGAATGTGCGTGGCGGTGAGGCAGGGCAGAGCTGCCATGCCCCTTGCATGCAAGTCGCACGCACACTTCGACACGGAGAATGCTGAATCACCTTGGGGTGGCAGTAGGTGGTGTCGAGGATGAGTGTGTGAATGCGCGTGGCGGTGAGGCAGGGCAGAGCTGCCATGCCCCTTGCATGCAAGTCGCACGCACACTTCGACACGGAGAATGCTGAATCACCTTGGGGTGGCAGTAGGTGGTGTGGAGGATGAGTGTGTGAATGCGCGTGGCGGTGAGGCAGGGCAGAGCTGCCATGCCCCTTGCATGCAAGTCGCACACACACTTCGACACGGAGAATGCTGAATCACCTTGGGGTGGCAGTAGGTGGTGTCGAGGATGAGTGTGTGAATGCGCGTGGCGGTGAGGCAGGGCAGAGCTGCCATGCCCCTTGCATGCAAGTCGCACACACACTTCGACACGGAGAATGCTGAATCACCTTGGGGTGGCAGTAGGTGGTGTCGAGGATGAGTGTGTGAATGCGCGTGGCGGTGAGGCAGGGCAGAGCTGCCATGCCCCTTGCATGCAAGTCGCACGCACACTTCGACACGGAGAATGCTGAATCACCTTGGGGTGGCAGTAGGTGGTGTCGAGGATGAGTGTGTGAATGCGCGTGGCGGTGAGGCAGGGCAGAGCTGCCATGCCCCTTGCATGCAAGTCGCACGCACACTTCGACACGGAGAATGCTGAATCACCTTGGGGTGGCAGTAGGTGGTGTCGAGGATGAGTGTGTGAATGCGCGTGGCGGTGAGGCAGGGCAGAGCTGCCATGCCCCTTGCATGCAAGTCGCACGCACACTTCGACACGGAGAATGCTGAATCACCTTGGGGTGGCAGTAGGTGGTGTCGAGGATGAGTGTGTGAATGCGCGTGGCGGTGAGGCAGGGCAGAGCTGCCATGCCCCTTGCATGCAAGTCGCACACACACTTCGACACGGAGAATGCTGAATCACCTTGGGGTGGCAGTAGGTGGTGTCGAGGATGAGTGCGTGAATGCGCGTGGCGGTGAGGCAGGGCAGAGCTGCCATGCCCCTTGCATGCAAGTCGCACACACACTTCGACACGGAGAATGCTGAATCACCTTGGGGTGGCAGTAGGTGGTGTCGAGGATGAGTGTGTGAATGCGCGTGGCGGTGAGGCAGGGCAGAGCTGCCATGCCCCTTGCATGCAAGTCGCACACACACTTCGACACGGAGAATGCTGAATCACCTTGGGGTGGCAGTAGGTGGTGTCGAGGATGAGTGTGTGAATGCGCGTGGCGGTGAGGCAGGGCAGAGCTGCCATGCCCCTTGCATGCAAGTCGCACGCACACTTCGACACGGAGAATGCTGAATCACCTTGGGGTGGCAGTAGGTGGTGTCGAGGATGAGCGTGTGAATGCGCGTGGCGGTGAGGCAGGGCAGAGCTGCCATGCCCCTTGCATGCAAGTCGCACGCACACTTCGACACGGAGAATGCTGAATCACCTTGGGGTGGCAGTAGGTGGTGTCGAGGATGAGTGTGTGAATGCGCGTGGCGGTGAGGCAGGGCAGAGTTGCCATGCCCCTTGCATGCAAGTCGCACACACACTTCGACACGGAGAATGCTGAATCACCTTGGGGTGGCAGTAGGTGGTGTCGAGGATGAGCGTGTGAATGCGCGTGGCAGCGAGGCAGGGCAGAGCTGCCATAGAAGGGTGCCATCTGAAGTCGCCCGTGTGGAGTACCGCCTGGAGTGTGGACAGGGAGGGAGGGGGAAGAAAGAACGGAGAGGGGGAATGGTGGCGAGTGGTGGCAAGCAAGGCAGGGAAAGGCAGGCAAGCAGCCATGGAGACGGATGCCATCTGAAGCCATCTGTGGAGCACTTCCTGGGATGGGATGAGGGAGGGGTGGTGAGGGCAGCTGTCACACATGAGCGGGCACGGGAGAGAGGGAAGCAAGGGAGTGGTGGGCATGCGGCAGCAAGCAAGGCAGGGCAGAGCTGCCATAGAAGCAGGCACTGCCTGCATGCGTTCAGGGGGAATGCAGGGGAGAGAGTAGGAATGGTGGGCGTGTGGCAGCAAGCAATGCAGTGAAGGGCAAGAGAGTAGCCATGGAGGGATGCGATGCCATCTGAAGAATGAAGCACTGCCTGGGGTGTGATGAGGGAGAGAATGAAGGAGAGGGAGCGGAGAGAGGGAAGTGAGGAGGACTGGTGGGCGTGTGGCAGCGAGCTAGGCAGGGCAGGGCAGAGCAGCCATGGAGGGGTGCCATCTGAAGTCGCCCGTGTGGAGCACTGCCTGGGGTGGGATGAGTAAGAGGGAAGAGCTCACGACAGCCGTTACACATGAGCGGATGGGGAAAAGAGGAAAGCGAGGAAACGGTAGGGATGCGGCAGCAAGCAAGTTTTGATTCTTCCTCGAGGCTATCTCACAGCCCTGCGCTCTGCGAGGTGACTTTTGTTGCCGTGTAGAACCTTGGGGCTCGACTCAAGGTTCGACTCAAAAGTCTTCCTCGAGGCTATCTCACAGCCCTGAGCTCTGCGCCCTTACAGCAAGGCAATCTTACACTCCTGAGGAAACCAAGGTACCTACGCACTTGACTCATTCTCCCTCACTCACCTGTACGTTCGGAGGCTCAAATAGAATCACAACTGCCCCCGGGCAGTGGTTCGCATACATTAGTGTCACGCCCGCGCCAGAAAATCTCCACCCACTCAGCCACAGGCAGTGGAAGGTAGCCATGTATATACCCTCACGCACCTGACCGTTAGGAGGTTCGAATAGAATCATGACTGCCCCCGGGCAGTGGTTTGCATCCATTAGTGTCACGCCCACGCCAGCAATCTCCACCCGCTGGCCCACGTGCAGCTCGCAAATTTTCTCTTCTGGCAGCCCGAGACGTAGTTTCACAAGCCGGGCAGTGACCGGGGAGCAGTAGACGGTGCCAAAGCGGAAAGATTTGGTCAGACCGTTGTAGTCTGGGGGCAGGGGGGGAACGAAACGAGGGCAGAAGGAAAAGACGAATCGGAGGAAAAGATAAACAAACGACAAAGCAAACACAAAATACCAGTGAAAGAAAATAGGCCGTGCAAGCAGATAGACATTGAGTGAGCGAGTGAAAAAACGGCAGGAGGGAAGAGGAGGAGGAGGAAGGAAGAAGGGGGAAAGGGGGAGGGGATGTTGGAATTGGGAGGAGACGTACGGTCAGCATGGAAGTGAGTGAGGAACCAGTGGTGGCAGGAGGGCGAGGTGTGCTTGAATGCATCCTGTGAGATGCAGCGAAAAGGGGGGAGGGCGGAAAGCTGAAATGGGGAAATGTTGAAGGGGGAAATGGGGGACGGGGAGAGGTGCGCCTGAATGCATCCCATTTGACGCAGAGAGGCAACGAATGCAGTATGCACACATGCGTACGAGTCAACTCGGAATACGCCTATCGGTCTGATGTGAAGTTGGGTGGAAAAGGGTCGAAAGAGTGAATGTAGTGTAGACAGCTTATGATACACCTTTTTAACTGGGAAGCCAAGCCAACGGGGAAAACAAGCAAATGTACTACTGCATGAGGAGGGAAAGAAGGAAGAATGGAATTGCATTTGAGAATTCTCACAATCAGATGCTACAATATGCGTTGAGTGCACTCAAAACTAGCATCCAGCCGACACACACACACCACTAAAAATTCAGTGCCTGGAATCATCTCCCACGCTTCTGGCAACGACATTCCACCTCGCCCTCTTCCCCCCGTCCAGCCCCCACCTCTTCCCCTTGACATCCCTCCTCCTCCCCCTCTCCCACTCCCGCCCCTCCCTGCGAACCTTCCTCCCCACTTCACGCCTCTTCCTGCTCCCTGCTGGTGCCCACGGGAAACCTCAGCCAGTGAAGCGGTTGCCCCAGGCGCTTGCTGTTGCTGGGGTCGTTGTTGCTGCTGGGGTGGCCTGCGCCTGTTGCCACCTCCAAAGAAGTCAGTGATTAGCCTTTTTTGGGCGCCAACAGCACCTGATAAACCGCCTGAAACATTCCCTGAATTTCCACCTGATTGTCCACCCGCTTGCTGCCTTTCCTCCTCCGTTTCCTCCATGTCCTCCTCCATCTCCTTCTCTCCCCTTCCCTTCTCTCCCTTGTCCTTCCCCTCCCGTTCCTCCTCCCTTTCCTCCTCCTCTTCCTCACGCTCCTCCCCCCTCCCCTCCACCATCTCTCTCCTCCTCCATGGCCCCATCTTCATCCCCATGCCACCAGCCTTTATCCTACCCCACAGCATCCTAGCCATTGCAGAATTCTCCTCCTCTCCCTCCACTCCCTCCTCTCCCTCCTCTCCCTCCTCTCCCTCCTCTCCCTCCTCTCCCTCCTCTCCCTCCTCTCCCTCCTCTCCCTCCTCTCCCTCCTCTCCCTCCTCTCCCTCCTCTCCCTCCTCTCCCTCCTCTCCCTCCTCTCCCTCCTCTCCCTCCTCTCCCTCCTCTCCCTCCTCTCCCTCCTCTCCCTCCTCCTCTACCCACCTCCCACTCTCCTCTCGCTTCTCGTGTGCTGTGCCCTTCGCTCTGCCATCAGCCCCCATTCCGCAAATCTTCTTTTCCTCTTCCCCCCTGTCCCGTCCCCACGCATCCAGGCATGCGTTGGAGTGCTGCTCGCGTCTGATTGGCTCCAGGTGAGACAGGTGGCAGCCGCAGATTGGACAGTCCACGTCAGCCTCTTCCACGCTCCCATGCACCTCCTCTACCATGTCCCCTTCCTCCTCACACTCCTCACACTCCTCCTCACATTCCTCCTCCTCCTCACACTCCTCCCCACCTGCCTCCCCATCTTCCCCTTTCCCCTCCTCCTCCTCACTCTCACCATCAGTGGCTGAAACCTCGATCACATCAGCTTCATCAACATCATCCTCCTCTTCCTGCTCGTCTCCCAGCACCTCCACCAGATGCTCCTTTTCCTTCTCGTCCTCATCATCCCTCCTCCCAATCACACCTCTCCCACTCACCACTCTGACCCACACAAATTTCTCACTATCCGCTCTATCCCTCCCCCTCTCACTCTCTCGCCCCTCCATTGCAGCATCCCCCCACCCACCCCCAAAAACTTCCCCCTCCACTGAACCAGCACATCTTTCTGCTGCATCCCTCGAGCGGTCAATAAGTTCTTGCGACGTTTCAGAAGCTTCCTCCTCCTTTCGTCCATCGCCTCCGTTTCCCAGTGCACCGTTCTGCTCCTCGAATTCCGGGGCATCTGAATGCTGATTGTGCCACGTGGCGTCCTCCTGACGCTGAGTCATCATCCCGGATATCTCGTCGTAGTCTTCATAAGAATCTCCCGACCCCAAAGCATCATTATAATCACCAGCTGTACCGTCACCACCTACACAACGCTCCACCTGATTGGCCGGTTCACCTGCCTGGAACCTCCCCGAAGGTTCGATATGAGCAGGCGTGGCGTCACGACAATCACCGCCATTGTTAGTATCAGTGTCAGTAATACCGTCATAGAAATTATAAATCTTAATGTCATTTTGACAAAAACTGTTACTAACAGGACGGGTGTCAGCATCATTCCGTTGAGCGATTTTCACTCTCCTAGCCATCCTCTCGTCGTCCCCGCGATCGCAGCACGAAAACTCTCCTGCTGCTCGTTTCGCACAGCCGTGCGAAGCCGCAGGGCGACCGACGCTGCGTCGCTCGTCGCACTGCGACTCGTCCAGGAAGCACTCGCGAAACAATGCGAGCGGCGAGTCGAAAACCTCATTGTGAGTAGCATCACAATGCGACGTGTTAGCGAAACGACCTCTGCAACCTTCGCCATTCCTGGAAGGCGACACAAATGAAGGCTTCGATATAGGAAGCTCCGATACACCGTCAGGATGCTCACGGCTCGCTGCCGCGACTGAGTCTATAATTACCGCACCACTCCGCTCAGCTAGATGCAATGCTGCTGACGTGTCATTCCTAGCAGAAGGACCATCGCTTAATCCATTATTCCAGCGACCACCGCTGAGCGAGGAGAGCTGCACTGATGCTCGTCGCATGGCGTCAGACTGCTTGCCTTGAAAATGACGAGGATAATGAAAACGTCAGTGTGACGAATGAACCGAAATGTAAATGTAGACCTAAAAACAAATCTCAAACAGGTGTCAAGAGCATTTGGCCGAGTGGTTAAGGCGTGTGCCTGCTAAGTACATGGGCTCTGCCCGCGAGAGTTCGAATCTCTCAGTGCTCGACTGGTTTTTCGACATCTGGCGTCAAACCCTCTCTTTGGTTTTTATTTTTGCAGCCCGATCTGTTCAACAGCACCGCCACGTGGCATTGTGAAACCCCTTCAACCCACAACCCTCTTTACGACTTGTAGATCTTTCCTCAAAGTCGATCTGTGTAGTTCTCCCTGCCGCAGGCACTGATTGTTTGTGCCTGGCAAAACGAGCAATAAATTAGCTTTATTCTATTTCGTCACTAATGCGCCGCCGTCCACCAAACTGGTTTCTCGCATAATCGCTCGAAAACGTCTTCTAGAACCGTTTTCTTTTCTCGTTTTCATTCCTGGGTATATATATCGAGAATCATCATGATTGGCCAGAGGACACGTGGCAGTATCCAAGTGGGCGACCGACAGGATGAAGACGAAAATTATGAGGGCGAGGACGAGGAGGAGGACGACGACGAGGGGGGAAAGGATGATGAAGAGGAGGAGGAGGAGGAGGAGGAGGACGAAGACGAGGCACTTCTTGCGGCAGTTCAGAGCGAATTCGGCGCGCCCTTTTCGGCGAGTAACGTTTTTCCGTTGCAAAGAGACCTCCCGTTAGAGTCACAATCACAGAGACGCGAGACGCGCTTGCTGGAAGGTGGGGTGGGAGGCGGTTTGATGGAGGAGGAAGAAGATACCGAGGAGGAGGAGGAAAACGAGGAGGAGGAAGAGGAGGGCGGAAGCGAGGAGATGAGTGAGAGGGGACGGCGGCACGTGGATGTTGAAGAAAGGTTACGTGTGGAAGATGAGGAGGACGAGGAAGCGGGGGAAGAGGAGGGGGAAGAGGAGGATGAGGATGATAGATTGCTCCAATTGGTGCGTCAAATGATGGTCGCGAAGCCTGCCACGTCATCAGTGCCTGCCACGTCATCAGTGCCTGCCACGTCCGCACTGCCTGCCACGTCAACCTTTCCTGCCACGTCGACGGTACATGCCACGTCAGCAAGGCAGGCTGAGGAGGCGGCAAGAGCAGGTCAACAGCGAGCAGCAAGCGTGCGTTCGGACCAGGAGCGGGCGGCAGATGAGGTGCGGATGGCAAGTCGGGCGGCAAGTCAGATACGGGCGGCAAGTGAGGTGCAAGTGTTGTCCTTTGCGCAAAGAGCAGGAACACACATGAATGAGGCTGCAAGAGAGGAGGCTGTGAAGGGAACGCAGTCGAGAGGTGGGAGGGGAGGGAGGGGGCGAGGTAAGGGGGTGGGGCAGAAAATATTGGAGGAAGGACGAGAGGGGGGTGGAGGAGGGAGGGGAGCAGGGAGAGGCATGGGAGGGGGCAGCAGCCGGGGCGGAAGGGCAGAGAGAGGGAGGGGTCGAGGAGCGGAGCGAGGGAGGGGGAGACTGGCAGAGGGAGGGAGAGGGAGAGGGAGAGGGAGAGGGCGAGGGGTGGAGCGAGGTAGGGGGGTAGTAGCAGGAAGAGGGAGAGGGGGAGGGAGGGGGCGAGGGAGAGGGGTGGTAGGCGGTGGGGTGCTGATAGAGAAAAAAGACAAGGGAACGGCAGTGAAACGCGCAGTTAGTGGTGGGACGAGAGGGCATGGGGCGGAAGCAGGGGAAGAGGAAGAGGAGGCAGAAGAAACAGAGGGCGAGGAGGAGGAAGAGGAGGAAGAAGAAGAAGACGAAGAGGTGGGAGAGGAGGGAGAGGGGGAAGAAGAGGAAGAGACAGAGGAGGAGGGAGGGGACGAAGCAGAGGAGGACGAGGCGTTGTTGGAGTTTGCTCGGCAGATCTGTAGCCTGTCCGTGCAGCAGGTGGGGGGGTCTACCAGGAGTTATGCGCCATCCCAAGGTGATGGGGATGGGGAGACGACGGGGAGGGGAGTGGGATCAGCTGAGGGTGTGGAGACGAGGGGGACGGGAGTGGAAGCAGCCGGGGGTGGGGAGAAGGGTGGGAGGGGAGGGAGGACAGGTGGAGGTTTTGGGAAGAAGGGGAGGGGAGGGAGGGAGGGTGAGGGCGATGATTGGTTGTTGGAGGAGATTGAAGGGCTGCTGGGAGGGATGGGGGGAAGAGGGAGAGGGGGGAGAGAGAAGGGGGGAAGAAAGGCAGGGGTGAGAGAGTCAGGGGGTGAAGCAGTAGCAGGAGGAGAAAAGAGGGGGGGTAAGGGGCGGAGGGAGGTTAGTGAGTTAGGCGGGGAAGTTGAGGGGAGGGGAGTGAAAGGGGGAAGAGGTGGCGGAAGGGGTAACAGGGGGAGAGGAAGAGGGCGGAATGTTGGGGAGGCGAGAGTTGAGGGAGAGGTGGAGTGTGGGGGAGAAATCGGATTTCAGCAATCGAGAGGAGGGAGGGGGAGAGGTAGAGGAAGGGGGAGGGCGTCGACTCTTGATGATGAGAGAGAGGAGGGCGGCAGAGAGGAGGGCGGCAGAGAGGAGGGCGGCAGAGAGGAGGGCGGCAGAGAGGAGGGCGGCAGAGAGGAGGGCGGCAGAGAGGAGGGAGCAGAGGGCGGAAGGGGAAGGGGACGAGGGGGAAGAGGGGGAAAGGCAGGAATCGCAACAGGGGGGAAGGGAGGGGGAGTGCAAGGGGTGATGGGCAGGGGAAGGGGCAGGGGAGAGAGAGCGGTTGTGAGCGGTGACCAGCAGGGGCACTTCTCAGTGGTATTAGCCCGGAGGGCAGGTCTGGAAAGGCGTGAAAGTGCTGAGTGTGAGAGAGGAGACATTGATGCTGCTCGCATTGCTGGTGCTGATGGGGAAAGAGGGGAAGGAGAAGAAGAAGTGGCGGAGGCAGTGGTGGTGGGAGGGTTTCAGTTGCCCCAGGCACTGTTGATTCCACCTGGTGATGGTGATGGTGGTGATGTGTGGATGGGGGGTTGGGGCGAGGAGGAAGAGGGAGGAGAGTGGGGAGTCGCGGCTATGAGTGATGCTGATGTGTCATTGCCTCATGCTGACGTGGCACAGCTGAGAGAGCTGCAGAAGCTTTCAGAGGCGAGGAGGCAGCTGGAGCGACAGCTGGGAGTCATTGGAAGCTTCCTCCCACCTTCCTCCCGAAAAGTGACATCAGCAATTGCACCTCCTGCTGCTGCTGCTGAGTTGAGTCTAGTTCCCCTTGCTCCCACCCATGCCTCTGCCTCTGCCGCTGCTTCTGCCTCTGCTGCTGAAGTGGGCCTAGATCCCCTTGCTTCCACCCATGCGTCTGCCTCTGCCTCTGTCTCTGCCTCTGCTGCTGAGTGGAGTCTAGTTCCCTTTGCTCCCACCCTTGCGCTTCCTGCTCCTGCTGATGAGTCCATGCAAGAGCCTTCCAGTACTACCTTAGCCTCCCCTGCTGCTGCTGCTGCTCCCACTGCTGCTGCTCCTTTTGCGTCTGCTACTGGAGATGAGGCTGATGCTGCTACCGGTGACGGTGCAGCAGCACCAGCAGGTATGGCGGTTGGGGGGGAGAAGAGATTGCAAGGAACGGCAGATGGTACAGCAGCAGCAGTGGGGGCAGAGGTGGGGGTAGAGGAGGGGGCAGAGGAGACAGCAGAGGAGGAGGCAGGGGAGAGAGAAGCAGTGACAACTCCACCTGAACAAGCTTTAGTAATCTCGGGAGACACGCTGGTGGTAACCCCTGCAGAAGATTCGGTGGTAACACCAGTGGCAGCAGGGACAGCAGCACCAGTGGAAGTGCAGGCAACAGCAGTGTCAGTGGGAGCACCGCCTGAACAAGCTATGGTAATATCAGGAGAAACGCTGGTGGTAACCGCTGCAGATAATACGGTGGTAACCCCAGTAGCAGGGGCAGCAGCACCAGTGGAAGTGCTGTTATCAGCAGCCCCGGTGGGGGCACGGCCTGAACAAACTATGGTAATATCAGAAGAAGCGCTGGTGGTAACCGCAGCTGAAGGGTCTGTGGTAACCCCAGCAGAGGATACGGTGGTAGCCTCAGTAGCAGGGGCGGCAGCACTGGAAGTGCAGTTACTAGCAGCGCCGGTGGGGGCACCATCCGAACATGCTATTGTAACCTCGAAAGATGCTTTGGCGGTAACCGCAGGAGAAGATTCGGTGGTAACCCCAGGAGAAAGGGGAGCAGTTGCAGTAGGAGCAGGGGATGTTTCATCAGGGGCGTTGGTGGCAATTCCAACTGAAGAGTTGGTGGTAACCCCAGGAGAAAGAGGAGCAGTTGCAGTAGGAGGGGGGGACGCTAGTGGCTTCCCCTCAGGGGCGTTGGTGGCAATGCCAGATGAAGGAGTGATGGTAATTCCAGGAGAAAGAATGGTGGTAACTGCAGCACAAGAAAGAGCAGCTGCAGAGGGGGGGGAAGCTGCCTCAGGGGCGTTGGTGGCAATGCCAGATGAAGGGATGGTGGTAATTCCAGGAGAAGGGGGAATAGCCGCAGAAGTAGGTGGGGAAGCCGCATCAGAGGGGATACCACTGCTGCTGTGTGCACCACCAGGAGGAGAAGTTCCCAGTCAGGTGGATGGTCAGGAGGAACCAGATGCTCAGGAGAAGGGCCAGGAGAAAACAACAGAAGCTGGCCTGGGTGGTCAAAGTGACTTTGCAGCAGGAGGTTGTGAGATAGTTGGTGCTCATGGCTCTGAGCCTCCTGCCGAACCTCCTGCTGCCGCCGAACCTGCTGCTGGTGCCGAATCTCCGGCTGCGGCCACCGAACCTGCTGCATTTCATGCTCCAGCAGCTTCTGAACCTCTTGCCGATCCTTCCTTTCTCTCCTCTGCTGACGTGGCAGCAGTTAGAATCGCCCTGCAGGCCAACCGTCGCTGCCAGCTGGCGCTCCACGATTTGCTGGCGGCCGTGGAGGCTCGGGAGGGGCAGGCTCGGGAGCTGCTTCGGCGTGTCAGAACCGTGGCTGGGTTCGAGGCTCGGGCAAGGAAGGCTGCTAAGAGAGTAATCGGAGGCATGGGGGGAGGGGCAGGGTGGGGAACAAGGGAAGAACCAGGAGCAGCAGGAGCAGCAGCAGCAGGAGGAGGAGGAGCAGGAGGAGAGGGAGCAGGAGCATGGGGTATGGCAGGGGGAGGGGGAGGCGAGGGGGGGGGGTCGCATATACGGGGGGCACGCGGCCGAGATGCTTCTAGTGAACTGGGCCAAGCCGAGGCAGAAGCGCGGGAGGAAACACAAGTACTCCTCCCTGGGATTTGATCCTGATCCACATGATCGCAGCAACCTGGAAGCTTCTTCTCGGGATATGCCAGTGAACGAGGACCAAGGGGTGTTTGAGCGGTTGAGAGGGGTGATGCCGCTGGTGTTTCGCGGGAGGAAGTGGGGGAAGGGGGAGGTGGGGGCGTTGAGGGAGGGGGTGGAGCAGCAGGTGGTGCAGGGGATGATTGAAGAGGCGGTGAGGGAACGACCAGAAATCACTCTGGATAGGTGAGTGAATGAATGCACGTGTGTGTGAGGGGTTGGGAGAGGGAGGTTCCGAGTAAGTGAGAGTACCAGTCAATGGGAGGGGGTGGAGCAGCAGGTGGTGCAGGGGATGATTCAAGAGGCGGTGAAAAGACGACCCGAAATCACTTTGGATAGGTGAGTGGGTGAATGTTGGGGTGCCCTTGATAGGTGAGTGAGTGTGTGAGTGTGGGAGCGTGTGAGTGGGTGAGCAGGTTAGTCGGTGAATGAGGATGGGGCGTAGAGGGAGGGGGTGGAGCAGCAGGTGGTGCAGGGGATGATTCAAGAGGCGGTGAGGGAACGACCGGAGATCATTTTTGATAGGTGAGCGAGCGGCCTTCTCTTCAGAAAAAATTGAGAGCAACTCCAGAGATTGAGATGTGAGTGAGGGGTTGGGTGAGTGAGGCAGTAGGGAGGGCGTGGAGCAGCAGGTGGTGCAGGGGTTGATAGAGGAGTGAGCGTGCGAGTGAGTGGGGCGCTAGCTCACAAGAGAGGCCGTTCACTCACACCCCTTCCTTCCTCTCCTTTTACTCCTCTATTGCAATCGCTCCCCCCCTTTTCTCCCCCGCTTTCAACCCCAGGTATCTCCTCCACCGCACCGTAGCCAGGATCAGATTCTTCAAACACTCCCCCCCATTTCATACACTCATTCCCGTGGCCATGCGTGCTGCCCCTTCCAAGGCTTCCACCACCCATTCCCCACTCTTCCCCCCTCCGCCTCCTCATGTTTCCTCTTTCTCACTCTGCTCCCCTCCCCCCAGGTCTCTCCTCCCGCGCACCATAGCAGAGATCAGATCGCGCCAGTTCACACCAGAGGCCATGTGTGCTGCCCCTGCCCACACGTTCCCTAAGTTCCCGCTCTCCGTTTTCTCCTCCGCTTTCTTATATGTCTTGACCCCCTTTGGCCACACCTCAGGTCTCTGCTCCAGCGGACCATTGCAGAGATCAAATCTCGCCAACTCACACCAGAGGCCATGCGTGCTGCCGTGGCGCGAGTTGATTGGTCGACAGTTGCAGCTGCATTTGTGAATCCGGCCAATAGGAGCCTCGGAAGGGGGCTGCACCTCAGGCGTACTGCACTCGAGTGCAAATTGAGGTAACGAGTGGGGCTGAGTGCGGTGAATTGCGGTTGGGTAGGTTAAGATTGGAATTGGTCTAAGAGAGTGGTAGGTTTAGATTGAAGGTGAGGTACTTTTGGGGTGTTGAGTGTGGTGAAGAACAGTCAGGTGAGTTCAATGCAGCACCAGGACATCGATGAAGAATACGTCAAGGAGGTGCGGGAGGGTAGCGGTTTGTGTGGGTGGAAGGGTGAACGGAGTGGTTCAGTGCGGTTCAAAACGGTTTCAGTCTTTTCTTAACGTTTCAGGTGGTTGAACGTGGACAATCCGCGCATAACGTGGGGTGAGTGGAGCGAGAGGGAAGCTGAGATTTTGACGGAGGTGGTGGATAGTAGGGTACTGAGTGGCTGGGAGGGTGAAATGAGCGGTTCAGAGCAGTTCAAAACGGTTTGAGTGTTTCCCTTGCGTTTCAGGTGGTTGAACGTGGACGATCCGAGCATCACGTGGGGCGAATGGAGTGAGAGGGAGGAGGAGATTTTGAAGGAGGTGGCGGAGAGTAGAGGGCTGTGTGGGTGGGAGGGGATTGCAGAGGAGGTAAACCGGAGAGTGAGGGAGGAGGAGGAGGGGGAGGAGGTGGAGTGGGAGGAGGGGGGAGAGGGTGTGGGAAGGGAGGAGGATGGGGATAGAAGGGTGGGTGGACGAGGGGTAGGAAGGCAGAGAGGAGGGGGAGGAGGAGGGAGAGGAGGAGGGAGAGGAGGGGAAGGGAAGGGGAGTGAGAAAGGGGAGAGGAGGAGGAGGACGGCGCTACAGTGTCTGATGGGGTACCAGAAGTGGTGGAACCCCCACGTGGCGCGACGCCATTGGTCGGCAGAAGAGGACAGACAGCTGACAGCGGCTGTGAGGCGGCACGGGGAGGTGAACTGGGCGGCGGTGGCGCTGGGGGTGGAAGGGCGGAGCGGCAGGGAGTGCTTGCAGCGGTGAGTGAGGGAGACTGTTAAGGTAGGTATAATAATTGAGCAGGCTAATTGGGGCACGGGGAGGTGAACTGGGCGGCAGTGGCGCTGGGGGTGGAAGGGCGGAGCGGGAGAGAGTGCTTGCAGCGGTGAGTGGCTGTAAGGAGGTGAGTGGCCGTGAGGAGGTGAGTGGCCGTGAGGAGGTGAGTGGCCGTGAGGAGGTGAGTGGCCGTGAGGAGGTGAGTGGCCGTGAGGAGGTGAGTGGCCGTGAGGAGGTGAGTGGCCGTGAGGAGGTGAGTGAACGACTGGGTGGCGGTGGCTCTGGCTGTGGAAGGGCGGAGCGGCAGGGAGTGCTTGCAGCGGTGAGTGGCTATAAGGAGGCTATACTGGTGGTGCTGATGCTGATGCTGATGCTGATGCTGATGCTGATGCTGATGCTGATGCTGATGCTGATGCTGATGCGGATGCGGATGCGGATGCGGATGCGGATGCGGATGCTGATGCTGATGCTGATGCGGATGCGGATGCGGATGCGGATGCGGATGCGGATGCTGATGCGGATGCTGATGCTGATGCTGATGCTGATGCTGATGCTGATGCTGATGCTGATGCTGGCGATAGCCTGATTTCTGATGGTTAAATGTGATGCGCCCAATGCTGAACTCAGCATTCTTCAGTTCCCACAATGCTAGTGGTTCTGCTCGGTACAGGTTCTTCAGTTCTCCTCACAATGCTGATCGATCACAAATGCTGGCTGATAATGGATGATGATGCATCTTTCCATTGAGTGGAACGAACGAGGATGGCGTGTGGGAGGTAGGCATCCTATTGGCTCAAGAATTACTTTTAATGTGCTCCTCTCCACCAAGATTCCTTGGCATGCTTGTGTCACTTTTGAGGATTCTCAAAAGTCAAACATCATGGCTTCCCTTCCCACCTTGTAAGTGCCATCTGCCCTCCCTCCGCAACTTGCCCCCTCTCCCCACCACCGTCCAGCTGGCAGCATCATCTGCGCCACGTCAGCAGAGCCGCATGGACCCCCGAGGAGAACGACAGGCTGCGATTGGCCGTGGGCGTGTTCGGGACTCCCCATTGGAGGAGAATCGCAGCTCTGGTGCCGAACCGCACCGAGGTGCAGGTTCGGGAGCGCTGGTGCAACGTGCTCGACCCGAACCTGAGGTTCGGGCCGTGGTCCGGCGAGGAGGTTCGGCGGCTGGAGGAGGCTGTGGGGAGGTTCGGCGTCGGGAATTGGACGAACGTGGCTGTTGCTTGCTGGCCCAGAACTGACTGCCAGTGCAAGAGGTAGGGACAGGAACGCATTTATTTGCCTTCTATATTCGCCCTCAGTTGGCTATTGAGGCAGCTCAAGGCTCAAGGTATGGCTGTTGCTTGCTGGCCCAGAACTGATTGCCAGTGCAAAAGGTGGGGAAACTAACTCGAGATCAAAGAAGTGCTATGTGGTGATCTGCTGTCTGCTTTTCTTTTCTTTTCCAATTCATAAGCTGCGCCTTCAAAATTTTCGAATTGGAAGATCGTGCGAGGCGAGGTGCATTTTGTTCACATCTACTTTCCCACGATCACTGTTTACAGTAGATGTTTACATCACTGCTTTCCCGTGGCATTTGTGGAATTGCTGACTTGATGCATGCTGCTACGCTGCAGGCAGTGGCTCAAGATGCATCGAAAAGGAGAGAGGCAGAAGAGACGGAGGCTAGGAGATGCAGCAGAGGAGGCAGATGGAGCACTGAGTGGTGTGGCGGCAACAGGGGGAGTCACACCAGCACATGCAGCAACGGCACCGCCACATTTAGTTTCCACGCCACCACCAAATGCAGCAGAGGAGGCAGATGGATCGCTGAGTGGTGTGGCGGCAACAGGGGGAGTCACCCCAGCACATGCAATAGCATCTCCACATTCAGTCACAGCATCAATTGCCGGAACGGCACCACCGGACATAGTCACACCACCACCTCATATAGTCACGCCAGCGAATATATTCACACCACCACCAAATGTAATCGCAGGAACAAGTGGTACTAGTGGTAGTATTGGTGGTGCTTCTGCTGCTGTTACTGCTGGTGGCAGTGCAGGTGCAGCAGGGACAGACGGATCGCTGTTTCCAGCACCAACGCAAGTCGCAGCAACCGTGTCAGCAGCACCAACAGCACCAACACCACCACCATCAGTACCCACAGCACTACAGTCAGCACCCACAACGCCACTTTCAGCACCATTAGCAACAACAGCACTGATTGCATCGGGTGCTTCTCCTGCAGCTTCTGCTGCCCCAGCTCCTGTCTGTGTGACTTTTGAGTCGACTCAAAAATCAGCACCCGCAACACCACTTTCAGCACCAGTAGTAACAACAGCACCGCCGATTGCATCGGGTGCTTCTCCTGCAGCTTCTGCTGCCCCAGCTCCTGTCCGTTTACCTGCTGCTCCCACTAACCCTGCCCCTGCTCCTGCTGCTCCGTCCCTCCCTACTACCCTGACTAATCCCCTCCCTGCTCCTTATTCCCCTGCTCGTTCTGCCCCTCCCCCTGCTCCTGCCCCACTTGCTCCTGCTGCTCCTCCTGCTCCCGCTGCTCCTCTTGCTCTTGCTCCCCCTGCTCCTGCTTCTCCCCTTGCTCCTGCTCCCCCTGCTCGCGCTGCTCCCCTTGCTCCTTCTCCCCATGCTACTGCTCCCCCTGCTCCTGCCCCCCCTGTTCCTACCCCCCATGCTACTGCTGTGCCTCTCCCTTCTCCCTCTTCTCCACCTCCCCCTCCTCCCCCTCGCCGTCGATTCCTGAGAGCTCCGGGGGATTCCAGGGGGCGGGGGAAGAAGAGCAAGGGGGAGAAGGCGGAAGGGGAGAAGGCCAAGGGGAACAAGGGCGGGGCAGAGGGGGGGAATGGGGAGGCGATGGTGGAGCAGGGGAAGGGGGAAGGTGCTGAAAAGGCAGGGGATGGGGGTGAGGGAGGAGGAGGAGAAGAGGGAGAAGGAGGAGAAGGAGAAGGAGGAGAAGGAGCAGAAGCAAGAGCTATTGGAGGGATGCTCCCAAGCTCTCCCTCTTCTGCTCCTCCTGCTGCACCTTCTGCTACCCCCACTTCTCTCCATCCCCCTACATCCCATCCTCTTCTCTTCAATCCCTCTCGCCCTCCTCCTTTTCCCCCGCCGCCGATCCTCTTCCCCCATCCTTTTTCACACCAACCCCACTTCGTACGACCTCCCTTGCTACACCCGTCCGTGTTACATCCCTCACTGTTACATCCACCACAACGGTTACCACCTCCCTTTCTTCCCATTGGCTGGAGCGTCTTGGATCGGCCGTGGACCGATCAGGTTCGGGCAGCGGCACGCAGGAGGCTCGTGCGCCGGACCAAGCAGGCTCGGACCGAGGCTCAGGCTCGGAATCTTCAGCAGATGGTGCTGTTGCATTGGATTCGAGGAGGGGGGTTGCCAGTTGGGTATGGGGGAGAGACTGGGGGAGAGGGAGGGAGTGAGGGAGGAACGAGAAGGAGTGGAGGAATGGGAGATGGGGAAAGTGTGAGGGAGGGAGGTGTGAGGGAGGGAGGAGGTGTGAGGGAAGAAGGTGTGAGGGAGGGAGGAGGTGAGAGGGAGGAAGAAGGTGTGATGGAGAATGAAGGTCTGAATGGGGAAGAGGGCGTGAGAGGTGAGGGACAGGACGTGACTAGGAGAGAAGGAGTGAGGGGGGGAGGAGGCGTGAAAGGGGGGGGAAGAAAGGGAGGCAGGAAAGCGAGAAGGGGAGGAGTGGGAAGAGAAATTGACAGGGAAGGGCAAGAGTCACCTGTGAGGAGCCTAAAACGGGGAAGAAAGAAACGAGGACAAGATTTCGAGGGGCAGGAGTCGCTTTTAAGACCTGTCAAAAGGAGGAGAAAGGGAAGAGGACGTGATATGGTCGGGCAGGAAGAGGGATCAGGGGCAGGTGTTGTGGCGGAAGAGGAAATAGATGTTTCACAGGGTTTAATGAATCAGGTGGGAAGAGGAGAGCAAGAGGAGAGAGGGGGACAGGAAGGAGGGGAGGGGCACGAGGAGAGAGGGGAACAGGAAGTAGGAGAAGGGCAAGAGGAGCGAGGAGAGGAGCAAGAGGACAGGGGTGGCCTAGGAGATCCCAGTGGGGGAATCACGGGTGGAGGAGGAGGAGCTGAGCGAAGCGAGGAGGGGGAAGAGCAAGGTGAGCAAAGAATTGAAGTGAGAGTGGAGGAGTCTGGAAGAGGAGGAGGCCGGGCAGATGAAAACTTTCTTGGGGAAATACAGGTCCAAGGCTCCGAACGAGACGCTCTTATTCCTGGTTATGATACGCTCATCGACGTTTGTGGTTATGAGAGGTCTCAAATGTCTGACCCCGAGGTTGCTAGGGCTGAAACCGGGTCGTCTGAGGGAAGAAATGGGTTTTTTCAAAGCTCTACCCCAGAGGCTGTTTCTCGTGAGGCTGGAGATGGAAGGAGGGATGGGAATGAACCGGAGGATAGGAATGGGAACGGGGCAAAGACTAGGTTTGGGAACGGGCCAGAGGTTAGGATTGGGAATGGGCCAGAGGCTAGGGATGCAACGCTAAGTGGAGTTCAGGCTTGCGTGAGGAAGGCTCGGAGCAGTAAACCGGTGCGCCGATCTAGGTTCGGTAGAGGAGGCTTGGAAGTGGCCCAGGACAGGAGAGGGTTGCATGCAAATGGTTTGGATGGCTCTGATATAGCCAACTGTGCGGTTGGGTGCGGTGCAGATGGTGCTAGCAGCGGCAATGCTGGTGCTGGTGCTATTGCTGATTCTTCTGCAGTAGCCGATGCATCACTTATATCGAAACGGGCGAGAAAGAGGCGGGCAGACCAGGAAGAAAATAACTCCATGGGGTCGAGAAAGAGACGGGCAGCTCGAGATGAGAATGTTCCGAAACACCAGGAGAAGACGAGAGGGGCAGCAGAACGGGCACCTGAAGAGAATGGAGGGTGGGAGAGGAGGCTGGGTGAGTCTGAGATAGGTGGAAAGAGAGGGAGAGGGAGGGGGAGGGGGAGAGGGAGAGGGGGTAGGAGGGGAGGGATGGTGGGAGAGAGTGGCCGGGTTGGCATGGATGGTGGTGTTGAGGAGGGGGGAAAGGCAGGAGGAGAGGAATTGAGAGGAGCAAAGGAGCTTAGGGAGGGAAAGAGGGGGAGAGGAGGTAAGGTAAGAGGTGGAAAGGGAAGAGGGAAGGAGGGGAATGCAGGGGGGAGAGGTAGCGGAGGACGGGGACGGGGAAGTGAGGGGAGAGGGAGGGGTGGAGGGAGAGGGTAGGGGAGGCAACAGGTGGGGGTTACTGGTGGTGGTGTGGGTGTAGTGGATGGGTAAAATGGTGTGAGGGCTGTAGCTGGACTGTAGCATGAGGTCACTGTAGATGTTACTGTTGGTATGGTACTGTATTTAGTCAGCATCAACTTTGGTAAGCAGATAGCTTATGTAAATACGAGTACCGCACCTCACTGTTTCAGCATGTATGGTATAATTTAACCTGCCATAGGTTGGTCAATGTGGCAGCTAGTCACCACCAAATGCTCAGTCTGATAGTGGTTAACGTAGTTTTTGTAAACCAGTTTCCTGCAGGTGCTCATTGCGTCTCGGGGGTGCATGGTGCTGTAAGTGGCAGTGGAACTTTCAACATGGACCATGTCACATCGTGTCATATGGTATGCCTCATTGCAGTAAAGTGGCAACTGGAAGAAGGTACGGTACCAGCAGGGAGGTTACAACGAGCTGCTACCCTCAGTGCACCCAACCCAACCACAAACAATAGAGAACATCTGCATGGTAGGAATGAAAGGAGCATGGGATCCTTATGCACACCTGCCAGGACCCATACACAACAATGCTAAAGCAGCTGCACAAGCTGATAAAAACGGTATGCAGAGCAGAACCTGCCTGGTTCTACAATCAAGCTACCGGTAACTCATTCCAGATGCCACAGCGTGGATACAAACATCCGGACCTGCACGTATTGTAGGCAGTCAGGAACTTCGCGAGGTGACTTTTGAGTCGACTCAAAAACCACCTTTCCACGAAGCAGCTACTTCCAGACGCCACAGCGTGAATACAAACATCCGGACCTGCAAGTATTATAAGCAGTCAGGTACTTCCCTCCATTTCTTAAAACAGTCGTTGCAGTCTGCATGCACGCCTGGTTGCACGCAGATCGGTACCTATCAGGGCAATTGAACCAAGCACTCCCAGGAAGCTCGGGAAACGGGCAAACTGCCCCGCACATGGTATCCAGGTTGTTGATCCCGAGGGTTGAATCAGGAGCCATTCCTGCTCGGTTAAGGCACGCGCGATTGCAAATTATGGAGCGGGTGCAGGCTCCTCGGGACAAGATCCTGACGTTGTTGCACTGCGCGTCGCAGTAGGAGGAATAAGTGACAAAGTCGGAGCCACAGACAGGTGGCGCGTATGGGCTGCATCCGCAGTCGATGAGACTGGCGTTTGCGTTCAGTCCCGGAGATAAGGAGCCATCGCCGTTAGACTGCGCTCGCGCTCCGTTGAAGTAAGTGCTCGCTGCGCATAGCAGCACAGCTAGAACAAGACGAGACGTTTTTCTGGAAAACATGCTGTCAAAACTTCAGCTCTGAGAATCAATTGTCAAAACTTGGATACCAATTGACAGAGAAAGGAAAAAATAAGCTTAAATAGTGTCCCATTCCCGAACGCCACTTGAATGGTGAGGCCGTCATGGTCGAGTTGCTGTTGAAAAAGCACCGGAGCGCGTGAGAAAGCTGGGTGCAGCGTGGGGAGGCGATATACCGTATGAGAAGAAAGACGCTAGGGACCCCACACGGCCTATTCGCAGGTACTGCCGCGGTTGTCTGCCCGTTTGTACCGATTGGTCTTCCACAACAAGGCAGGTTCTCTGGCGCTTTCGTTCATAAATCAGGGTTTAGTGCGGTTTCGAAATTTAGCGCGAGTCGAGTGCAAGTGTCCGACCGTATAACCTTCGAATCTGGTGACCACTGTGACGGCGTATTGATAATGGTGTCAACAAAAAAGATAAACGTACAGCTAAATCTTAAGCGTAATGCTTCAAGAATTAGGTTAAAATGTAACAAAACATATCAAGTGGATTTAATTTCACAATGACCAGCTACATCTCAAGTGGCATGTAAAAACACATGAGATGGCCGATAATCCTTTTCTGTAACAATGCCCACATGATGTACCTAAGAAGGCACTGCAAAACGGCAGACAAGGAGAAAATTAGTATATTTTCACTGTCACAAAAGCACAATAATTTTGGATGCCAGCTTGGCACTGGAGGAACTTACTGTACGTAGACGTGTCAATCTGCTCTGGCAAGGCCTTGATGTCAACTTCAAACCGTGACTGAACCTGAAAGCCCCAATGCCAACGAATTAAGTCAGAGCTGTGATGTAGTTGCACAAAAGCATCAAACAAAAAGCCGACGACATCAAGAACAGCAAACACAAACCTGATCCAGCTTCTTCGAATCCTCCTCTGAGCTCACAAAAGTGATAGCTAGACCCTTTGTGCCAAAACGACCAGCACGGCCAACCTGAAACAATGAAGGACCCAATCACGTCAGGAAACACATTCAACTGCTTTCATGTGTACTCTGACATCCATTGTAGGTTTCAACATACCCGATGAAGATAAGTGTCTGCATTTTCAGGCATGTCGTAGTTGATGACGATATTGACTCGCTCGATGTCAATGCCACGCCCCACAAGATCTGTTGCCACCAGAATGCGCTTGTGTCCCTCCTTAAACGCCTTGTAGCGGGTCAGCCTGCAAAATAAGCCACTTGACTAAGCAACAAGCTGCAGGGAAACAACAGCAATATCGTAACCAACAAGCTTACCTCTCCTCCTGTGTCATCTGAGAATGAATGGAAATCGCAGGGAAATTGCATTCCACCAGAAGCTTGTTCAGCTGAGCAGCGCGGTTCACCGATTTGACAAATATGACAACTTGATTGAAGTCGAGAGCATCAAGAAGGTCGTTCAGCTTCCTGTTTTTCTCGTTCTCCTTCAATTGAATGTAGTGCTGCAGTATGTAAAACGAACAGACCGTAAGTAAACGAGAAGCCTACAAATTTGAATGGAGTAGGTCAGAAACGGCTGTACCAACCTGAACGAGACCATGAAGTGTCAGCTTCGTTTCGTCATCAACGTAAATCTCCATAGGCTGTACACAGCACAAACAAGGGGAGGGATAAGAATGAAAGAGAATGCGATGGTTGCTGATACTGCACCTGCTCCGCACAGAAGCATGTGAAGGAGCCGCACTGGATCAACCTAAAAAAATGGAAAACATGCACGTATAAAAGACACTACACAGTCGTTCCCGCAATCTGGGAGTAAAATAGCGAGATGTGAGGAAGCGAGAACCAGGGTTGCGGTACCCATTGTCAATCGAGGGGCTCAGATGGCTTTCCGCGTGAGTAATTGATGCCTTCAGAGCACGCGACTCCGACACGGCCCAGCACTCAATTATCCGCGCGTGAGTAATTGATGCCTTCAGAGCACGCGACTCCGACACGGCCCAGCACTCAATTATCCGCACCAACGGCTGGAAGCTGGGTCCGACCTCAACCAGAAGCAGTTCCACCTCCAGTCCGCAAACCAATCAGTCCCTCAACGGCCTCCTCCCTTCACCACCCCCAAATCCTCTCCCATACCAAAGACTCTCCAGCCATAAGCCTCCACACCCTCTAGCACATCTCTCACGCGATAACCCACTCCTCAGAAACTTCTGACCGCTCCAATTCCCAACCTAATATCGACCCCATGGTTCTAAGCTGATCCCGCTAGGCTGGAGCTGATGAGCACAGCTGCTGACACAGCGACTGGAGATGATGTCCTGGGCTACAGAGGTCGAGTGCATCGGGGATATTTACATCGGTCATAAACTTCTTGCAGACGGGGCGAATCTCCTTGCTGAGCGTCGCGGAAAACATCATGACCTGCTTGTCGTGAGGAGTAAGCTTGAAGATCTCCTGAACATCCCTCCGCATATCTGTTACATAAAAAAAAAAACCTATCAGTACACTCGCAAAAATAAAATGTGAACATAAGTAACGCACGCCAGAGCAAGACTTACCAAGCGACTCCAGCATCTTGTCGCATTCATCGAGAATGAAGTGGCGCACGTGCTTCAAGTTAAGATCCTTCTGCCGAGCAAGATCGAGAATACGACCGGGCGTTCCGACGACAATGTGCGGGCACTCGTTCTTGAGCATATCCTTGTGCGTCTTGATAGCCACGCCACCGTAGAAGACCGCGACTTTGACATCGGGAAGGTATGTGGTAAACCTCTGAACCTCGTTACAGATCTGCAGCAACATGAAATTGGTCAGAATCCTACCTAGACCTTATGGGGGGCTACATTAAAGCTGTTAAGCAAACCAAAAGCGCACCTGATATGCGAGTTCACGGGTGTGGCAGAGGATCAGCGCCGATACCTCCCCAGCTACTGGTTCGATCTGCTGAAGCGTTGCCAGCACAAACACAGCTGTCTTCCCCATACCAGACTTGGCTTGGCAGATCACATCCATGCCAAGAATGGCTTGGGGAATACACTCGTGTTGCACTGCAAAAAAAAAGCATATTAACTCAGAAACCCCCTCCGGCATGTGAAAAGATAACACATCCTCGACATGCTTCAACGAATGTATGCACCTTCTGATGGGTGTTCAAAACCACAGTCCACAATAGCGCGAAGCAGCTCGGGCTTGAGAAGGAAGTCACGAAAACCAGAGCTATGAATCCCCACATATCCCCTGCGCAAAGTACGTCGTAAAGGATAAACTCAGATTTCTAGATCAATTCCAGGACCAGCTTTCGAAGAGACCAACAACGCCCAGCTTACTTCCTAGCTGCTTCTGTCGTTTTGGCAGCTCCGGCATCGGGAGCGGCTTCTTCTTCCTCTTCGAAGTCTACGAGCTCTTCCTCCTGATAGGTTTCCTTGGTCTCAGCCATCACGGAGTACTAAAAGATAGTACTGTAAAGATCAGGTGTCAGCGTGTGGACGGCGAGAACGCGAAAACAGAACAAACCCTTGCAGAAACGGAAAAGCCGTAAGGGAACCTAGCGGAGTGTTGTGAGATACAAACCCCCAGGACTAGTGCGTGATGTTTTTTTTTTTTTTGAAATGTCTAAGATTCAACATTGGAGCAGGTAGAACAAAATGCGAATTGTGGGGAAGTGAAAGGATATATGCTCTGAGGTGAGGTTTTTTTTTTTTTTAACATCTTTTTCAGTTTTAAATGAAAGAAAAACGGAAAACGCAGCCTCAAGAACACCCCAGTAGAACAGCACATAAGGAACCCCAAAAGACACCCCAACGAGATACCCCCAACGAGACACCCCAACGAGACACCCCAACGAGACACCCCAACAATACGCCCCATCTAACCAAACCCCCCACCCCCCTCACCTAAACCCACCCTCTAAACCCGCATGTCCACCAAATAGGGCGCATCCGCCCACGGAGCATCCCATCCCATCTCCTCCTCAAAATCCTCCCGCTCCACCGAAACAGCCTCTGGGCCTCTCATCATCGACGCCGCGCGCAACAAGATCACACGCGCCTGAGCCCGCTGCAAAGCCACACCTATGGCCGCTTTAAGTGATCCAAGCAAGTAAGCCGAGAAACCTTTCCCCGTAGCTCTCGCCGCCCCTTTCGTCTTCGCTACCTCAATCTGCGCGTCGCCCTGTTTCTTAAGCCACCGCCCAAAACTCCCCCCCAGGCAACCCCATGTCTCGGCAATGAGAGGTGTAAACTGCACTCCCCTATGTCGCTGCAGAAGCAATTTGTAGTCCGCCGCCTTCCGCTTTTCCCTCTCTCTAGCGGCAAAACCCACCTTGCGACCAATCTGTCCATGGTGCTGCGCGGACAACGAGATAGGGTCCACCACACTAACCTCCAGCGCATGCTCCTCCCCCTCCCTCAGTCTCCGCACCGCCACATCCACCCTCTTCCCTGGCAGCAACGTATCGTCTTCCATGGTCACGACCCCACCCGCCCCTTTAGCTATCTTCGCCACAACAAACTTAACCGCGTCGTGAACACGAGAAGGTGCGTACTGGTACTTGCAGCGAAGGGCATGATGCGGGTCAGAGGGATCAGCAAACTCAAACCCACACGCGCACTTGCCGGCGACTATCAGCTGCTGTATGGGGAGGCCTAGGCGCATGGACGCACAGATGCTCCACTCGGCTGCGGTGAAGGTAGCCTCTTCGTGCGAAGGGACGGCGGAGACCCACGCCCCTGCCCCCGGGCCCTGAAGGGATGTCAAACGGGCCATGGTGGCGTCGTCGTGGGCCATACCCCGAAGAGTCTGCAGACTCTCAACCGCTAGGCGACGGTGTTGTGTGGGGAAAAGCAGCACAGGGGGGTCAGCGGTGCATAAGGCTAGGGGTGGCATCTCCTGCCTGACCGACTGTGGCAGCAGCTCCACTGCTCTCGCAAACCAAGGATCCAGCAAGGTCGTAGCCTCGGGCGTGCGGAAAAAACTCCTCAAACATCCGTTCCTCCCCTGCCACCCCCATCCGAGCCACATCGCTCACTGCCTGGCACCAACCACATGCGTACGACAGAGGGCTAAGGTCAGCTGCAGATCGAATGCCAAACCCTCCAAGTCTGGCTGGAAGGTGCAGCTGTAGACGGGCCATCTGCGACCTTGCCGAATCATGATCCCAGGTGCTATCTGGAAACAGCTGCTCAAAACAATCCTCAAGCTTCGTGCCCCAGTCGCGGAAAGCCTCCACAACCTCAGGCCGTGGAGGCATCGTCCTTGTGAGGTAAATCGGGCGCGCTGACACTGCGATCGCCAGCAGATGGGACGCAATCTGTGGGTGGTCGAGCAAAGGAAGCCAAGGGACAGGTGCATGCAGCTGCATCAGCCGGCCTCGCAAGCTGGCCACCTCCCACTCCTCCTCCCCAATAGGAACCCCCACTACGGTGAGCCCCGTCCATGTTTGCTGCATGCCGGGCGGGACGGTCTCGTTCCTCTCCTCTCCCTCCTGGTCCACCCCTCGCTCCCAAAGCTTGCACTTATGCGGCTGCACCTCCAGACCAAGCCCGCCCAGTCGTTCCCGCAAGACCTCATAAGCTGCTAGCACCCGCTCCCTAGGCCCCAAGATGTACGTATCATCGGCGTAGCTGAGAAAGAGTAGGTCGGCGAATTTTTGTTTGGTGGGCTCCATAACCAGCTGCTGTGTGAACGCGAACAGAAACGGCCCCAATGGGTCCCCTTGCCTCGATCCTCGCTCTGAAGCCAAAGCTTCGACGAAGGGGCCCGCACGGAGGTAGAGGTCGCTAGGAGTGCCGTAGAAGACACGCAGGAATGGGATCAAACCCGCAAAAGGCGACTGTCGAAGTCCTTCAAACATTTCCCGCCGACGGAAGGAGTTGAAAGCATTCGCCACATCAATTTGAAGCGCGCACCATGACGGGTGAGTAGAGATGGCAGAACGAAAGGCATGTGCGAGGACTTCCACTCCCGACCTGGATCCGACTCCTAGCTGGTTACACGGCGCAAAGTGCGACATCATCTTCGGCCGAAGCACGATGCATAGGGCCCGAGATAGTATGCGGGGGAGCACCTCGCCTATAGCCACCGGGCGAACGTCACCATTCGGCTTCGACAGGCCCACAAGGTTGGACGCAGTGAGCCAGGGTCGCACGCGCTCCGCTACCTCTCCCTTGGTCCACTGGGTGAAGACTCCTAGCAGGTGAGGCAGGTATGCGGGCTCAGAGAGAAAAGTGTCGCGCAGGTGCTCCGTCACCCACCCCGACGGTCCTGGTGCCGACGCCCTAGCCGCAGAGTGGATCGCCTGACCTGATGTGATGTGCGTGATGTGATGAGAGATCTGGTCTGGTGTAACGTGTTCATCGAAATGTTCAAGCTTGGTAGTCTGTCCCGCGATCTATTGCCTCCAACTCAGATCTGAGGATTGCAAAGCTGAACTGAACTGTTGCAATACACTAATTAGTTGCTACGCCTATGACTATATTACAAAGATTTTACTTCAATCGAACTAAAAAACCTACAGCAGTTTATGTAACTAATCTTAGAGATATTGACAGCTCCAGTAACAGAATCCATCATGACGAGTTTAAGTGTCTAGGTGAACGGTTGAACATGACTCGCCACATGAAGGCTCGTGACAGCACCATGTCAAGCTCCTTTTCACTCCATCTCTTTGTTGGCACATGTTGCAAGAACAATACCATTTCCTGGAAGTCCATCTGTTGAAGTTGTTCTGACCACTGCAAACAAAAAGCCAGACTACTTCAGCAGTGGTAACACACCAACAAATCAACATGAGAGAAAGCAAAGCACGTTGCATTGCAAACTTACGGTGAGCAGGAAACTTGCACATAGGTAAACCAAAAACTCTGCAAAACCATCACCCTCTGAAAGATATGTGTCCCACAATCTTCCCACAATAGAGAACGGAATCTGCAAACATGCAGGGAAAAAAGGGACACGATTTGCCGTACTCACTATAGGTAGATCAGCCTATCAAGACCAAAGCGAAATGGGCATACCTCACGGATTAGCAGGCAGTTGAACCACCGAAACGCGAACTGAAGAAATTCCAAGTGGTGCTCTTCCATGTGTCGAGAAACAGGCTCTGCAAATTGCATTCGACTAAGTGAGTCAAAGGTTCATATACAGGCTGTTGGTCAAGCCACAACAGAATACAACCTCACCATCAATCCTTCTCACAAGCTCCTTGAGGCGGAAAACAAGGCGCTGGATGCCTGGCTGTGCAAAAGTATAGTGGTCTTGGATGCCATCAAGCAACTTGGACAGACACCAGTAACTATCTGCCTCGACTTGCAAAAGGGTATCTTCAGAAAGCTTTGAAACCACCCAGGTATCAATGTCTCCTTCAAATATCTCCGAAAGAAACACGGTGAGGAATGGAGTCAGCAGGTCATTGATTCCTTGAACATATCCACTGGCTGGGTGGCGTATAGCCCTGCAAAACGAACATTTTTATCACATTAATGATTATTTCACATTAACAAGACGACAGCGGACCATGCAGGAACTTACCAAATGTAGAGTACACGCTCAATTGCTGTCTGCATCAAGGTTTGCTGGAAGAAGGGGACATCTGGAACAGTTCTCGGGCAATCTACAGATATCTGTACATAGGAGGACTGGGTGTCAAATGGCGGAATTGTGGGGTTGATTATGGATTCAAAACCTGAAATATGCCTACCTGACGAAGTGTGTGAATTTCATCATCACTGCGGTCTTCATTTGGGATGTCATAATACTGGGGAACCCACTCCCTGTACTCTTGACGTTTCCTGGCCAAAACTGTCTCTCTTCTATCCGCGTTTGGCGGTGCGTATCCCTGAAAGCATACAAAATTGAAAGGATCAATATGACCAGACATTCCGCTGGCACTATTGACCACATGTGAACATTCTTCTTCTCACCAGTAAAAGACGCCAGACAGTTGGTCTTAAGTTGGGAGGTATGCCACTCCATGAAAGCTCCCGAAGAGCATCTGAATGTAAGCGCCACGACGCTTGATAAGACCAGAGCTTTAACGAGAGCATGCGTGTGGTTGATCTATATCGAGATTTACCTAGGTCCACTGCAGGAGCCGATAATTCCTTTCTGAATTTGGCAACCCTAGCAGTATCCAGGGATCTTGACTCGGGCATCGGCTCTACTACGGCTGGAGCCGTTTCCGCAACTGGTGGAGACGCCTCTTGTATTCTAGATTTCGATGCTAGCTGGTCAAGCACAGTAGAATCACAATAAGAAGAACGCATAACGTGAAAAGCTAGGAGCTAAAACGATCAGCATACCACCGTACCTGTCTCTCCTCGTTTGAAGGTCTAAGAATTTCAGCGGCATCAATTTCAGGACCCTCCCGTGCTCTCACAGCACTCGTCGGGCTTATGGCTTGCTGAGGCTCACCCCTGGTGAGCTTTATTCTCCCAGGTACGGATTTTCCACCTCCAAACCTGAAAGGAGACGAATAAGTTTCAACGATAAGTACAAGGTATTCTGCGGAGATGCAAAACTTACTGTACGTTTAAGCCATCTAGTGCTACCTTCCCCACATCGTGTTGTCACAACGAACAGTGGTGTCTCTGGAGCAGCAGTTGACCTAAATGTAAAACTTATCGAGCCTCCCGAATCTGATATATAAAGCGGTCACTCGAGAACAGCGTGATTGGACTATTTACCACGACACGTGCACTAATCGTCAGATCATGGCTTCAATGATATGATAGTAGTATCAGTAGCTGACTAAGCGTTGTGGCTTGCATTGGGAAGGGAAGGCAAGGAGTGGTGCAGGGGGAGTGGAAATCAGGGAGCATAGCAGGAAAGGAAAACGTAATCGGTTCAGCTCGGTTTTCTCTGACCAGTACAACGGAAGCGCCCATTTTCAAGAGGAATGAACGTGTTTCACGACCGCGCCAAAAGTTGACGGAAACGGGATCAGCTGACGAATGCTGAAGGTTCGCTCAAGCGGCACATTCTTTTCGCCTGGTTCAACTGTAGTGCCTGTTACGAATGCACAACAAATAGAGTAAATTTTATTTGTTGTGAACTCAACACTACTCCCTAAGAAAATCGTTTCTCACACAACTCACACAAAATTTCCTCTCTTCAACTATCCAGTGCAGTGCTGACACAACAAATCTGGGTCATCACAAATTCACTACACAGCACAAGGCCTCCAAACCTGCAACAACTTGTCGTAAAAAGAGCACGAGCCAACAACCCATGCACTATCAGCTTCTGCATTTGCAACTGCTGATGACTTCTTGCATGAACCCCAATCGATGCCATAGACCATGGACTTGTGCTGCTCATACCGCTCCACCACTTCTCCACATAGACCCTGGAATGACTCCCTCCCAGCCTCATCCTGGTGCAATAAACTCTTCGTATCCTTTGCAGGTGGAATAGGGATACCCACAGCACTGGAAAGATCTTGGGAAAGGGAAAGTATCGTAGCTCCTCCGTGCATACAAGCAGCCAGAACAAGGTGAGCTTTCTCCGGATGCCACTTGATCCTCCACACCCCTCCGCCTGTCGCAACCTGACAAACAGCTACAGGCATTAGCGGCATGCGGACATCCCAGAATCTTACCGACTCATCGTAACTCCCAGATGCGAGGAGATGCGGAGAGTGGGGAGAGCAGCGGAGAGACGTGACCCCGGCTCGGTGTGCCTTGATGTTGCGCCATGCAGGCCGCGAGGAGGATGGAGAGAGCGGGGATGAAGAGGGGGAGGGAATTTGTGTACGGAGGTCCCAGGCACACATCGCACAATCATCGCCACCTGAGTATAGCACCTGAAGGGAAAAATGAAAATGATACTATGGAGAATGAGTCAAAGGAGAATGCAAGAGGATCTGGTTACAAGGAAAATGACACAAAACCATTTTTCTTATAATCACTATCACCATGGAGTGCAGCAAGCAAAATGTCACATTCAAGGGGTGAATGCAAACACCCACCTCAGGATTCCAGATGTTAAAGCAGCATGTCCATGCTTCAAACTCGTGTGCTGGCCACGCATGCTCGGGTTTTGAGACGTCGCAAAATTCAATATGCGAAAAAACACACCCACCTCAGGATCCCAGATGTTGAAGCAGCATGTCCATGCTTCAAACTCGTGTGCTAGCCACGCGTGCTCCGCCACCCACGCACCACCCTCTCCCTGCCGTGCCACCGCCAGCGATCCATCCGACCGACTCACAGCGATCCGATCCCTCCTCACACCCCATACTCTCCTTCTCTCTCCCACTCCCTCCTCATCAGTCTCCCCCTTCCCGCTCTCCCCTGCATCTGCCTCCTGCTGCTCCCGGTTCCCGCTTCCTGCCTCGAATTCCCCAGCCGTCCACCAATCCAACGCAAGGCACATCGCAGGTTTGGTGTCAGGCTCGGCAGGATCGGAGGGAGGAAAAGGAATTCGGGTGTACAGTGACAGGCTTGGTGCTGCAGCGGCGATCGGTCCTCCATGCATCTCATACAGATCTACGGTCCCATCAGCAGTTGCTGCTGCCAGCAGCATCTGCTCAGTCGAGTTCCCTCGCTCAGCAACATTCTCTCTTCTTTCCCTCAGATCAGCTATTTCTTCGTCCTGCTCGTCTGCTTCTGCTCGCCGGCCAAGAAATCCCTCGCTTCGCCACTTAATGTCCAGAATGCCGCAACCGCTGACTGACTGTAGGTGGACCATGCGTGCTGCGGATGGAAACGGCGGTTCTTTTATGTCACGGAGCCGTCCATTATCGTCTGACACGTCAGCATCGACGGCGTCAAGGTTGAACAGATGCACTCCGCCGAGACGCGACTGACGCTTTCCGTTTGTCGTCTCGCCGTCGGATTGAGAAGAACCATCGGCGGTGATAGTAGCAGCCACGTTAGCATCACCAGAAGCCTGCGGCTCTACTAGCTGATATGATGCCACTGCGAATGTGCCGGGGAAATCGCGAGACGGGCAAAACTCCACCGCGTCGAGGCATTGCGGAAGCACGCGGGAATCAAGGAGGCGTGCGTCAACTCGATCCGAGCCGCCATGGTTCAAGGTTCGCTGTGCTGATGTTCCCGAGGACATGGTCGCTTATCTGGAGAGGAGATGCAGCAGACTCGGCATCGCACAGAAGAAGATTTCTGAAATCTTTTTGAATCTCTGTGTGCATCTCGGGGTCGTGTTTTCGCGTCGTTCAGTAACAGCTCTGTATCGCGTACCGGTATGCCCTACAACGAACCTGCAGTGCTTCGAAAAGACGAAATCGCCGCACATCGCCAGAAATGAATTTCGGCGTGTGCTGCTCGGTTCAGAAGGGAGGGAAACGAGCAGCACCCAACCAATCGGAGTACTCTCCTGCACCTGGGGTACCAAATCCGTGTTATGGCAAAAGAACTCTAACGTTCAGAGAATGTACACTTCCACGGTACTGCAAAAATCATCAGAGCTTTCAAGAGATTGAACATTACATACTTCCAAGGACAGCAGCAGCTTGTAACACAATTTCTCCCTAGAGATGCGCAAATTTCCGCTTCCTGCTGCTAGCCACCGTCGGGAGGTAAGTGAAGAGTGAGCTGGCGTTTTCGTGTCACTTGGGCAGCAGCCATGGGCACTTAGGCAGCAGCCTCGGTGATGGGGAACTCGAAGACAACATCCTTGCCGGTGAGCTTCTTGTAGGCAGCAGAAAACGTCTCCACCTTGTACTCGGTGCTGTTGCGCTCCTTGGGGTCCAGGTACACCTGTGTAGGGGGGGACAACGAGAGATCAAGAAAGGCAGCAGACAGTGCGTGTTGATAAGGCGCCTTGCAAACAGAATCCTGCAACGAATACTCTGGTAATCGCACCTTAAGAATATCCCATCCTTATGATGCGGCCGCCACGCCATGGCTTCACGATCACACAGCAAACTGCCACCATTCCATACCTTCATGATACATCGAGACAACACAGACGAGCTTTACCTTCAGACACCAAAGGAACTCTCACCTTCATCCTGCTGTCACCGTGCATGCATGATGCGAGAGCCGTCCAACCAGAAGCGGGCATGTTTTGAAAAGTTTAAGAGGCTATATGTACACTGCATAAACAACACCGTACCTTCATGATGCGCGAGCCGTCCAACCGGAAGCGAACGCGCTTGCCAACGATCTCCGTGGGGAAGACGAGGTCCTCCAGGATCGCCTCGTGCACCGCCGTCAGCGTGCGCGTGCGCGGCCGCACCACCTTGGAGCCCTTGCGGGGCTTGGGGAGAATACGGCGGGTGGCAACCAACACTACATCCTGAGAGAGGGGAAGGGTGACGTGGGACAGAGGGGGAAACGGATAACAATGCATGAGTGCACTGCTGTCAGCGTGTGCGTGCGCGGCCACACCACCTTGGAGCCCTTGCGGGGCTTGGGCAGGATGCGGTGGCCACCAGCACTACATCCTGTGGGCGTGAAAGGGAGGCGACGGACAGGGCAAAGGGGGTAGATAGGTCACAGGGCATGAGTCCACCACCGTCAGCGTGCGCATGCGCAGCCGCACCATCTTGCAGCCCTTGCGCGGCTTGGGGAGCTGCAAAACGTCCGCTCATCTCCCATTGACTTCCCAAACCTGCGCCTCCAATCCTTTTTCACACACCGTAACCTCTCCTCTTCACACCCGATCCTCCCCTGCCCCCACCAAGCCTCTATCTGCTCACACCCAGCCTCCCCTGCTCTCATCAAGCCTCTTCCTGCTCACACCCAACCCAACCCTCTCCACTCTCCCATGTCCTCCCATCCCTCCAGCTCTCCTCTGCCTCTCCCGCCAATTCTTCCCAGAAAAAATGCGGGGCTTCATCCTTCCAGCGCCTCTCCCGCAATGCACGTCGCCCCTCAAAATGCACCCCTTCCCACACCCCGCGCACGCTCTTCCAGTTGCTATCATTCTTCTACCTAGACCCCTCTCGACCGCACCTCGCCCCTCTCAACCGCAACTTGCCGCTCTCCACCGCACCTAGCAGCTGAACTTCTCGAGCTCGCGCACGAGGCACCCTGCCGCTCACGTACTTACACTGACCTCTCACCTAACCTCGCCCCTCTCGTTCACACCTCGCCCCTCTCCACCGTATCCCACCACATCTCGCCCCCTATCCACTGCACCTTGCCGCTAAACTTCTTCGCTCCCGAACGAGGCGCGCGTGGATCTTCTGGAACGCCTTCCGCAGACGGTACTGACCCCCCACCCAATCTCACCCCTCTCAACCGCACCTCGCCCCTCTCGACCGCACCACACCGCTCAACACCCCTATCCACCGCACCTTGCCGCTGAACTTCTTCTCGAGCTCCCGCACGAGGCGCGCGTGGATCTTCTGGAACGCCTTGCGCAGGCGGTACGGCACGTGCACGATGACCGCCTTGCGGCTGCTCGACACGTCGATCTCCCTGAACGAAAGAACCGGGATGAAGGGTCACGGGAGAAAGGGGCATGGGATGCGGGTTGGGATGAGGGTTGGGGACGGGGGCAAGCGTTCCGCAGGCGGTACGGCACGTGCACGATCACGGCCTTGCGGCTGCTCGACACGTCGATCTCCCTGGTAATGTCACGGATGGAGAATGGGGACAGGAGGATGGGGAATGGGGATAGGGGGATGGGGATTGGAGGAGGTTAAGCCTTTCGCAGGCGGTACGGTACGTGCACGATCACGCATTGCAGGCGGAAACCGGGATAAAGGGGCATTCGTTTAAAGTTCATCCGTAGACGGGTTGAAAGAATAGGCGGGGGGAGGAGCGCGGAGGGGAGGGGGGGAAGGGGTTGGGGAGCGGGGGGGAGAGGGAAATACGTCCCTAGACTGAACGAGAACGTGAAGAGAGTCAACAGGAAAACCCGGTTTAGTGGGAAATCGAAGGAAAACAACAAATGAAGCGTACTTTGCGCTGTTGATGAAGAGATCGCGCAGGTCGCTCTTCAGCTCCTGATTGGTCGCCTCCAAATCGAAGAGGGCCTGCAGTCCAATCAGACCAGACCACGGAACATCCACGCCACCACCCAAGAAGCCGATTAGCACGCGGTGAAATTCCCCAAAACCACGACAACACACGAGGATCCGGCCTGTCCCCGGTAACTACAAACTAGGGTTAGACGTGTGTACTAAGCATACCAGAGCAAGCCCCAGCTTTTGGAAACTAGCGCGCTAATTCAAACCGAGGCTGAATATCGTTTTCTGGGCGCCGCCAGGAAGCAGACTCGACCGACATTCCGATAATATTCAATCGACAAAGAAACTCAAGTTGAATTTTGAACCCTCGAAACCCTAACCCTGCTCCAAAAGGCCTTTTCACGAGAATTCGCTCCACCCGACCACTATTCATTCACCAGTCATTCCTTTCGACCGTCTCACCAACGTCTCAACTGCTTCAGCGAACTGATCAGGTAACCGTGCCCGATTGCGCGATCACCATATACCTGTTCGTTAACAACTCCTTTCAGTTGCGACTGGTCCCAACGCATTAGAGCCCTAACGATGGCTCGACTGGTCCCTAACTCAGCTCCCGAGTCGAGTCTACGGTCAAACGCACTCCAGAGACGGTGGATGTCGCCACGCGAGGAAGCTTTGGCGAGATTGAAGACTCGCAATAAAAACGGCCAGCTCCGCCAATGACTGCTACTAAATCGTCACGGCCTCCTCCTCTAAGGCCGACGGTACTGAATGCGATCTGCTCCACTGACGGCCGCCAGAACTAACCCAACGACTCTTTACGCGTTATCTGCGGTGTACTGTACGCTCTGACACCTGACCTCCGTAACGACTGTTGATCTCAAGGACAGTTATCTGAGCGGCGCTCCACAATCGACAATCTGAGGGGTACTCCATTTTTGAGGCGCCTCAAAACTACACAATCTGAGGGGTACTCCATAATCCAAACTAATCATCCCGGCAGGACCGTGACAGTATGAGCCTATCAGGCCTGCAACGCGATCGAACGGGCTGTGCACATTGAGACGCCATCGAACGGTCAGTGACGCGACGCGACGCACCTGAGCGACGGTTTCCTCGAACTCATCGGGCTCCTGACCCTTCTCCTTCTGAATCTTTCTGCGCGCTGTAAACATGGCTGCACGAATGGACACACGACACGTGGCACGACGTGAGACGGGGACGAATCACCACACGAGAAGCGATGACAACGGGATGACAGCAGACTGCGAACCGCGAGACGCGAACCCCACGCAGAGGAACCGTGAGCCTGTATTCTACAATACTCAATTAGGCATAATACAGCACAACTGAACAGCAGGGTCTGGAAGCGCATTCTAACCTGCGAAAGGGTATGTGAGACCCTGCGACTAAGATGGGTGATGCAGCGTGTGTGACGCCGAGCGCGCAGGTCCTTAGGGTCTGCGACTAAAGAGAGGGAAGTAAGGGGAGGTAAGGCGAGTTATTCGCCGAACAGGAGGAGAGGAGAGCACAGGGGAGGAGGGGGAGATGAAAGAAAGGCCTGGCGAAGGCTAGGCCCTCACGAAGAGTGACGAAACCTGCGAGACGATGCGCGAGATTAGATGGTTTCGGATTCACTGGTGGTAAGCCACTCCAGCGTCGTGCGGTATTAGCGGACGCAATAGAGGATCAAAGTGTGTTGAGCAGCTTTCATTCTTGAGTATGAGGGATAGAACCACAACCAGAATTCAATGTCATGGCTTGGTCACTAGTGTCCTAATGACGCATGTAAAATAAACAGAATTAAAATTTATGAGACATAATTGTACATTTTATTCCTTATTCATAATGCCCAATCCATATTACGTAGTTCTTTTCCCATAAATGTCTACACTTTTTGTTAGAAGCTATGGAAACGCGTCTTTATTTACTTACGTTCGGTGAATTCCAAAATTGTTTGCAGAAACATAAAACCTGGCCCTGATATAGGCATCACAGAAAAATACATCATATCATCCTTCGGTTTTTCTGTGTAAAATTGTTCGGATATCGCAGAAATTGATGTCGTGTAGTTTTATGGTAGCTTCTAGGCGTCAACTCATATGCAATCGCTTGTCAGGCAAGCAATGTTCTGCACCGTAGCTACCCAGCACCGTGCAGTGCGCGCATTTCTCCACTCCGCGCAGCCTTGAAGTTTACGGTAGAAATGATCAACGAGGTAGGATACTGGTAGATTGATAAAAGACACGTCGAACTACTGCTGATGTTAGAGGACTCTAGTGTAGGCTCGTAGTTTGTTCAAGTTCGATCGGTCGAGGTCGATCGAGGTCGATCACCTCAGGGAAGTTCAAGGCAAAGATAGGCGTCGATGCGAAATCAAGCGTGCCATCATGGCCGTCCATCTTTCCACGTCAGCAGCAACGCTGGCATCACCTCCCTCCGCCACTTCCTCCCCTTTTCCGCGCACTCCCGCATCCGTTACGCACAATCCCGCTCCGCTTCCGCGCTTACCGGCGCGTTCCCCGCATCCGTCCGACAAGATCGCCGCTCTCCGCCGCTGCCGGTCGTTCTCCTTCCCCGTGCCAGCTTCCGCGCCCCCGTCCCGCGCTGCTAGCCGGTGTTGCGCCGCGCCTGGATCCGCGGAAGGAGGCCCAGGGGAAGCTGGGGTGGAGATACAGAGAGCGGAAGGGGGGGAAGCACCTAGAGCGGAAGGGGCAGCTGGGGTGGGAACACAAGGAGCGGAAGGGGAGCAACAGGGAGAGGAATGGCGGTCACCAAGCGGAGAAGATAGACCCGCCGAAGCTGCTGATCTCTACCTGCCACGTGAACGGGGTGTGGTGAGGATGCGTGCAGTGCACGTGAGAAACACAGCACGCGAGGCAGAAGCAGTTGAGAATCCACTGCCACGTGATTGGGTGGTGCTGAGAATGCCTGAAGGTGGAGTGCACGTGGGAAGCACAGCACGTGAGAAGCACAGCACGCGAAGCCGGAGCTGCTGAGAATTCCCTGTCACTTGAACGGGTTGTGCTGAGAATGCCTGAAGTTGGAGCATATGTGGGAAACACAGCAGGCGATGAATTGAACACGAGGCTTGCCTGGACTGGCAAGTCGGTGCTGCAGGCTGTGTGCAGTGTGGTGCTGAGCGGTTCGCTGGTTTTGAGTCCTCTCCCTGGTCTCTCCGACCCGTCTGCTTTTGCTACTGCTGCTACAGCCGCTGATACAGTCGCTGCTACAGCTGCTACAGCTGCTACACCCGCTACTGGCAATTTTGACTATCTGTTTGACAACACCATGTATCACGGCAGCATGGAGGGGAGCACACGCAGCATGGCCTCCAGCAGCAGCGGGAGATACACATTCGCTTTCAACGGCCAGGATGACAGCATACCGTTTCTAACCGACACAACGATCACCTCTGGGAGCATTCCTCCCTCCATCAGTGTCCCTCCCTCCACCAGTATCGCTCCTTCAGTCGCCTATTATTCACCCTCCCTTAGTTACCAGGAAAGCGGGGATTCAGCTTCCTTGCTTCTCCCATGGTCGCCCCCGGTCGCGTATACAGCTCTCTCTGTGCCAGGGGGGGGAGCAGCCCCCGCATTTCCTTCACTGGAGCAGCTACTAGCAGAGCAGCTGGCGCAGAGGTATGTTTGTTTGTTATATATATATATATACCGGAGCAGCTGATGCGTGGTGGAGTGGTGGGTCAGCATTGCCCCCACTGGGAACTGTTTACTTTACCCCTTCCGTTAGCAACGCGAGACGGCGAGCTATTTACCCTCTCCTTTGGCAACGAGGCTCGTTGAGTCATGGCTGGCGACGAGTTAGTGGTGAGTTTTTTGAGAATTCTCAAAAAACACACGCTTGAGTCATGGCTGTTGACGAGTTAGTGGTGTGGCTGATGAGCCATGATGAGTCTCATTTTGTTCTGATCAAGCATCGGCTCTCTGCCTTTAACCTACCTCCAGTCCCTCCCATCTGTAGGTTCCTACGGAAACCCAACAGCTGCTTACTGCTTCAAGGCGAATGTAATGAAATGAAAACAACACCCCTCTCTTTCCTCCCCCCTTTTGAGTCGACTAAAAAATGTAATGAAATGAAAACAAACACCCCTCTCTCCCCCCCCCCCCCCATTCCATCCTCCCTGCCTCCCCTTTGGATCTAACATCTGCAGGTTCCGTGTGATGTCAGATGGTGAGCTGGTGGGGTTCTTCCAACAGCTGCTTACTGCTCCAATGCGAATCTAATCAAACGTACCACCGCTTTTCCCCCACTTTCCCCTCTCAAATCTAACATCTGCAGGTTCCGTGTGATGTCAGATGGTGAGCTGGTGGGGTTCTTCCAACAGCTGCTTACTGCTCCAAGACGAATCCCCTCCCCTCCCCTTCCCCCCCTCCCCCTGCCCCCTTAAATGGGTGGTTCGGACAGGTTTCGTGTGATGTCAGACGGTGAGCTGGTGGGGTTCTTCCAACAGCTCCTCTCTGCCGCACGATGAATTCAAAAGGCTAATCCACCCCCTTCCCTCCAACCTTCCCACCCCCCGCTTGATTACAACACGGTCGCATGAGGTTTGAACAGGTTTCGTGTGATGTCAGACGGTGAGCTGGTGGGGTTCTTCCAGCAGCTCCTCTCTGCCGCACGATGAATTCAAAAGGCTAATCCACCCCCTTCCCTCCAACCTTCCCACCCCCCGCTTGATTACAACACGGTCGCATGAGGTTTGAACAGGTTTCGTGTGATGTCAGACGGTGAGCTGGTGGGGTTCTTCCAACAGCTCCTCTCTGCCGCACGATGAATTCAAAAGGCTAATCCACCCCCTTCCCTCCAACCTTCCCACCCCCCGCTTGATTACAACACGGTCGCATGAGGTTTGAACAGGTTTCGTGTGATGTCAGACGGTGAGCTGGTGGGGTTCTTCCAACAGCTCCTCTCTGCCGCACGCCACACAGGGGTGGAGGGTGGCCAGCAAACTGAGCCGCCCCCCCTTTCCCTTTCTCCCGCCTTTGGATGTATCATTTGTGCGCATGTGAGCAGGTTTCGTGTGATGTCAGATGGAGAACTGGTGGGGTTCTTCCAACAGCTCCTCTCTGCCGCACGCCACACAGGGGTGGAGGGTGGCCAGCAAACTGAGCCGCCCCCCCTTTCCCTTTCTCCCGCCTTTGGATGTATCATTTGTGCGCATGTGAGCAGGTTTCGTGTGATGTCAGATGGAGAACTGGTGGGGTTCTTCCAACAGCTCCTCTCTGCCGCACGCCACACAGGGGTGGAGGGTGGGCAGCAGCAAAGCGGCCAGCAGGGCGGGCAGCAGGGCGGGCAGCAGGCTGGGCAGCAGCAAACCGGGCAGCAGGGAGCAGCACGCGTCCAGGGGTTTCCCCAAGAGGAGAAGCAGGAGTCAGGGATTTCAGATGGGCTGGCCTCGTCTGGAAAACCTGTCTTTGGTGTCTCAAACATACCTCCTCCTCCTCCTCCTCCTCCTCCTCCTCCTCCTCCTCCTCCTCCTCCTCCTCCTCCTCCTCCTCCTCCTCCTCCTCCTCCTCCTCCTCCTCCTCCTCCTCCCCCTCTCGAGCCACCCTTACAGTTCCTGCCACCACCCCCTCCCGCATGGAAACCACTGCCCCTGCCACCACCACCACCACCACCACCACCGGTACCAGCAGCAGTACCCGTACCAATACCAGTACCACCAGTGTCATCAGCAGCACCAGCAGAAGCACCCACATTAGCAGCAGCAACGCCACCTGTAGCAGCAGCGCCAGCAGAAGCGGCGCCAGCAGGAGCTGTCTCTGAATCTGCTACAGCCATACCGGATAATGAGGGCAAAGGACAATCCGAGGAGGCTTTTGAGGCGCCTCAAAAGTCAGCAGCAGCTGTCTCTGCATCTGCTACAGCCATACCGGATGATGAGGGCAAAGGACAATCCGAGGAGCAGAAGCGTGGTAGATCAGGAGAAAATGCTGGCGAAAGCTCAGGAGAAGCTTCAGGGGAAAGTTCAGCAGAACCAGGAGAAATTTCAGGAAAAAATTCAGGGGAAAGTTCAGGAGAAAGGCTTTCTCTGGATGCATGGGCGGCAGCAGCAGTGGAGAGGCTACAGGGGGATCCCATTGTCCAGGCGCTTATGGGGGGACGGAATGGGAGGGGGGAGGAAGGGGTTGGAATGGGTGCGGAGGGGAAAGAGAGCACAGAGGAAGGGTTAGGAAGTGGCGGAGAGGGCTCAAGCCAAGAGGGGGAGAGGCCAGAAGGGGATGCTACTGTGCAAGCACGTATGGAGGGTCAGATTGGGATAGGGGAAGACGGGGATGGGAGGGGAGACGATGGGATGTTGAACGGGATTGAGAACCAAGGTCTGCAGTTTTTCTCTGCGGTTCAGGGTCAGATGGAACGGTTCCAGGGTCAGGTAGAGCGGTTGCAGCAGCAGATAGAGCGGTTTCAGCAGCAGGACATCCCGCTTGGGATAAAAGCAGGGAAGGTGGTGGCAGCGGCAGCTGCTCTGGGGTTTACAGCAGCAGCTGGGGTGGTGGCTTTGAGGGTTCCAGATGGGTGGGAGGAGGAGATGGGGGATGGGAGTTGGAAGAGGGAGAAAGAGGTGGTTGAGAAGGGGGGGAGCTGGATGGTTGGGAGCGGGGATGCAGGGAGGGGAGATGGGGGGGAAGGGAGGGAGAGGAGGGAAGGGAAGGAAGAGAGCGACGGGAAGAAGGAGAAGGACAAGAAGCAGCAGCAGCAGCAGCAAGAGGAAGAGCAAAGGAAGCAGCAGCAAGAGGAGAAGGAGAAGGAGAAGGAGCAGGAGCAGGGGAAGGGGCAGGAGGAGCAGGAGAAGGGGCAGGAGCAGAGAGGATTGGGTAGGAAGGAGATGGGAAAAAGAGCAAGGGGAGCAGAGGTGGGGGTGATGGTGGAAACAGAAGAAAGTGCTGTTGCTGGGGGCAGGAGGAAGGGAGGAAGAGGGGAGTTGGAAGGGAGTGAAGGTGGTGGTGAGGGATGGAGAGGGGTGAGGAGGAAGAGGTGGGTGGGGTTGTTGGGTGGGGATGAGGAGGACGAGGAGGGAGGTTGGGAGGGGAGAGGGGAGGCAAGGGGGTATAGTGATAACTTATCCGAGGGAGAGGAGGAAGGCCCGGTTCGACGTGTGAGGGCTGACAATGCTGGTAGTGTTGCTTCTGATGGTGCTAGTGCTGCTCTTGCTGGCAGTGCTGGTGATACCACTAGTGCCGCTAATGGTGCTACTGGTGCTGCACGTGATTCTGCTCCTAGTGCTGCTGCTGTGGCCGCTGCTGCTGGTGCCGGTGGTGGTGGTGGTGGTGCTGCTGCTGCTGCTGCTGCTGCTGCTGTCAATGCAGCAGGCGTTGCAGCAGCAGGGGATGCCGCAGGCAAGAGTATAGCAGAGGATGCCGACTTTGCAACCGACGTGACGGGAGCAGACTCTTTAGCTGCTGAAATCACATCAGATATCAGCTCGAGCACACCTTTGGCGCTCCCAGGGACAGGCGATAGCGGTTCTCACACTACCCTTGTTCTTCCACCCAGTGGTTCTGAGGCATCCAGTGCGGTTGCTGGTTCTTGGAGTGATTTGGTGGTGCCTAAAAACACACACAAGGGGAAGGGCGAGGGAGAGAGGTCTGCGCCTGCACAGGGGGGGGATGGGAAGGGAGAGGGTGAGGGGGAAAGGAAGGGAGAGGGTGAGGGAGAAGGGAAAGGAGAGGGTGAGGGAGAAAGGAGGGACGAGGGTGAGGGAGAAGGATCAAGGGAAAAAGGTCGGTTAGATCAAGGAAGAGGGTTGAATGAAGAGGGGAGAGCGGAAGGTAGTTCGGGTACAAGGGAAGAGGTGGGGATATTAGGAGAAGGGAAAGAGGTGGAGAAGGAAACGAACGACACAGTTTCAGCAGCTGAAAGAAAAGGGACAGTGGCAGCAACACAACAGCAAGCAGCAGCAGGAGAAGCAGAAGCAGCAGAAGCAGGGGTAGTAGCAGCAACAGAGAGAGAAGTAGCAGCAGAAACAGACTCAGCAGAAGCAGCAGCAGCAGATGATGTGATGAATCCAAAGGGGGCACTTGGAGCATCACAAGGGAAAAGTTTCCTTACTGGGGAGTTGGGGGAAGCAGTGGAGGGTTTCTTGGATGTGCCAAGTGGTGGTGATGGTGTTGTTGCCGCTTCTGCTGGTGGTGCTGCTGCTGCTTCTGCTGTTTTTGGCGGTGCAGGTAGTGTGGCTACAACGGGTGATGGTGTGCCAAGTGGTGGTGATGGTGTGCCAAGTGGTCGTGATGGTGTTGTTGCCGCTTCTGCTGCTTCTGCTGCTTTCGGCGGTGCAGGTAGTAAGGCTACAACGGATATTGCAATCGGTAGCAAGGGAGGAGCAGAGGAAGCAGTAGCAGGAGCATCAAGCAAGGAAGCAGCAGATGCTGCAGAGACCGCAGAGGAGGAAGCAGCAGGAGCATCGAGCAAGGAGGCAGCAGTGTCTGTAGGGAAAGAAATAGCTGCAGCAACAACTGCTCTCTTTGCAGCAGTAGCAATGGCTCGAATCGCCTCGGCTCTTTCAGCCGCTGCTGCTGCTTCTACTGGTTCTGGTTCTGGTTCGTCTACAGTCGCCCCTGCTAAAGAATCAGGTGGAGAGTTTCCCACAGCTGCCTTCCCATCACCTACACTTTCTGCTTCTGCCTCCGCCCCTCTGCCTGCTGCATTTCCGACTGTGGACAGGAGAGAGAGTATGGCTGATAGCCTAATCGCCTCTGCTGGTAATGCTTCTCCTGCTGCCTCTGCTGCTCATGCTTCGCCTGCTGCTCCTCCTGCTCCTGCTGCCCCTGCTACCAGTGCTGCCCCTGCTACCAGTGCTGCCCCTCCGCCTGCTGCCATTCCCACTTGGGACAAGAGAGAGCGCGTTGCAGACAGCTCAATTGCTCCTCCTGCTCGTGCTCCTGTGTCAGTGAGAGGCGCGGCACAACCCACAGAAGCAAAAGAGAGGGCTGGGGCAGAAATCAGGGCTGCAGCAAAAGAGAGGTTTGCAATGGAAGGCAGGGCTGTAGCAGATGAGAGGACTGTAGCAGAAGGCAGGGCTGTAGCAGATGAGAGGACTGTAGCAGAAGGCAGGGCTGTAGCAGATGAGAGGACTGTAGCAGAAGGCAGGGCTGTAGCAGATGAGAGGACTGTAGCAGAAGGCAGGGCTGTAGCAGATGAGAGGACTGTAGCAGAAGGCAGGGCTGTAGCAGATGAGAGGACTGTAGCAGAAGGCAGGGCTGTAGCAGATGAGAGGACTGTAGCAGAAGGCAGGGCTGTAGCAGATGAGAGGACTGTAGCAGAAGGCAGTGCTGTAGCAGATGAGAGGACTGTAGCAGAGGGTAGGGTTTCAACACAAAGGGAGGAGCCAGATTCAGCGATGGACACAAGTATGGACCGAGTATTCAGGAACAAGGGAGAGCGCATGGCAGACAGCTCAAACGACCCTGCTTCTCGTGCTGCCCCTGCTGCTGCCGCTGAAGGAGTCGCAGGAGGAGGCAGGGCTGTAGCAGATAATAGGGTTGTGTTAGGAGGCAGGGCTGTAGCAGGAAGGGAGGTGCCGGATTCAGCAATGGACACAAGTATGGACCGAGTATTCAGAAGAAACGGGCGGTGGGAGGTGGAGGCTTCTGGGGGAGGTAGATCTGGGCGGTTGGATGCAGGGGAGGATTTGGGGGAGGATGCAGGGGAGGAAGTAGAGGGGTATGGATGGGAGAGGGGGAGGAGAGGCAGGGAGGCACGATGGAAGGTGGGAGGAGAGATGAGGGAGGTGAGAGAGGGTGATTTGACAAATTGGGAGGTGCAAGATGGGTGGAGGGAGGAAGGAAGACGATGGGAGCCGGGTGTTTTGAGAGATTGGGAGGGGAAAGTGAGGGAAGAAAAGAAGACTGGAGGAAGTTTTCGTGGGTTGGATATTGCTGGTGGAAAGGGGAATGCACGTTCGGAAAAGAAGGGTGTGGAAGAGGCAGGTCTTCTGAGGAGGAGCCGTGGTTGGCACAGCGAGAAAGAGCCAATTTTGCGTGAACATTTTCTTAAAGGGAAAGAGGGAAGTTACGTGCGAAAGAGCGCGAATTTGGATGTGATGGAGCATAGAGGAGAGGTGTGGGTGAGAGGGAAGGATGGTGTGTATGAAAAGAAGAGTTCCTAGGATGTAGAGTGAAGTGTGACGATTTGTGAATGGTTTTTATATCAAAGTATTCCGAGTAGCTTAACATTCGTTTTCGTTAGTGTATATTCGATAACAACCTGTGTATTTGTTGGTGAACTCGCCAGCCGTCACATCCGCGCCAGCGTGGCGTGCCATTATTCGCTGCTTCCCCATTCCGAAACTACCCGCTGTTGCCACGTCGCCTCATCAACTATCAAGTTTCCCCCTTTCAAACTCCGCCGTCTAGATTCCACCCCCGCTGCTTGTTCTCAAACTTTCCGCCCTCCCCCCCGATCAAGGACACGAGGTCAATCAGAAAATTCTCTTATCCAACGGTCATAATTGACTGAGGGCCGGAAAAAAAAAATCCTCTGCTTTACCTAGAAGTTCCAGCCAGGAACCCTAGGACTCAGAAACTCCTAGAAATAGCTTCCTGCAGACTAACTTTCCTCCCAGCCTGTACTTATTGCTGCTGGGAGTTGCTTAGTCTATCTGTGCTGTAATCGTTTCAGAATTAGCTGGTGCACGAAAAACCAGCAGTCGTCTAATAACCGATCAGCCGGCGAAGATCATGTCGGCCGTTACGATGCAGACGGCAGCGGCTGTGAAGCCGTCAGCCTTCGTGGGCAGCACGAGCCTGAAGGCGAGCCAGCACAAGAGACTACAGATGGCCGCGCCCAGGTAGTGTTACCGAAGTAGTCTTATCGAGGTAGTCTTACCAAGGTAGTCTTATCAAGGTAGTGTAACGAGGTCGTGCTAGTTCAGAGGGGCTTAGAGTCCGTTGTTTCTGGATAAGGTATTGTAGAGTCTCGCTAGCGTAAGCAGGCGTTGTTTTAGTAGTTTCCTGTGTAGTATACAGGACCCGCTAGCTTAGATATGCTAGCTTACAGTGCATACTTCGTGATCCATTCTTGATGCGCAGTGTGTAGCAATCACTGTTGCCAGAAGACTCCTTCGTCTAGTCTGTGCGGCCTGCGTAGTACGTTGTGGGGTAGGGATTTCGTCTAGTCTAGTCATCAGACCTTCGACATCTCACGTCCGATCTGGCGATTAATTTCAAGGTTTTCGACACGTTCAGTATCTGCGGGTTTGAACTAAGCTCGCAGAATGCAATCGATGCTGATCGATCTTGTGCATTCTCTGCTAGACGGCCAGATCACGTATCAAGAATCGAGGTCAGAGATCGATTTCAACTGACTTGGCGATCGTTTATCTGCCTCCCTTCAATCTTCTATATTTTCCGTCGTTCCCCACTTATTCCCTCCCCATCTCGCCTCTTCCCCACTCCCTGCCCTCCCACACACCCGTCTCCTTTCCCTTCTTTTCCGTTCCCCCCTTCTCCCCTTTCCCCCCGCCTCCTAAATTCTCCCCGATGTGTTTCCTTTCTCCGCGTGTTCTCCCCTTGCCTCAGCCGCGCATCCGCTGCCGGCGTGCGCTGCAGCGCCGTCCGCTCCGAGCGCCTTTGGACCCCGAATTCCGCCGCAAACAGCGGCGATATCTGGTCCATCAAGTGAGTCCCCGCGAGGAAAACGGAATCTTTGGATTTTTTCCTGACTTCCGCTTTCCCCTCATCCTCTCATCCCCTTCCTTCTTCCCTATCTCCTCCCCCTAAAAAAAAACTTAACGTTCCGCGCACCGCGCATTGCCCTCCCCTCCCTCCCTCCTCCAACCACCCCAGGAACGATCTGGAAGTGCCGCAGAGTCTGTTCATGGGCGCACCGGAGGTGATGGCGGGGCAGGGAGCGCCGCCCCCCATGCTGCAGGAGCGCTTCCAGTCGGTCATCTCCCAGCTCTTTCAAAACGTACGTATGTACGTACGGTTCAGTCAGGCACGTGGTTTAACCCCGTCCCGAGGGTTCCTGCGTTCCAGGGAGTTAATGGGTTAGCAACCGTATCCACTAATTGCTCCCCCCAAATCCCGTCACATACCCCGACCTCACTTTCCCGCATTCCCCCGCACTCCTCACTCCCCATCACCGCAACATTCGGTGGGGGGGGGCACCCCTTTCTCCCCGCCAACCTACTGTCCCCCTGGCGCACTCCTCTCTTTCCCCCCGCCCCCGTCCCCTCTCCGTTCCATCCTTTCCCCCCCCACGTCAGCGCATCATCCGGTGCGGCGGCGCGGTGGACGACGACATGGCGAACCTCATCGTGGCGCAGCTGCTCTACCTCGACGCCGTTGATCCCACCAAGGTGAGTCAATCTCAGCCGTTTATCCCGTAATCGCATTACTCCCTTTCTCGAACCTCTTCCAAAAAAACTCTTCTCGTTTCCTCTCTTCTTTTCCCCCCTTCCCTTCCCCCCCCCCCCCCCCCCCCCTTCCCCCCTCCTCTCCCCCCTCCTCCCTCCTCTTCTTCCTTCCCTCCCCTCCCTCAAGCGATGCAATTATGTACGTTAACTCGTCCATTGTCTTTCGTTCTCTCACCGCTTCCCCCCTTCTCATCCCATCATCCCTCCCCTATCCCTTTTTTTTATTTTCCCTTTTCCCCTTTCCCCCTCACCCGCCACTTGTGGGGGGAGAGGGGAATGGGGTGCTTCTCTCTCCGATTCCTCACTTTCGTCGACTTTTGAGTCGACTCAAAAGTCAACTTGTGGGGGGAGAGGGGATTGGAGTGCTTCTCTCTCCGATTCCTCACTTTCGTCGCTGCAATCACCGCAATCCTCTTCCCCATCCATCCCCCCCACACCTCCCCTCCCCCCCCACCCGCCCCCTTCTCGATTTCCCCCCAATACAGGATATCATCATGTATGTCAACTCGCCGGGTGGCTCCGTGACTGCTGGTGAGTCCTGGGATTATCGCGAGTGGGGAGCGGGGTGAGTGGTGAGTGGGGAGAGGCGAGTGGGGAGTGGGAAGTGGGGTGAGTGGGAGGGAAGGAGTGGTCGGACCGAGGCGGGACGGGAGTAGTGGCAAGACGCTGGTGGATAGTTAGGAGGTTCTGTCAGTAGTAAACAGGTGGGCTGCGGAGGTCTTATTTCCATCAACTTAAAATGTTTCTAGGACGACGACGCACGTGAGTAGTGGCAAGACGCTGGTGGATAGTTAGGAGGTTCGATATTTGAGGCGGCTCAAATGTCTCCTGGTGAATAGGTGGTTTGGTGATGCACAAGATGCACTCACTGCGTGGGCGGGTCACCTCTTGAGATGATACGAAGTTGAGGGCCCCCATCCCCGCCTTTCCGCCGCCTCCTCCTCTTCCTCCTCCTCCTCCTCCTCCTCCTCCTCCTCCTCCTCCTCCTCCTCCTCCTCCTCCTCCTCCTCCTCCTCCTCCTCCTCCTCCTCCTCCTCCTCCTCCTCCTCCTCCTCCTCCTCCTCCTCCTCCTCCTCCTCCTCCTCCTCCTCCTCCTCCTCCTCCTCCTCCTCCTCCTCCTCCTCCTCCTCCCCCTCCCCCCCCTCCTCCTCCTCCCCCTCCCCCCCTCCTCCCCCTCCCCCCCCTCCTCCCCCTCCTCCCCCTTCTCCCCCTCAGGCATGGCCCACGGCCATCTTTGACTCTACGCCACATCTTAGCTGACGTCAGCACCGTTCAGTCATTCCATACCCCCTTTCGCGTTCTTCTTTCCTACCCCCCTTCCCTTTTCCCAATCCCTCTCCCCCCGTCCAGGCATGGCCATCTTTGACACCATGCGTCACATCCGGCCTGACGTCAGCACTGTGTGTGTCGGCCTTGCTGCCAGGTCAGCATTGTTTAAGAAAATGCCAGTTGGCATGTCATAGCTGTCAGTTAAGAATGAGAAGTTAGGTATGTGTGACTTGGTCTTGCTGCCAGTTGAGCATTGGCAGTGAGTGGAAGAGCTTCCGAGTAATGCTTCTCCCTTGTAAGATGAGCGTGTGAATTGGTGGCCCTGATTAAGTTAGGTGAGTGTGTCAGCACCGTGTGTGTCAGCACCGTGTGTGTCAGCACCGTGTGTGTCAGCCTTGCTGCCAGGTCAGTTTTGTCAGGCCGTTTTTGACTTGCCCGCATTTTTTCTTGGCGTGCCCGTGTGTCGCTTCGCATGCAATCCCCTCAGTGCTGTGTAGCCTGCGCCCACCCTTCCTTCCTTTCTTGTTTTTGTCTGCGTGGTGCCTGGTGTTGCAGTATGGGCGCTTTCCTCCTCTCAGCAGGAACAAAAGGTATGTTGTCTGGCCTGTTAATTCTTTCGTGCGATGCCGCCTTTTGAGGCACCTTAAATAGTTAATGCCGCCTTGCAACCTGCATGCTGCCAGCTGCTTCGATCTGCTTCCTCTCATCGTTTCAGCCCCATGCAGATGGCAACATCTTTGGCAGCTGCATATATTTTCCTGCCCGTCCAACTTTGGTCGTCTCTCATCCCCTCCCCTTCTACCAGGCAAGCGCCACAGCCTCCCCAACAGCCGTATTATGACCCATCAGCCGCCGGGAGGAGTGCAGGGGCAGTTCCAGTATCGATTATGCCCCTGATCCCCCCCCACCCCATGTATTTCCTTCCCATAGTCTCACCCACCCCTCCCCCCACCCCCGTACCCACCCCCCCGGTTACCAGGCAAGCGCCACAGCCTGCCCAACAGCCGTATTAGAATCCATCAGCCGCTGGGAGGAGCGCAGGGGCATGTTCAGCAGAACTTACCCCCCTTTTCCCTCATACTTATCTTTCTTGTTCTCCCCTCATTACTCTTACCAGGCAAGCGCTACAGCCTGCCCAACAGCCGCATCATGATCCATCAGCCGCTGGGAGGAGCGCAGGGGCAGCAGACAGACATTGAGATTCAGGCGAATGAGATTCTGCACCACAAGGCGAACCTGAACGGTTACCTGGCGTACCACACTGGCCAATCCTACAACCAGATCGTTCAGGTGAGTGGGAGCAGGAATTACAGGTGAGCGGACTATTCACTTGAAAGGGAGGGCGGTGTGGAAGCAGAGGGTAGCAGTTGGAGGGTGGCAGTGGGGCACAGGAGTAGCAGACGGACATTGAGATTCAGGCAAACGAGATTCTGCACCACAAGGCAAACCTGAACGGCGACCTGGCATACCACACCGGTCAATCCTATTACCAGATCGTTCAGGTGAGTGGGAGCGGAGCTTTCAGGTGATGAAATTATTCAGGTGAGAGGGAGGCGGTGTGGAAGCAGAGGGTAGCATTTGGAGGGTGGGCAGTGGGTGGGCCATTCAGTTGCAGACGGACATTGAGATTCAGGCAAACGAGATTCTGCACCACAAGGCAAACCTGAACGGTTACCTGGCGTACCACACTGGCCAATCCTATGACGAGATCGTTCAGGTGAGAGGATTATTCGCGTGAAAGGGAGGGTGGTGTGGAAGCAGAGGGTAGCAGTTGGAGGGGTGGGAAGTGGGGCATGGAGCAGACTGACGTTGAGATTCAGGCAAATGGGAGTCTGCACCACCAGGCTAATCCAAACAGCTACCTGGCGTACTACACCAGGCAATCCTATGACCATCGTTCAGGTAAGGGTATTGGCGGATGAGAGGGAACGAGAGGGTTGTTCAGGTGAGGGAGAGTGGAACATGCAGGAGCAAATGATTCAGGTAAGAGGGAGGGGGGGGCGTGGAGGTAGAGGGTAGCAGTTGGATGGTGGGCAGTGGGGTATTGAGCAACGGACATTGAGATTTAGGCAAACGAGATTCTGAACGGTGAACTGGCATACCACACTAAATCATCACCATGGCGGTAAGAGGGTTTTCGAGTACCGCCATTGTTCAGGTAAGAGGGTTTTCGAGTGAGAAGATACGTGTGAGGAGGTAGTGCTGGAGGGAGGGATGGTGGTGTGGAAGCAGAGTAGCTGCGGAAGGTGGAGGGTTAGAAGTGGGGAATTGAGTCATTGAGGTTTCAGATGAACGGGATCTTGTACCACAACCAGTTTGAATGGATATCTGGTATACCACATTGATTAATCCTACCCTATACCCTTATCGGGCGATTATTCAGGTGGGCGGGTTGCCTTGGGTGAAGGCTTCGTATACTGGCATCTTGATTGGTTGCCTCTCATGTGACGACTTCTCCTCCCATCTCTAACTCATGCTTTCATGCTCTATTGCCCATGCTGTATTGACAGGACACGGATCGCGATTTCTTCATGAGTGCAACAGAGGCCAAGGAGTATGGCTTGATTGATGCGGTTATTACCAACCCCCTCAAGGCCCTCAATGCTGCCCCAGTTGCCGCATAAGCTGCTTGATTAGGCAATGTATGCCATTCTATTTTCCGGTATTTGCAGTATAACACGATGTCTTTCACCAACTGTATAGCATCACATCACATGCCTTTTTTCCTGGAAGGTGGCAGATGTTTTACTGGTATGGTTTGCAAGTGCACGGTGAATGATATCTGCAGCATCCTAAAATAATAATCTTACATACGAAGGTGTAACACCGATTCCAGCTTGGATAAACGAATATCGCGAACGACAGCTCGGTGTAGTCGGTGACGGTGACCGTCAAGGTATGGGCTTGGCGTGGAGATGTTCTCCGTGATCGTGGACGGTCACCTCACCATGTGAGGTTCAGTCAAACCAGTCACATCTCACAACGAAGCCGCAATATGCCGTGTGACAATAGCGAACGGGTTGATTCTGCTGTGCTGGCATGCACAGTGAATTGCTGCGCTGTAACTGCTTTCAGGTGCCATCAGGTGAGGCTCTGCTGGTACGGCTGACAGCAAATATTCACCAACCAATCCACAGCAGGGTACGAGTCTCACCAAATCCCCGCTACAGTGTCGCGAATGGCAAACGGGCCTATACAGTATTTCTAGGCTTTCGCACCGCGTTTTCTCCACCTTCATCCGACGTGCGGAGGTTGATGGTTCGGAAATTACGCGCTTCGAACCTGAAAGTCGACGTCTTGCAGATTTACCAGCGGGTCGTGGACGTGATCCAGCGACTGCATCGAGCCATTGATTATCGTCTTCACGAAATCCGAGTCGTCCAACTGTTGCGACACTCGCAACGGCAACCGTGAGCACTTGTCGCGAAAAGCATCGCCACCACCTGTACATTGCTGGCTTACGTGTCTTATACGTCGAATCTCCCAAGGTCATGCCGTGTCGCATGCGGTTCCACTCACCTACCATCGTGGAATGGACGTTTCCGGTCCAGCGCAGGCTATCCCCCTGATCCCCCCTGCGACTCCCTCCCTCCTCCCCCGTCCCGCCCCTTTTCCACCCTCCGCTCCTTCGCGTGTTTCTCAACCTCGCGGAGGCCTTTTCCCCCAAGTGCATTACCGCGCGTCAGCCAAGCCGACGAGCCACGAACAACAGCGCAGAGCGAAAGCACAGCCACCGCCACTCCAAGTGCGCTTCCCCTCTGTTCGGTCGTCGGGCTAGGGATCGCCGCCAGCTACTGGGGGTCAGGCCGGGGAGTTCAGAAGGAATCCTCCTTTTCCATTCCGCTCCCCCACTTCCCCCAAAAATCTCCCCCGACTTTCGGAAGCAAGAGCAGACCCGCTTTCATGCATACCCATCCATCCCAGCACGAAATTATTGGAGCGCGCGCACTCCTCTCCCGCCTTCAGTCGGTTGCCCGTCCCCCTTTTCTCGGCCCATTCGCTCCGCTCTCTCCCCTCGCACCCGTGTAGGCTGCTAGCCTCTCAATTATTTGTGACAGCGTGACTGGTCATTCGAATCATCCTAGCCCTAGTTTTGATTGCATTGCTCGTCTATTTATCTTCTATTTCCCGTGTTCGGAGCTCCTTGCTGAGACGTTGAGTGCTTGCCAGTAGTATCGTCTCCAGTCTTTCACAATCGAGCTGACGTCTTGGCGACGGGAGTGACCTCCATTATCGCGCAACACACCATTGAATGGTCTCCGTATCGTTGTCAATCAATCCTAGGACTCCGTCAGCCAGTAGAGATTAATCAACCGCCTATTTCTAGTTCGATCACCGAACACGCACTTGTAACTGTAATCTCTCCTAAACCGAAACCTTTCACCAACCCTAGCACGTTTCATTGTTCGTCCGCAATGGCGACACCTATGATGCAAGCCCGGCTACGAAAGGTGCAGTCGATTGCCAGCAACCAAGCCTGCGCGGATTGCGGGTGCAAGAACCCGCAGTGGGCCTCGGTGACGTACGGCATTTTCTTTTGCCTCGAGTGCTCCGGCACGCACCGCAGCCTCGGTGTTCACCTCAGCTTCGTCCGCTCCGTCATCATGGACTCGTGGAGCGATTCCCAGCTGAAGCGGATGGAAGTCGGAGGAAATTCCGCATGGAACGATTTCCTTGACCGATATGCCGATGCGACGGAGACTGCGACAATAGCGAAGAAATACGCGTCGCCTGCTGCACAGTACTACCGGGAAAAGTTGGACGTGCTTGTGGCTGGTCGAGCGTGGACCGCTCCTCCTGGTCTGACGCCCAAGCAAAAGACAGTGGTGAGCATTCCACCCTAAATTATATATCTCCTTTCTTCCAATGATCATATCATTTTCACCCTCCGCGTTGGCCCTCATCGTTTGTCCTGCTCTTCATTTCTCTCTCGTAGTCCCTCCACTGGACTTCAGCCGATCAGTATTCTAATAATGCTGTTCTTCTTCACTTGGTGTTTGCTGCTACAGGCGCGCTCTACCCTACCAGCTGCATCCCGATCCTCGTCCGCCGCTTCGAGAACCAGCAGAAGATGCACCGCTCCTCCCGCCCGAGCCGTCGCCTCGCAAAGCTGGGATGACTGGGGCGAGGGCTGGGGTACCGTTGGCGCTAACTCATGAGACTAACGCCTCGACCGAGTTGTGAATATTAACTGTGTACAACCAGTCAGTGGAAGAACGTGCAGTTCTGTATGGGAAGGCTTTAAGATTTTAACTCGGCCCACGGTGCACCAAGATGACCGTTGCGGAGCAGTAATGCTCGCCAGCCGAGGCATGTTCAGTAGGCATGTTCAGAAGGAAATATTGTGCATTTGGAGTTTCTCCCGCATCTTTTGCTGTATCAAGTGATTATTCTTTTATCTTTCAACAAGCATCTGATGGTGGCAAGGTACATCCTGGTCAGTGGAAAAATCTTATCTGTCATGCCTGCGCTGCTGTCCAGCCGTCTCCCCAGTCGTCCCAATGGTTTATTGTGGAAATGTTCAAAGATTTAGTTTTCTCCCGAGGCGTACTCTTCGAGCTGGGTGAAGGAACCTGTAGAACAATGAGGTTCTGGAAAAATCTTATCTGTCATGCCTGCGCTGCTGTCCAGCCGTCTCCCCAGTCGTCCCAATGGTTTATTGTGGAAATGTTCAAAGATTTAGTTTTCTCCCGAGGCGTACTCTTCGAGCTGGGTGAAGGAACCTGTAGAACAATGAGGTTCATGATGAGACCACTGAAGCAATCGTTGTCCAGAGGCATACAATTTCAGTCACGTCTCATGAAAACTCTTACACTCCGTTGGCGTAAAGGTGGTAAAGAAATCCACTCGCGTCCAGCAGCCAGCGCATCTACCTTCTCTCTATACATTGAAGCTGCTTGAGATTGATAGAGTTCAGCTTGTTCAGTAAGTCTGCTTTCGCCTTGGTATTGATCCAGAAACCTTTTCCATGCTGAATTTCCACCATTCTGCAAACGCTGAAATACACCAGAAACACGCAATCAAAGCATATGCGTACCTCCATTCGCGTCACTTGATCTGAACTCCAAGAATCCATGTCAACAGACCTGACAAAACTGATGTGCACGCCCAAGCTACGATGAACTCCAGAGCACTCTAGGCAAAGAAATATTCCGTAGGTAACGGAGCTCCATCGAGGATTTTTACACCCACAATCGGCACACTCATTGTTTCCTGGAAGAGTCTGAAGTCGTCTAAGTCTTGCTTGAAGGCTGCAACTACCATGACCAGCCATTGCCAGAGATCCTGCAATGTGAAGGTTGATTCTGAGTCATGCAAGCTCCCAGAGACAAGGGATGATGCTCTAACAAAGTCATCCCTCTTATGCCTCCCAGAAGTTTTAGCTTATTTTGCGGTTTAGAACGTTTCCTTATGGTATCTGCTATTTCTTCGTGGTACAACGGAGTTTAGCTGGTAGAAGTTATTCGTTTAGGGTGAGTTGACATACCCTTCGAAATGGTGTTCGCTTGTTGCCCTGCCCACCCAAAATTTCCGAAGTTGACCTTCTGGTCCGTTCCGAACATTCTCGCACGGGAACAAGCTCGACCAAACCAATAACAAGCAGGCTCGGCAGTCTTAGATCTGGCAAACTAGGCCGCTGCCGAAGCAACCTAGGCTTCTCGATTACTCCGCCAAGCTCAGCTAGGCAAGCCCAGGACGGACCATCACATACGGGAGTGAGAGCCTCGGCAAACAGAATTCAGGTTAGACACAAAAAAGAGCGGGCATTTTTTCGCTCTGACAATCAGGTGTGTGTGGAAGCCAAAATTCAGGTTGGACACGAGGCCAATGGTATGGGGTGGAAAGGGGACAGGAAATTCCAAGAGAAGAGTCAGCGCAAGGAAGAGAAAATCTCAGAGCCACGTTTCAAAAGAGTTCAGTGTGTGAAAACAAATTAAAATTCAGAAAAGCGTGACGTCGACGCTTCACCGCATTTGCAGGCACAAGGCACTAGCAATCGTCGTCTGTGGGGTGAAACTGAAGGACTCCCGCGCACGGGTGTGTGTTGAACGGAAAATCTGCTCTTCTATCTGCTCAAGTACGCACATCCCGCATGAATGATAGTGGAGAACCCTCGATAATAAAGCTGGATCAACCAGTTGAAAGTGCTGCCCAGGAAATGGCAGGAGTGGATGACAGCGAATTGAAGGAATGCGACGAAGCGTTGGAAGTCTCACCGTGGAGAGACTCAGCTGTCAAGGCGGAGAAGATGGAGGATCAGGAGGAGGAGACGGAGGATGAGGGGCAGCAGCAGCAGGAGCAGGAGCAAGAGCAACAGCATGAGCAACAGCAGGAGCAGCAGCAGCAGCAGAGGTTGAAGGTGGAACAAAATGTAGATCAAGAGGGAGATGATAGTACGCGAACGATGGATGCTGCTCATGATCACTCCGTTTTCTCCGTCCAATCCAATGTTCAGACATCAGAACCGCTTGCTCAGCCGTCAGATTCGACTGCTAAAGCGGCAGAATCACCCGTTCAGCCATCAGATTCAACAATTCAGCCGTCAAATTCGACCGTTCAGGCAGCAAAATTGGCCGTTCAGTCGTCTGATCCAACCATTCAGCCGTCAATTTTTACTGTTCAGGAATCAAAATTGACCGTACAGCCGTCAGATTCAGCCGTTGTTGCATCCGTATTCACCAGTGAAGCGTCACACGGTAGGAAAATCATGCCAGCTGTGCAGGCGGGTAGGGTGCAGCAGCAGCTCCGGGCAGTGGAGAGGGAGTTGAACGCGCTGGGGGATACGCTCATGGCGCTGAAAGGCGGGGAAAGCGGAGGAGCGGACACGGGTAAAGGAATGAGCGGGAGAGGGATTGGGAGAGGGCGTGGGCGAGGGCTTGGGAGAGGGTACCGAGCGAAGGGGAAGGACTCGAAGGTTACTGAATTTGGTTTTGGCAGCAGCAGTGGACAGGTCGGAAGGGATGACGATGAAGTGAGGGAGAAGAAGAAGATCAAGGACACGGGCAAGGGCGAGGGTGATGGTGCGGGTGAGGAGGAGAAGGGTGTTGATATCGCTACAATCGTGGAAGGGGATCGCGACCGTATTGCGGTCAAAATAACTGGCAGCCAGGCGGACGGCACAGCGAGGAGCCTACAGGCGACCGGCACCGGCAAGATCGCACAGGCAGACAGTACCGCTAGGAACCTCCAGCTGGCGCTGACAGAGGAGCGCGTGAAGAGCCTCCTGAAGCTGCGCCGGCAGCTGCAGGCTCAGCTGGGGGAGGCTCAGATGGGGGAGGCTCGACTGGGGGAGGCTGGGCCTGGGGGAAGGCTGGCTGGTGGCGGAGAGGGAGAGGCCAGAGGTGGTAGAGGGGGAAGGGGGGAAGGAAGGGGTAGGGATCTGGATGGGGGACGGGAAGGTGGATGGGTTGTGGGGAAAGGGAAGGGTAAGGGCACAGGTTACACGGGGTTGGGTGGGAGTATGGTTCCGTTGAATGGTGGAGGGAGAAGTGGGGGGAGTGGAAGGGGAGAAGGGGAGGGTGCAAAGGAGGATGAGGGGAAGGGGAAGGGGAAAGGGAAGGGGAAGGTGGAGGCGACAATGCTGATGGATGACGTGGATGATTTTGATTCGGCGCTGGATGGTGCTGCTGCGACTGGGTTTGTGGAAACGGTATGTTCAAGTGGATCTCTTCCCTCCCAACCCCTACTTTGCATCTCAATCCGTGCTTCAGGAGCGGGACAGCTTATTCGCCTGTGTCTCGTTACACCCTTCGCACAGCTCAAGCGCTTGGACAAGTCCGTTCAATCTCCTGCTTTTCCTTCCCAACACCCCCTCCCTCTCCCCATCCCCCCTTCCCCCCCGGACATCCCGATACCTTACTTCAGGAGAGGGATAGGCTCATTCGCCTGGGTCTTATCACGCCCTTCGCACAGCTCAAGGGCTTTGACAAGGCCGTTCAATCTCCTGCTTTTCCTTCCCGACCCTCCCTCCCTCTCCCCATCCCCCCTCCCCCCCCTGACATTTCTCTCCCTTGCTTCAGGAGCTGGATCGGCTCATTCTCCTGGGTCTCATCACGCCCTTCGCACAGCTCAAGGGCTTTGACAAGGCCGTTCAATCTCCTGCTTTTCCTTCCCGACCCTCCCTCCCTCTCCCCATCCCCCCTCCCCCCCCCTGACATTTCTCTCCCTTGCTTCAGGAGCGGGATCGGCTCATTCGCCTGGGTCTCATCACGCCTTTTGCACAGCTCAAGGGCTTTGACAAGGCTGTTCAGTCAGGCCCCGCTCATAAGACCTGGCTTGGGGAAGGAAGCAGCAGGGGTGGGGGAATGGAGGGCAGGGACGAGAGGGAGGGAGAGGGGAACGGACATGGGGGTATAGGGAGCAGAGGAGGAGGTGGGGGAGAGGGAGAAGGGGCGGGATTAGGGCAAAGGGATGGGGAAATGCGGGGCAAGAGGCAGACTAAGCTTCTTGGGGTAGATGAGGTCCCTAAGGCCCCAGAGCCTTTGAAAGAGTTTGCGAAGATATTAGGAGGGAGGAAGAGGGGAGGGGGGGAAGGAGGTGGCGGGGAGAGGAGGAAGCGGAGGAGGGTTGTGAGGAGGCCGCTTCCTGGTAAGGCATGGAGAGAAGGGAAGGGGGATAAGATGGTGGAGGTGGGTGTGGGAGGGGTGGGGGTTGGGGGAGGAGAGGGGAAGATGGAGAGCTGGGATGCTGATGCTGATGCTGATGATGCTGATGTGGATGCTGATGGTGCTGAGGTGGATGCTGATGTGGATGATGCTGACGTGGATGCTGATGATGCTGATGGTGCTGATGATGATGATGATGATGGTGGTGATGTTGTAGATGATAATGATGATATTGATGTTGATAGTGATGATTTGATTCTAGAGGGGGGTCTACGTATACCAGGTTCAGTGTATAATAAACTGTTTGAGTATCAAAGGACGGGCGTGAAGTGGTTGTGGGAGTTGCATTGTCAGGAGGTAGGGGGGATTCTAGGGGATGAGATGGGTCTGGGAAAGACCGTGCAGGTAGCTGCGTTCCTAGCCTCCCTGCTACGTTCGGGGCTGTACCGCCCGAGCCTGCTGGTCTGCCCCGTCACGCTGCTTCGGCAGTGGCAGAGGGAGGTTCGGATCTGGTGTCCTGAACTGAATCCGGTGATTTTGCATGACTCTGGGGGAATTGGAGAGGCGGATGGGGAGGAGGCGGAGGAGGAGGAGAGGGGAGAGGAAGAGGGGGGAGGTGGAGGTGGGAGGAGAAGAAGAAGAAGAAGAAGAAGAAGAAGAAGAAGAAGAAGAAGAAGAAGAAGAAGAAGAAGAAGAAGAAGAAGAAGAAGAAGAAGAAGAAGAAGAAGAAGAAGAAGAAGAAGAAGAAGAAGAAGAAGAAGAAGAAGAAGAAGAAGAAGAAGAAGAAGAAGAAGAAGAAGAAGAAGAAGAAGAAGAAGAAGAAGAAGAAGAAGAAGAAGAAGAAGAAGAAGAAGAAGAAGAAGAAGAAGAAGAAGAAGAAGAAGAAGAAGAAGAAGAAGAAGAAGAAGAAGAAGAAGAAGAAGAAGAAGAAGAAGAAGAAGAAGAAGAAGAAGAAGAAGAAGAAGAAGAAGAAGAAGAAGAAGAAGAAGAAGAAGAAGAAGAAGAAGAAGAAGAAGAAGAAGAAGAAGAAGAAGAAGAAGAAGAAGAAGAAGAAGAAGAAGAAGAAGAAGAAGAAGAAGAAGAAGAAGAAGAAGAAGAAGAAGAAGAAGAAGAAGAAGAAGAAGAAGAAGAAGAAGAAGAAGAAGAAGAAGGGTAAGAAGGCGAAGGGGGGGAAGAGGGGAAGGGGGAGGGAAGAGGAGGAATGGGAGTCTGGAGAGGAAACAGAAGAGTCCGAGTGGGATGAGGGGAAGGAGGATGAGGATGAGGAAGAAGATGAGGAGGAGGATGAGGTGGAGTGTGAGGGAGAGGATGAGGGGAGAGAGGAGGGCGGTGAGGAGGAGGGAGAAAGGGTGGATGCTTTGTTACAGAGAATGCAGGCCGGTTCGAGAATGAGAGCTGCAAGAGCGAGGAGGGGAGGAGGAGGAGGAGGAGGAGGAGGAGGAGGAGGAGGAGGAGGAGGAGGAGGAGGAGGAGGAGGAGGAGGAGGAGGAGGAGGAGGAGGAGGAAGAGGGGGAAGAGGGGGAAGTGGAGGACGAGGGAGGGAATTTTTGAATGAAGAAGACGAGGAGGAGGAGGAAGGAGATAGAACAGGAAAGAGAAGCAGCAAGGGAAGAGGGCAGAGCAAAGGCAGTCGGGCCAAAGGCGATGGGAAAAAGGGTAGTGGGGCCAAGGGCTGTGGGGGCAACAGCAGTGGAATGAAAGAGAGTGGAAGCAAGAGCAGCACCAACCGGCAACGTCTAGCCTACGAAAAATGGAGAAAGGCTCTTGAATCCGCTGTTGGGGTGACCCTACCGAAGAAACCCTCGTTAGAATCACACCCAGACTCGCCGCTAACCGCCCTCGCTTTAGTCCCCATACCAGCAGCATCAGGTTCGGCCCGAGGCAACAGCCTCGTCATCACCACATACGAGCAGGTCCGGTTGCAGCGAGAGCTATTCCTGGCCGTTGATTGGGGGTACGCGATACTCGACGAGGGCCATCGGATCAGGAACCCAGATGCAGACACCACGATTGCATGCAAGCAGCTGCGCACGCCCCACCGCCTGCTGCTGAGTGGATCGCCGATTCAAAATCGGCTGGACGAGCTCTGGTCGCTCATGGACTTTGTCTACCCTGGCAGGTGGGTGCTTGCCCCAATTCCATGAGTTCCCTGTGCTTTCAATCATCTAGCGCTCATGAATTTCTGCAGCACGCAATGCCGCACCACCTGCTGCTGAGCGGATTGCCGATTCAAAATCGGCTGGACGAGCTCTGGTCGCTCATGGACTTTGTCTACCCTGGCAGGTGGGTGCTTGCCCCAATTCCATGAGTTCCCTGTGCTTTCAATCATCTAGCGCTCATGAATTTCTGCAGCACGCAATGCCGCACCACCTGCTGCTGAGCGGATTGCCGATTCAAAACCGGCTGGACGAGCTCTGGTCGCTCATGGACTTTGTCTACCCTGGCAGGTGGGTGCTTGCCCCAATTCCATGAGTTCCCTGTGCTTTCAATCATCTAGCGCTCATGAATTTCTGCAGCACGCAATGCCGCACCACCTGCTGCTGAGCGGATTGCCGATTCAAAACCGACTCAACGAGCTCTGGTCGCTTATGGACTTTGTTTACCCTGGCAGGTAAGCGGGGGGTTACCCTTGCAGGTAGGGTTACGCATTGTATTTCTGGAGATTAGGCTGAGTACCCCACCAGTTTTTCCAACGGAGTATGCTTTTCCCATCGCCATTGGAGGATACCTCAAGGCCCAACACTCCTCCTCTTTCCCCTTCCCCCCATTACCCACCCCAACCCCCATTCACGGGGATCAGGCTGGGCACACTACCCGTGTTCTCAACCGAGTTTGCCCTTCCCATTGCCATTGGTGGTTACCTCAACGCCACTCCCCTCCAGGTAGGGTTGGTGGTTGGATGTGGTTGGCTGGTGAGTGGAACGAGTGGTGATGCTGAATGGAGATTGCTACTAGGTGAGTGGGTGGTCAGTGGGGTGGTGAGAGGATTGTGAGAGGATGGCGAGTGGGTGGTGAGAGAGGATGGCGAGTGGGTGGTGAGAGAGGAGAGGATGGTGTATCATCAAGAAACTATCAAATACTCGGTCCAGAAAATAAACGACTATTTCCCTCTCCTCTCCCCTCTCCACTCTCTCCCATCTTCCGCATTACCCTCAACTGCGGGTTGCCACAGCATACAAGTGTACCGTTGTGCTTCGAGACGTCATCTTGCCATACCTCCTCACTCCCCACTCATCCCTTTCAACCCCCTCACTGCACCACTGCAGGTCGCCACAGCTTACAAATGCGCCGTTGTGCTTCGAGACGTGATCTTGCCGTACCTCCTTAGGAGACTTAAAGCCGATGTTGACATTCAGCTGCCAGAAATGATAGAGCGAGTGCTCCTGCTGTTGTCACTCAGTGCCTCTTTTGCCTGCTTTCCTCTCCCCCATCCCCTCTCCCCCATCCCCTCTCCCCCATCCCCTCTCCCCCATCCCCTCTCCCCCATCCCCTCTCCCCCTTCCCCTCCCTTTTTTTCCCGTTCCCTGCAGGTCGCCACAGCTTACAAATGCGCTGTTGTGCTTCGAGGTGTGATCTTGCCGTACCTCCTCACTCCCCACTCACCCCTTTCAACCCCTCTGCACCACTACAGGTCGCCACGGCATACAAGTGCGCGGGTGTGCTTCGAGACGTGATATTGCCGTACCTACTCTGGAGAGTTAAAGCCGATGTTGACATTCAGCTGCCAGAAAAGACGGAGAGAGTGCTTCTGGTGCCATGGCTAAATACCTCTTCTCCCCACTTTCCCGAACTACAGGTCGCCACAGCATACAAGTGTGCCGTTGTGCTTCGAGACGTGATCTTACCATACCTACTCCGGAGAGTCAAAGCCAATGTTGACATTCAGCTTCCAGAAAAGACGGAGCGTGTGTTACTTGTGCCTATCACTAGATTCCAACGCACGCTGTACCGCGCGTTTCTGCAGAGCGAGGAGATGCGGCAGATTCTGGAGCGGTATCGAAACAGCTTGTATGGGATCGATGTTCTGAGGAAGATTTGCAATCACCCTGATTTACTGGGGTTGGATGTGGATGAAAGGGAGGTGCTGGGAGGGGCAGGGGGAGGGGCAGGGGGGGGGGGGGGGGAGGGGGAGGTGCGAGTAAGGAAGAGGAGGATCGAGAGGGGGTGAAGGAGGAGGGAGAAGTGGAGGGGAGGAGGACAAGGGGGAGGAGACGGGGTGAGAGAGAGCGAGGGAGGAGGGGAGAGGGAGATTGCGAGGGTGTGATAGGGAGTGAGGGAGGAGGGGGGAGGAAGGGAGTGAGGGATGTGGTGGTTGATCCTAGAGAGGGGGGACAGTGGGCCAAGTGGCGGGCGGCAGTGGTGGAGGAGGAGGGAGGGGAGGGAAGCAGAGGCAGCAACACGAGAAAGGGTGACCCTGATTTCGGGAACCCTGATCGAAGCTCCAAGCTGCAAGTGCTGGATAAGGTAAGACATGCTATTTTTAGGTTAGTTGACCAATGTAGGACATAAGTTTTCCTCCTCTTCCTCCTGCCATCGTACCCCTCCTCCCCCTCCCACTGCCCCATCCCCACCTTCCTGCCACACCCTTCCCCACCTTCCTGCCACCCCCTTCCCAACACCACAGATACTCCAAGTGTGGAAAACGGAGGGGCACAGAGCTCTAGTTTTCTGCCAGACGCAGCAAATGCTGGATATAGTCGAATCCCTAGTGCTCAATCGTAACTTGGGATACAGACGAATGGACGGCAGCACGCCGCCCGGGCTCCGGGCGGCGCTGATCGACGAGTTCAACAGCGGGGAGGGCGGCGTGTTTGTCTTCTTGCTAACCACTAGGGTGGGCGGATTGGGAACGAATCTCACAGGGGCCAATCGGGTCGTGATATTTGATCCTGACTGGAACCCCTCGACGGACCTGCAGGTGAGCTGCTCTTGGTTGCGGTGTTGTGCGGTGCAGTATGGTCGCACTTCTCTTGTCCTCCTCATGTGTTGTAAGCATTTTTTTGGGGAATTTTAGAACAGGTGCACGATCCTTTTTATATATATATATAATTATTATTTATTCATTCTTTTCTCCTTGCAGGCTCGGGAACGGGCATGGCGCATAGGGCAGAAGAGGGAAGTGATTATCTACAGGCTTGTAACGAGGGGGACTATAGAGGAGAAGGTGTTTCACCGCCAGCTGTCGAAGCAGCTTCTTTCCAACCGGGTGCTTAGGGATCCAAAGCAGAAGCGGCTTTTTAAATCGAAAGATTTAAGAGACTTGTTTACTCTCGAAGAGGAGGAGGAAGAGGAGGAGGGAGGAGGAAAGGAGGCAGAGGAGGGGAGGAGGAAGCGGAAGGGTAGAAGAAGGGAGAGAGGCGGTGGGGAAAGGAGTGGGAGAGGAGTGGGGATGGGAACAGATGTCAGCTTGCGATTGGACAATGCGGATGTGCTGGCGAGTCTGCCTGGAGTGAAAATGGTGATGGGGGAAGGGGGAGGGGGAGGGGGAGGGATGCAGGAAGCAATGAGAGGAGGAGGTGTGGGAGGATTTGAAGGGTCAGTGAGCGTGAAGGAGGAAGAGGGTGTGGGGGAAGTGAGGCAAGGCAATGGGACCCAGCTGGGCAGTAGCAACCATCAAGACATGCTGGGGAGTACGGGGAGTAGAAATAAGGGGAATACAAGGCAGAATGGCAGTAGTAGTAACGGGGAACGAGACGAGGCGAAGATTCTTAGATCCCTCTTCGAATCCAACGGTGTACAGGCTGCGTTGGATCAGGATACGATCGAACGGCTGGCGTCGGCCGATCGGATTCGGATGGATTGTGAAGCAGCAGCGGTGGCGGCACGAGCAGAAGCAGCTCTCCGCCAATCACAGCGCGACCGAGCCTCCAGCGACGTTTCCGAACCTACCTGGACTGGGAGGTCTGGCCAGGCCGGTGTTCCAGCTTTGAGAGGCCGGAGGAGGTTTGGTTCGGCGAACACCAACGCTAGCAGCAGGTTCGGGAGCAGAAGAGTTGGTGGGGGAGGGGTGAGTGCAGGGATCACAGGCGGCACTGCTTTGTCTTCTAGTGAGTTGGTGCAAAGGCTGAGGCAGAGGGAAGGTATGGTGCAATCTATAGCAAGTGGAGGAGGAGGAGGGGATGGTAGTAGTGACAGTTTAGCTGCTGGTGGTGGTAGTGGTGGTGGTGGTGATGCTGGTGGTGGTATCTTGACAATAGTTGGGAGAGGTATTGGGCTAGGGGCTCGGTCATATGGTCTTGGTATAGGTCTGGCAGGAAGAGGTTCGGATTCAGGCCCGGCAACAGGCTTGGCAGCAGCTGGAATGCAGGGTGTTGCTTCCAGTCTGAGCCTACAGCAGAAGCTTGTGTTATTGTTCCAGGAATCAGGTTCGGCACCAGGCCTATCCACAGGCTCGGCATTATTAGGCTCGGCAGCATCCAGTACAGCTTTGGGAGAGGCCGGCTTGACAGCTTCGGAGATCGTCCGGCAGTGTGCAGCGAGGTTCGGAGCAGGTTCAGTGTCAGATGTAGCAGCGTTGAGACGATCTCTCGAGGCTGTAGCGGAATTAAGACCCACAGGCGGGGGAAGGGGAGAGTCAAAATAGTTCTTAAAAAGTACTACATGAGTTGACTCAAAACTTGGTGCCAGGTGTAGCAGAGTTGAGACGAGCTCTAGAGGCTGTAGCAGAACTAAGGGCTACTGGTGGGGGAAGGGGAGAGTCAAAATGGTTTCTAAAAGACGATTCTTGAGTCGACTCAAAGCAGTGTAAGACATAGCGGCGTTGAGACGAGCTCTAGAGGCTGTGGCGGAACTAAGGGCTACAGGGGGGGAAAGGGGAGAGTTAAAGTGTCCATTTTGTTCTTCATTTGACGACTCAAACTCAGTGTTAAATGTACAGTGTTGAGACGAGATGTCGAGGCTTTGGGGTGAAAATATAATTGTACTTGCTAGTACTATATTTCCGAGCTTAAAATAGATATGAAACGGCTCTGAAACTATTTGGTCCGTGGTAATTGAACAAACGCGATCCTTCATCTCAAGAGTAGAATGCAACGGAATGGTTGGAATTAGGGTTTGCAAGGGTACAAATAGGAATCCTACAAAAGCTATACTCTCTAGGGAGTACCTCACTGCAGCCTATCATAACATTAACATTTGACACACCACCATAGGCTAAGTGAGGGACATCAGAGCAAGCAAGGTGAAACAAACGGTCACAAGACCAGTCAAGGCAAGAAGCAAGGCAAGCTCAGGGTGGATCTCAAGGACACCACACAAATTCCGAGCACAAGCAAGCGGCCACAAGGCCAGTTCAAGAGTTCACTATGATATAAATAGGAAAACACAACAAGCAGAGCAAGCGACAAGACTACAGCAATCGAGGGCCTACCTCAACAAGCCCCAACTGCACACAGAACCTGTGGTGGTCACCAAGCGCCAAGGCCTTGGTGAAGACGTCTGCAGTGTTGGCCTCTGAGGCCACAAAGTCCAGGCGTGCCTGGCCTCGTCGCTGCAGCTCTCGCAGGAGGAAGTACCTCACGTCAATATGCTTCACTCTGCTCTCCAGTCGAGGCTCTCGACACAGGAGGATCATGGCCTTGTTGTCAGCGTACAAGGTCGGTGCAGAGCGAGGCCGCTCACCAAGGTCGGCGAGCAAGAAGGTCAACCAGCGAAGCTCCTGCGCCGCCATGGCACCAGCGTAGATCTCTGCCTCTGCACTGGAAGTAGCCACAGACGACAACCGTGTAGACCTCCACGACACAGCCCCAGCTCCCAGACTGAAGCAGTAACCCTGAGTCGAGCGCTGAGTCTCCACGTCGTCAGCGTAGGAAGAGTCACAGTGACCAGTCAACGCCACTGGCTGAGTCCCTCCAAGCACAAGCCCCATGCCTGATGTAGTCGCCAGGTACTTCGCCACCCTCACAGCAGCTGTCTAGTGGATAGGACGGTGTCTACCAGTCGCAACAAAGCGAGAAAGGATGCTGAGGGGAAAGGCGAGGTCCGGCCGAGTACAAGTCATCAGGTACATGAGGCAGCCCACCAGCTCTGCGTAGGGTCCACTGGACTCAAAGGGCTCGTCAGGAAAGGGGCCCGTGAGTCTGTGGTCAACAGCAAGAGGAGTGGGCTGTGTGGTGGAGAACTGGAAGTGGAACCGCCGAAGGACCTGCTGCACCATGTGTGACTGCGTCAGTGTGATGGTGCGAGCGGCTCTGTCCCGGGTGATCTGCAGGCCAAGGTAGCGCTGCAGCTCACCCAGGTCAGTGCACTTGTGTCTCTTCTGCAGTTCGGACTTCACCTGAGCCAGAGCTGCCCTGTCTGCTGTAGCAAAGACCAAGTCGTTGACGTAGACAAGGATAAAGAAAGGAGTAGAACCCGCTCGAACAAACAGCGACGGGTCGGCGGAGGACGGGCTGAACCCAAGGTCACGAAGCGTGGAGCGAAGAGTGTCGTGCCACTCACGGGGCGACTGGCGGAGACCGTAGACTGGTCGCCTCAGGCTCCACTGGGTCCCAGGTGGGAAGGTGTCAGTGAAGCCGGGAGGACGGCGCAGCCAGATCTCCTCGTGTAGCCGGCCCTGGAGAAACGCTGTGGAGAAGTCGAGGGAGTGCAGCTCGTAGTCTTGCTGCGCTGCTATGTGGAGTAACACCCGAAGAGTAGTCATCTTCGGGGTCGGGGCGAAGGTCTAGAAGGAGTCAACTCCCTCACGCTGACTGAAGCCCCTAGCCACGTAGCGCGCCTTGAACACCGGCGGTGCTCCAGGCGGCCGCTTCACCTTGAAGAGCCACATGCCATCGACTACGTTCGCCCTGGGAGGGGGAACTGCGTCGACGTAGGTGCCTGTGGATCTCCAAGACGCCAACTCTGAGTCCATAGCCGCTTTCCACTGAGAGGCCCACGCCCCTGACACTGCCTCGCGGTAAGTGCGAGGAGTCGGTATGTCAAGGGCGTCGGGGTCTCCCTCAGGGGAGAGCAGCATGGCACACACAGAGGGAGAAGCGGCTGCCCAGTACTCCAGCTCATACTCTCTGTCCTCTAGGACGTCACAGCCAAGGGCAAACTCACCCCCGACGGACAGAGGACGGTAGGGAGGAGCTGGCACCACACGGGTGGCGTAGTCAAGGCGGCTGGCGGCAGCAAACTCAGCGACAGCGGCAGTAAGAGCAGAGACAGACGACGGAGGGAAACGAGAGTCGGTGACAAGAGTGGCGAGGACACGTGCGGCAACAGGACGAACAGTGCGGTAGTAGTCAGTGATAGGAGTGGGGAGGGCTGGGAGAGAGGACGGAGGAGGAGACGGGAGAACGAACACAGGAGAAGGAGAACGACGGCGAGACATACAAAGGAGGGCAGTGTGGAGGTCAGTAACAGGGGACGAGTGACGAGCAAGCGGAGGACAACGAGTGATCAAGTCGTGACGGACCGAAGGAGGAGGAGACTGAGGAGGAGGAGAAGACCAGACCGCCGGACGGTCGTCAGGAGGAGGCAACGGAGGACCCAAAACAGGAAGAGACTGGGAGCGGACAGGAGGAGAGGAGGAAAAGCCAAGGGCCCGCAGGCCACTCACAGGTGGGAACAACTGCCGCTCCAGAGGAAGCTGCGGTGGCGGCTGCGGCTGCTGCGGCTGCTGCTGCTGCTGCCACTGCTGCTCCAGAAGGTCCAGCACCCACAGCTCCTGCCGCTCCCTCTCCAACTGCTCCTGCTCCTCACGCTCACGCCGACGGGCAGCCTGGAGACGCGTGTCGTGGCGGTGGGGAGGCGGAGTGGACTCCGCAGAACCAGGGTCTCCAGCTCCAGTCTCCTCAGACCCAGCACCCCCAGAACCAACACCTCCAGTGTCAGTGCCTCCAGATACAGCACCTCCGACTCCTGCACCCCCAGAAGCAGCACCCCCAGTGCCAGTACCTCCAGCTCCAGCACCCTGCGACCGAGCACCCCCAGACCGAGCACCTCCAGTGGCAGCCCCCCCAGCGCCAACACCCCCAGAGGCCGCAACCACCTGTCGCGGACGTGCCGAGGGCTGCTGAGGGGACTGGG